AATTTGAGTAATTCTGGGGTTTTGCAGTATAGGGTCGATGCATTAAGTCCTCAGGAATAATGTAAGACTAACAGCGTTCATTTTAAGCGCTTAATTACTGAGATATTCGCATTTTTCCATCACTAGGAATTTTCAATCACCTGTCGGTATGATTTCGCTAGTAGTTTGAGCGAATTGCCACGGGTGGCGCCACCGGTCGAAAAATAGTGGTATTCCGCGTTTAAATGCTATTTTAACAGTGTTCAGGTCATTTATTGTTATTGTCAATGGCAGGGGATTAATCTTCGTTCTTTCAGCTACATATCGAGTGCTTTATCTAAACGAAACCTATCCGTATAACGGTGTAAGAGCTGTCCGAAATGAACTAAACGGGGTATCACTGACGGCGGCGGCCGTCTTCGACGGGTCACGATGTCACGATCGGTTGCTTCCGTGATCTTCGGTCGGTCGTGCGATTCGTCGATCGTGGATGAGAGTGGGATACTTCCCCACTCCGGTATCTATTTCCACGAAATAGAATACATATTCTTCACCCTCGTATTATAATTTTGTCGTATTATATTTGTGCAGTTAGTTTTTAACCTTCCTTCGATCTAGCTGGCGTATCGGGTATAACAACCTGTGCATGTATTTTATCCGGTCGATCGTGCGCCGAACGTTGGCGCGACAAATTTGAGATTAAATACATTCATTTACATTTTACTGAATTGGAATACATATTGTTTCCCACAAATTTGAGTGTGAAATGCGTGAACGAACAGTTTTTGTTTTGGAACTTTCTCTCATCTGTTTCTTATATATAAACAACCCTTTGCGTTACCGACAATCGAAGTTCCTAGTCAAAAGCCCCCGTACCATTTCAGTATTCCACTCAATGCTAGCGAAACGGGGGTAATAATATATGTATGTATGCAGTCACGGGTGACCATCCTATTTTTGGGGCCATTCTTTTCCCAACAAATCTAGTTGTTTTTCTAAAATAGCTACCTGGCCCCGGGCTAAATGAAACGAAGTGTAACAATCTATCGTTGCACATTAATATACGAGTGCTAGTATAATTAGAGAAATAATTTGCATACAATTGATTACATGAATGCAATATTGTATATTATTCAGATAAATCTGAAATTTGTGTCGACGATTATCCCTGAAGCAAAAACTCAAAGCAGGATTATCGTATAACATTTCGATTTTAAAATCTTCATTTAATTCCACGAAGATTCCTGAAACAAATACATACATATGTATACTCGAAAGAATGTAATAATAACATGTCGTGATAAGAATACATGCAATAATACCATGTACCTACGTATGTACAGTCAACTGCAGTAGTCGGCGATGCCGCATCTTACGTATGTATGTACATGTTTTGATCGAACATTGGATGTGTACAGTGCAAGCAGTACTTGGTACAATGTGAGTAGCCGAAAAGGCGCATGAGTGCATCGGCGGACGAATGCGTCGACGCGAATGCGTCGCCCCTCACGGAGCGTAGAAGCGCTCTAGACACTGCGGTAGGCACCGACGCGACCGATAAACGAATAAGGGGGTGTACATATCGCGAGGTAGTTGAAAGCGTCTTTTTGGTAGTTGAAAGTCCAGCTGCCGGTGGTAGCGGTTAACTGTAATACTAGAGACTGATTTGCCGTGAATTCCAGATACGTGCTCGCCAGACGCAATTTAGAAAAGAAACGAAAACGTCAAGTAACCAATCGTGTTGTAATGGAGATGCGTGAAGTGAATCGCACTTTCGATGCTGCGGAAGAAACTGCAGAACTTTTGCCATCCTCCCATCATGATGATACCGAAGTCGAGAGCTATTTCATCGAATACGCTATTCAAAAGGAAATGATAAATCGTAATCGATGTCCAGCCAGTCGTCGTTTGCTCAGTCAAAGCGCCCATTTGGCAGATTTTAATTTTATCAATGGTAATCATCAGAAGGTGGTGTATCTCGGCTGCATCTATTTATTTGTTCAATCTCGAATCGAATGTATGCACGTACGTTTGTTAATGGTTCCATAATATAAATTTACATAACGTTCGAATTAAGAGAAAAATTGACATTCCGATGGTGTTAATCTTGATGGTGCCTTTGTTCTTTACGAAATTGTGTCAGAATTTGCTAAACCAAAAGGTTAACTGTATCGCGATAACCGATTTTTCTGTTCCGCTTGCGAAATGTTCGCATGTTCATCCACCGTCAGTTCGAATACAGAACGGCATGCATACAAGGACGAATGAGAGAAAGAAGACATTGTACGGGCGTTTATACCAGTGTGTGTGTGTGTGTATGTGTGCGCGCGCGCGTGACCCCGCTGTGTGCACATCGGATTAAACGCTGTGATTCTCTGCGCGTTTACTTCCAATGACATATACATATGTATATAGAATGATCGAAGGAAAAGAAATAAACATTTTTGTATCTTCGATGTTTATTTTTCTCATGTTCCAGGATTCGCCTTGCATCGGTATCAGTATGATACATACGTCGAACGCGAATTGGCCTCCTTCCAGAAAAAGAGAAGAAGCAAAAGCATTGGAAAATCTTCGAAAACGAGTGGAACAGTCAAAATTGTATAAAGCGAATAGAATTTCGGATAACAGTGGATCAACGTCTGCGTCTCTGGTTTTGAAAGACGGTCGAGCCGAGCAACTTGATAATCGTCCGAAGCTTTTGAGAAAGGTGAGAGAACGAAATTTAACGATGTAGATTGAAGTTGTGTAATAGAATGCTGTTCGCGGGAACGGAACGGACGTTTAGTTAAACGATTCGTTTATCGAAACGGCATGCTTTTACTGGCCCTGCTATCTTTTTCATCGATACCACTTAGATCCTGAGTAACAGACCGATGAGTATCGCGCATGACAGTAATGACTTGGAAACTGACTGGCGGGATAGTGAATTTATTACAGAATGTTTATGCTGGCACAATGTATATCGACAACGACACAATGCACCGCCTTTAACTATGTCGCCGCAGGTAAGAAAATATAAAATATGTATGTACATATGGTATGTACGTAGGTACATAGACACCACACACTGCGCAGACACGAATACGTATACGTGTATTCGAATACGTATGTACATACACAGTATGTAGTGGAACGCCGATTATCACAATGTCGTTCCAGTCTCCTCTAAAAATTATTTTATTTCCAATCGTTTTCAGTGTATATGTATGTGAAACTTTGTTTCTCATGGATCGCTTATCCGAACCGGTTTGTCTCCCTTCTCGTTCGGATATGTGTGTGTGTGTGTGTGTGTGTGTGTGTGTGGTGCGTGCGTGTGTGTGTGTGGTGCGCGCAATGTGGTGTGAACGTTCTCCGTATAACTGATTATCGCGCGTGTGTGTTTTTTTTTTTAGTTATGCGAGTATGCTCAAACGTGGGCCAATCACTTGGCACACACAAACACATTTTATTATAGAAACGATCGAGAGGTGGGACAAAATCTTTATTGCCGACCCGGTGGAGCAATTAGTACCGATGTAACAGGGCAGGATGTTGCATCCTACTGGTACTCCGCGGTGAAACAGTATGATTTTTTAAAGGAACCTGATATTCTTCATGCCAACGTGAATGCAGGTAAAGGAACGCGGATACAATTCAATTCGATATACATATAATACATATTGTATGTTGTAAATGTGTTGTATGATTACATATTTACCAACACTCTATCTGTATCGCAAAGAGTGTATTGTATTCGTCGTAGGTCATTTTACGCAATTAATTTGGGCAAGCAGTCGTTACTTTGGAGTCGGAAAAGCTCGCAGTAGAAGTGGCAAAGTTATCGTAGTTGCCAATTATCAACCCGTTGGCAACATATCCGGACAATTTCAGAATAACGTTTTGCCACCATTACCCGAAAATATAAATGTACCTTTATCGCCACCGCTCCAGCCTTCCACGAAAATTTTTCGGGAACATTATCTTGCGTCCGATTCACCGCCACTAGCGTCGTCCTCGGTGCCACTTTCGGACACCGCATCGACGGATAGTGATCCGTCTTCTGTCAGTTCCACGCAATAATACAGACGACCTAATTGCCTCTTCTGCGTATGCCCGCGCGGATGGGATGGACGTTGATCGGTTTTAAGATATTCTAACGTTTCTTATGCCCACTGCAATTTTTCTTTCCTTATTTTTCTCTTTTCCGTCTGTTCTCCATTTCGCGTTTCGCGTAATATGCCAACTACGAATCAGACTTACGAAGAACAGGACCGAAGAACGGTAGATTTATTTTCAACGGAAGTAAGGAAATTTAAAGAAAGAAATACGCTTATGAATATGTATACAGACGTGTTGTAATTGTCGAACGCAATGAGCTATGTACCTAATTGATTCTCATCCTACATACATATGTATAAATACGTATATTTGTTTTACGCCTGTCGCCTACCGTAACGATAGGAAAAGAGAGAATGTGAGAGAAAAGGAGAGAGACAACCTTCGGAATATTTAGTCTGAAATTTGTGCGTACATATTGTGCAGCACTGGCACACAGAATCGAGATCGTACCACGTATACTTCTGTATTTTTCCTTGGTTCCTGTGCTTTTCGCTACAAAACGAAGGTCTGTAATAGTCTGTATGTCTACAAAAATTTAATTCTCGAAGAAAGAAATGATCGATTCGAACGGTTGTAAGCAAACTCTTGATCAACGATTCTGCAAACTTTACATACTTTATGTTTTACATACGACTATGCAACGTGTGTTCTACATTTAGACAAAACAAATTGAAAATTGTTGGATTATTGATGCACGATGCATGATGCATTCGACAAAAATCAAAATGCCTACAATCTCAACGCATCGAATAAACGCGATGGTTCGTATGGTAACGCGGACGTTCGCACAAAAGGTGTGTTTTTTCGATCAACGATAACGATGTTCGATTTAACGATGGCCTCTAAATAGAAAACAAATATTTTATACGTTCTTCTTGTAATTAAATTAAGAATGCCGGCCTGAAGGTACAGCGTGTGTTTACGCATCGAACCACAAACGCAAACTGAAAAATCGATATTATCGACGCCATAGAACCGCTATAAATAAGCGAAGAAATAAAAATGCGACGTACGATTATAGCTTTAAGTTAGTTAGATAGTTTAGATAGTTTCAATGCAACAGAATCGTCGTGTTATCCGTAAAACACAAAGCACGTTCGTTAAGGTGCGTATCCACATGTTGCGTATCCTCGTATCGTATCACCGTTGTGTATCACCAAAATATGGACGGGCGGGCAAGTGTTGGATTGTTGCGTGTGAAAATCTATCGTACGGAGATACGATACGATGATACGCAACGGTGATACGATAAGGAGATACGCTACAATTGGATACGCACCTTTACACGAGTGCAATTTTGTTATCGTCTGATCTAACGTTATATAATATTTACCGCTATGATCGATGCGTACTACATGAAATTATAAACAAGCAAATATGAGACCGTTAGAACGTAGAAATCCCGCTTTTTATATGTATGTATGTATGTATGTATGTATGTATGTATGTACATACAGAACTAAATGCCAGCTTCTAACAAAAGAACACGAACCGATAATCATTAGAATATGCTGTACTTACACGAGTGAATATACTTCATGACAGAGGAAAATTTACAAATTTTGTATGGATTTCAATAATATCTCGTGGTAATCGCAAAATTATTCGAGGTACAAGCTTCTATTTTGAAAATTGTTGACGTAGTACGCACGAACTTATCAAAATAGCGATATTATCGAGGGGCCTTATTACCATCGGGATCGGGCTCCTATAGTTGAGCGAGCAATCAAAACGGCACGTGTCGCTTTTACAAATTATACGAGTTGAACTCGTAATTAGACGTAAATCTTACGAGCTATACGAGTGTTGAAATAAAATTAGATTATTTTTAATTGTACATGCTTATAGTTACTTTTAAAGAAAATATACTTTTTACTAAAATTCAACTTTGACGTGCTTCTTTATGAAAAGGCATTATACGTACCTACATTTCTCTTTGTGACTTAAAACGACATGAAACGAAACAAAGAAGAAACCAATTGACGAGTTGACCAGTCAGTTTTGTCATAATGAATACAGGTACTTATCGCTGTTCGTCAATTTTAAAAAGCTAATTGTTAGTTCAGTCTGGGTTAATTTCTTTCTTCTATACATATTTTCTACCATTCGAATGTAACGTCCGAATCACACAAATTTATCTATTTTAATCGATTTCACAAACTTTACTCGAGTGATATGTACTTATATTTTGTCAAAATTATAATTATTATATGTATGCTTGCTTAGGAGAAAATTAAGGAATCCTGTAACGCGTGCGCATCACTTGAAACGACGTTCGTTGTATATGTATACATATATTTCAACATTGTCCACTCGTTCGAAGGTGACTGACAATGACTACACATTTTGGACAAAAAAGCCATTTTAAAATTGTTTAACAGAATGTAAAATATAAGACTTTTTTCTCATACTTTTATTCTTCATTTTTCATATTTGTATTATTCACCGTTCTTTACATTTTTATACGTTATATTCTTATGATGTACGTATGCTAAATAAATATACACGTGTTTATACATTTATATATTATTATTCGTTCCAGTTACATAATGATGGAGCAAGTCACAGCAAAAACACGTGACTTACGCATAAACGTCCACTGTGGTTAGAGAGTATTCATTGAGAAAGATAATAATCTAAACAGTCGAATCCGAAATCGGCCTTTTACAAACATTAATTGCTTGATAATTCTATCATTACTTGACAAAGGAAAGCAATCTATTGAAATTTTTTGTTATCATTTAAAGGTATATGAATTTAGCACGGCTATTGTTTACAAAAATGAAGGACACAAAGTTAGTATGTATTACCGAAAAATAGTTGGCGCCAAATATTAGTGTTTCTTAACAATTTATATCTTCAAAAATTCCTCCCAATTTGCTCCTTCTGCATGTTATGTCTCTTCAGCATGCTTCGGGGGCTCCGTGACCCCACATTTTCAGCCCACGTGATCAAAGGCGCCTCCACCGGGGCCTCCGTGCAGGGTCTATGGCGCCTCCACCTGGGGCTCCGTGACCCCACGGTCTCTCCCCACGTGATCAATGGCGCCTCCACCGGGGCCGCCGTGCAGGGTCTATAGCGCCACCACCGGGGGCTCTGTGACCCCACGCTCTCACCCTACGTGATCAATGGCGCCTCCACCGGGGCCTCCGTGACCCCACGCTCTCACCGCGCAGATTTTTTGGCGCCTCCACCGGGGGCTCCGCGACCCCACGGTATCTCCCCACGTGATCAATGGCGCCTCCACCGGGGCCTCCGTGAAGGGTCTACAGCGCCTCCACCGGGGGCTCCGCGACCCCGCGCTTTCACTAGAGATGATGTGAAGTGCTACTTGTGAATCACTCGTGATTCGATCACATTCGTTCTCAATCACGGTAATTTTTCACAGTGATTCGTGATTTCTCGTGATCGTTTCTGATTGGTGAAGAAACCTAACAGTTCTTTACACGCGACACATAATCTGTATATTTTATATTTTATATTAACGACATCAAAACAAAAATTCGAGTTATATCGTATAAAGTGAAAGAATAATTAGAAACAATGAAGAATAATGAATAAATTAATGATTATAAATTATAATCTACATGTTACCTAGCAAATCATTCTTTTAGAATTTCTTGTTTTTTCTACTGATTTTTACAAACACAGTAATGTAATTCATCGTAAAATCATATTGAATACGTTTTTCTGTTTAAAAATTAATGACTTACGATTGCAGTGAGCAAATTCACTCAAGATAAAAAAATCGCAATCACGGTCGTGAATGAAGTTAAATCACGATCGTGATCGTGATTCGACGATCACTGTGATAAATCACCGTTAGTGATTTTGCACGCCATCTCTATTCGACACCGTACGTGAAGGACCTCCTACCATTTACTTTTAGGGGTTAGTCAAATTTATGCCAAATTAACATGCGATTTAACATTTATTTCACTACCTGGAATAAATTTACCAAGTGGTGGAAGACTTTTCTTCTACGTCATTTTCCCCTAACGGAAGCCGAGTTGCTCGTGAGGGTATCTATTTATATATGTGTTAAGTACATACCTACATGCAATGCGACTGAATGTGACGCAATATAGAAATTGGTAGAAATCTTTTTGTGGCGAAGAACCATAAATATTTGGGTACGCGTATATTTACATGTCATGCAGAGAATTTTATATAAATATATGTAGAATTGCTTAAAAATTACTGAGTGAAAAAGTGTTGATCGTATTAAGGTGCAAAAGCTCGAGAAAGACGAAAATACAGGATACTTCAGAATACGTAAAACTGCGTAAAACGAACGTCGCGACATACGATCGTACCTAAAGCTAGTGATTAGAGAGAGAGTGAGAGCGAGGGCGAAAGAGAGAGAGAGAGAGAGAGAGAGAGAGAACGATGAGTGTGTAAAGGCTAGATGGCCAGGAGTAAGAGAGAGGGTGTGAGGTAAACCACCATCGGGGAGAACTCTGTTTCGAACAAAGTCGAACAGTTTCGAAAATGGCGGCCAAGAGTGGTGGTAACGATGAGTGGTCATCGATAATGAAGCCAATATTAGCGGTATCGCAAGGAGTGTTCGACAAAAACGATATTATTGAATTGGCAAAGAGTATCGCTAAAAGGTAGGAGTTCTTTCGCGAACAAAAAGGTAGTTTTAATTAGAGGTTTTCATCGATTCATTTTTGAGGGTCGTGTTTTCGTGACGATGACAGTCGTAAAGCGGATAGCTGTTCGTTTGTACTGTTTCTTGACTGATCTGTTTCCGTTTGTTGCTTGTTTTTAGCGAAAGCAAATTTGTCTCCAACGAAGAACAATATGAAACGTTTTATACGTCTGTGGCAGCTCTCGCGGCGGATTACCTGGGCGGTTGTGCCAGTACCTGTAAGTTTCTCAATTTTTACACAGGTCATGTCGAAATTGCGAATTACACGTTCGAGACTGACGTATGTATTCTTACAAGACTATTCCCGGAAATCGATGATATTTACGTGCAGTCTGGTATGTGACTCATATGTTGGGTCATCTGTCTTGAATGTGTTAACATACTATCGGATGACGATTTTTTGGACAGATTGCTCGTCTACGGCCGGTATGGTCACTTTCCGTTTTAAGGAAACATGTTGCGAAAGTGTTATGACTGGCCGTTTACGGAAATATTTACGAATAATTTTAGTCGACCACCGACGATACCGTGTTAACCGCCATTGGATCGCGAATGATGATGGTACACGATTGAATTCTATCTGTTTCGTGTCTCTTGATTTTCAGTTTCCAAGAGCCAGATATCGACAGTTTGTCAAGCGTGCAGAGTTCTTCTTCATCGACTCGTAGAAAAATTATCTAGACATAGAGTTCAACCGGGTGATGGCACATCCGCTGTTTTAAATACTAAGCAATTGTTGCTTCCAATACGTGCACTCTGTATTGGTCAGTCCTTACTTTCATCGACCGAAGAAACAGCTTTAACAGCCATCATAAAAAATTCAAAAATACCATCGTACATTAAGCCTCCTCTGTCTGAAAATGAAAAGGATACTTCGCAATGTTCGAAAGATTCCATGCGAATTCGAGGTGATTTGTCCGGCAGCATTCTGGAGCAATTGACGATGCCCTTGCAAGACTTTACAATGTCCATGCCTCTTCTTGTTGAAAATTCCAGCGATGGGGCAGGTAAAAGTACGAACGATGGCAGTGTCAATGAGATTAGTACGGACACCAAGGTTGGTATACACTTACTCTTTCTATAGTTTGATCGTTCTAAGTATGTACTGAACCACTAAGAATGACGTGTTATGGTTTCGCAGGCAACGTTCGTCGCAAATAATATAAATATCCTTCGAAACATGGGCGTAGGCGATACGCTCTTAGACATGTGTTTGAACCTCCCTCATTTATCGCGTTACACCCGAAAGTATCAAGCGTATTTGAACAAAAAAGGTTTTAGTCTACCAGCGAATGCTTCAGAAGCGCACGCTATACGGCACAGTCTACATTCTGTAGCGGGTGACATTAACGTCGTCCACAGTGTAATGTCTTTGCCTTTGTTGGAACCTTTAACACCGACCAAGTTGGAAAAACTGTCTTTGTTGAGCATGTCTTGCTTGTATTGTTCGATCGCATATGCGACTGCATCTAGTATCGTTGGAATAACGAATGCCGTTTCACCGAAATGCAGCGCGAATACTTCTGCTGCAGCGCAAACCAGTCAGAGCAGTTTGAAAAATTCCGAAGATGAATACGATACACTGGCGATCACTGTTGTCGAGAAAAGTTTGGAAATATTTGGAATGGTTTCGAATGTGATCAAAAACAGTACACGAGCAGGCGGTCACGTAAGGAATTTTATAATGCAAAATAAATACTTGTCCATATATTATTATTGATCATCGAATGGTGGATTCGGGATGATTCGTGTTTGTTGTGTTCGTAACAGATTTTGCAAAATCATTTGCTGATCGGAGTCTGGTTACTGGTGGCTGGTTTGCAAGCTCAACTCTCGGTGAGCAGTTTCAGCGCGGCGGATAAGGGCAAAGAAGAGAAGGGAAAATCGCCGAGCAAAGCGCGTGATGGAACGACACGGGTTAATTTAATGAAAGTGTAAGATGTTTGAATGCATTGTGTGTTGGAATATTATCTATCGCATTAGTAGTGGTTGAAGATGTGTAAACAAATTTGACAATTTCTTGGATTTCAGTCAACAAGGTTTCGGTGTGCTCTCGGTAGCTTTGGCTTCTCATGCACTTGCATTAATGAGTGCTCTTTTAGAAGATCTGTCGGTCGAAGCGGTTAACGATTATACGGTTCCCCCCGAACCGGCGTCCTTAGACATATTATCTACTGCCAGTGCGCTTCAAAGAGCAGTTACTTTTCTTCAAGCCGTACCACTCAATCATCTCTTATTTTACTTGGCTACGATCAGTTACAGAAAGGTTGATAATGAATTCTTGCAGTGTGTTTTGTTATTTTTTAATATCTTATGTTATTTACTAAATTTCTGTGCAGGCCTGTACATTGAAAAGAGTGCAAAAGCATCCTTTCGAAGGCGATGCTCTGAGTCAGTCCGATTCAACGACGTATTACGAGGATCTGTTAAGTTGTTCGGACAATTCTACCGACGAAGGTAAGAGAATGACCATCGAATTACTAAAACTTTTAGTACGAAATCGAGTTCGTTTGTTTGGTTTTTCTTTTAAACTGCTTCAAAATTTAATCGCATCCGTTAAGATGGAGTAGAACTGAAAGTAACTATAGGAGAACAATGAATTATGTTGTGTATTGTAATATTGTCTGAAACTGGAGGTTGGGGGGGGGGGGTATAATTATCGATGGACATATTACTCGAAACTATCTTCAACGATGGATTAATTTGTGAATCTACTACTGATAAATGTTACGGTCGTAGTATATAAATACAACTAAGCAGGGAAGATAGAGAATAACTCTGTTTGTAATTGTTTTGTTTCTAACCTAATACATTCCAATGCGATATAATATGATACAAAGATACATACATACACTCTAACCCGCATGAGAAACAATTAAGAAGACATTAACCATGTTTTAAACTCATTATTGAAATAACAATTGTCCAGCTGGTGAGAAAATTATTACGTGCGTATTGAGGTGCAAACTACAGTTAGAATGTTATGTGTATTACACGATACGAAGATATCGAATTAAGCAAAGAGTATATTTTGTTCGTGTTTTTAGTACGTGATTAAACCTCTGCGTTGTGCGATTGAACTTATAAGTGGCAGTGTGTATGCTGTTTGTGTATACACACTATGAAAGAGCGTCTTATAATAATGATTTTTCGAGAAAACTTAAAATTTGTATTGTCGATTCGATGACTTAAACTTTTAAACGTTGAACCACGAACACACGCCGTACAGAAAAGACTTTGTTATTATGTCGATAGAGGAGGACAGCGAGCCTATATTGGGTTTATGGTTCGAAGAAACTATCGCTCCATCGGATGGATCGCCTGCAAACGGTGCGAAAGAATCAAGCAATGAAACAAACGTCGAACGTACGATGACTACTATTGTTCCTGATAACCGTGAACCTCATGGCGTGAGTAGCTCTTTTCATTCTCGTTTCGACTTCGTTGTTTTTTTCTTTCATAGACTAAATAGAGTAAAGTGGTTTCTTTCCTTGGTTTTCAGTATATATCATTGGCTACTAAGATCTTTCAATTCATGAATCAACATTTGATCGGTAGTAAAAGTTCGTATGTGCGAGAATATGTTGTAAATGGGTTGGTCGAGCAACAGATGGTGATATTGGCCGCGATTATCAGAGATTTAGATCACGAAACTGCTAGAACGGAGACCGGTAAGAGTAATTTGAATCGATTCACAGTTTATTTAAACATTTTTCAGTAACAGGTCATTCCTATACCCGTATGTGCTTCGCTACTGTATTGTTCCAGGTACAATTTCGGTATTCTATGGCGCCACTTTAGGCGCGATGTATTCCGAGTTTTCTCAAGCATTGAGTCGTTACACTCATAACTTATTAGCGCGAAATACCTTGAGCGAAAGTCTGCAAAATACCCTTCTTCAGCACCTAGGCGTCAATCCATGGTCTGGAACAGACAGTACAACTCCATGTACTTGGCCTCTTCAAGTCTATCCGAGAACGTTGAGTGTGTTAGCACAGGTGTGTTTATTACTCTGGAGAGTACCATCAACTTTTCCAAAACTTACGTTGAATTTTCATTAATCGCAAAGATGTCGCAACTCTTGACAGGTTCTCCTATTAAAACCTCAATCGGAAAAAGAAGCTGCTTGCATAAGTATCTGGCATCGTCTGGTGACAACAATGGTGGAAAATGTATGCAATCCACCCTCCACATTCGAAGCAGAGAACGAAGGTAAGTTGTACGATGCAATGAATAATATCTTTGATTCTGAATTTTCATATTTTTCTTCGAACACACACACACACACGTATGTATGTATATGTTGTATATCGACATACGTAAGGTATACATACAATATCGATACGTTCAACACATACGACATTAACGTTCGCAGACTTGAACGTGGAGCATGCACAGTTGGTATTGATACTGTTTCATTCGCTGAATTTAATGCAAAAAAAATCAGTCCTACTCGTAACTGGTAGCGGTGCAGTACGTTGTAGCGAAGCGGTCAAGACTCCGATGAAGGATTCACAGTTACTGCACTTGTCGCGATTGTTACTGTTGCTCGAATACATGATGAAGCATCTTTACGACGCGCCTCCAGCCTTACTTGAGCAAGTAAGTCTGCTGTTCCGTTGGATATACGTTTTCATAATCAATATGTTTCCCGACGAAGCATTTGTAATCGTCGTTTCCCCGTTCTCGTCAATTTCTTTTTCTACTTAATTTCATTCCTTGTACTCTGCACATTTTTCTCCTTCCGTTCTCTTTTCTCATTTATAACGGGGACACGAAATGGATACGTTATTAGCATTCCATTGAATAATAACGTCTAAATATCAAATGCAAGATTAATGTTAAGTTCGCTCGTGAGCAAAACGTGCGAACAAGATACCAGGGCCACCGAATCGAAAGACACGTTTGAGTGGTAGTAAGAATCTTGTACATATTTGTTATTAACCGACCGTACAATTTTTTTATCTTCGTGAAAACTTGACTAATCAAATTTATCAACGTTGTTTCGGGTCGGGTGACTTACTGACATGCGCATACATACAGGTTCAATGGAATTTGTTCTCGGCCACGAGTTTGGTTTGCGACGCGAAAGATGGCAATAAACAAACTGCTCGAGTTTTTACACCATGGACCGAAATCGAGGACGATTACCGTAAATTCGGTAATCAAGATGAGTTCTCGATGAAGCCTCGATTTTACAACCTTTCTACCACGGATTTTACTAATCAAGATACTCCGAAGCTAGATGGATTGGTTGGTAGCCTGTTATTTTTTTCTTTTTTTAATACGTTGCAATAGTTTTTGTTCTTGATTCTGAAATCAATCGCACAATACGTATCGTTGTATTATTTACAGGCTTGCAACTTCATTCTGGGTGCACCGGATAAGATGAAATATCCGCTTTTGGTGGACGCGTTGATAGATATTCTAAACGTATTGAATCAAACGGACATGCAGAGAAAACCGGAAACCGATGGCAAAGATAAAGCTCCGTCGTTTATGGGATTGTGCGCGATTCGGTACTGCTTTTCCATATGTTGGAGGTACGAAATCTGTTTACGAAAAAATCGCGTATAAAAGCTAGGAGCCGTATTAGTATTTCTTCGAGTAGAAACTAGACTATTAAAATAGGCATACAGATTTCATGTCGCGGTACTGTTGACAGGTTATTGTTAATGTTACCACCGTCTACCCCGTATATGGATAAATTGGCTCTCGGTGAGGAAATTCCCGCGGGGCCGATGCTACTTCATTCTCTAATTTGGGGACCCCGAGCTGCGTACAAGACCTTCACCAGTTGGATGAAGGTGAAGTTTGTTAGAAAAATTTCGAGGTCGGCACATTCGATGATTTCACATAAATGCAAAAAGTACAAACACCTTCTTTCCGATATAGGACTGCTTGGTCAGGCAAGGAATGTACACACAGTACGCGGAAAATCTTTTGAAAACGGTATCCTCCACTGTCAATTCCATCAAGTACGACGTTACGCTTGCGAAGAATTGTATTACCGCGTTAAGGCCGGAGACAAATTTTGGAAATAAAGTGATGCCGAAAAGTGCTTTACCAAAGCTCAGTTCATTGTGCATTCTGGATGCGGTTGTTGGCAAGTTGCAAGTGCTTTTCGAGGAAAGTATATCGAAAAATCAAAATGAAAATATTGAAAATTCCAAGTGAGTGGAAAAATGATCGCGTATAACGATGATATAAAAATTCTTTACTCGTTGCATATTCGGTAAGACGAACGTAAAAATGTTGACAGGAATCCGCAAAGCTCCGACTCTGGAAGCGGCACAAACGTCGTGCCCAAAATGATCAGCAGTATTGTCCCGCGTGTTCTATGGCTGACCGAGTCTATCTTGACTTCGTGCCGATCGAGCATTCTTCATCAAATGCTGGAATCCTTGGAACAAGATGGTAAATTTGGACCACGGGATTATTCGATACTCGACGATATTGTTGCCATGGCGGGTGCGAACTGGGCAACCGAAGCGTCTTTGATCAGTTTCTTACCCAATTCTGTAAAGTCTGTTCTCGACAAATGGAGGTCGATTAGTATTTCCTATATTCCTTGGGTAAGTACAGAACTTACCGAACCTGTCTGCATAGACAGATTGCGTGCGTGTGCATGTGCGTACTCGTAGTCTATATTAATAACTTTTCAATGGGCTTGATTCGTTCGTATATTCTGATCCCGCCAGAACATTCATGCGAACGACATCATTCCGGCAGAAAGTTACATTTTATCCACAATAAACGATCACGTGAGCTCGCTCTCCGAATATTCAACGTTCTCCATTAATCCGTCTTTGAAGATATTACTGCACAGCTTGACTAGCTTCATGGCAGAATATGTCACGTGAGTCGAATGTCGTTTTACACTCTTATTTTTTTCGTTCTCCGTCCGTCGCGTGTCTCATAGACAGAGATATCATAAGGTAAATAAACCTACTTGTATATTTATTAGGGCTGATACGGCGCCAGAAAATTCGGACGTACGTTTTCAAGCTCTGGATATTTTGATAGCATTGTGTATGGATACTCGGACAGATTACCTTCAGGATATGGCGAGTGAAACCTTAACGAAACTTCTGGGCGATACCGATAACGAGATGCGACAACTACGGGAGCATCTCTATATTTTACATCATACGTACAATTTGATTATCGAATATACGAGTGATGTTCAAGATCCCGTGAAGTGAGTATTTCTAGTACTAGAGTCTTTAGAAAGTTTGCGTAAATTAAACAATTGTTTCAGCATTGCCGTCGATGAGAAAATCTTAAAGCGGTGTATAAAGTATTGGGAACAATTATTGGAAAAGCCGGTCGGATGTAAGGCCTTGGATTTGTTTTTTGCACCGAACACGAACAAATCTCTCGTTTCAGTTTTACTGTGTGTAACATCCCCGCAAACGTCACGACAATTTGCTACTCACGTTTTACGCTTTTTCAACGTGCTATTCAAGATGGGTAAAGTAAATCCATTTTTATGCACTGTACGAAATTAATCTTTGTTTAGTATTTTAATCTAAAGTATCGTCTCCCCATTTTTACTTCATCTAGCCGAAAAAGGAAGCGATGGATCGTTGGAACGTCTCTGTGGATCCGTGTCGAACCTAGCATATGTGGAACCTGAAAAATTGCTAACATGGTTAAAACAGGTTATATTGGGAGGAACGAGCGTTTCTCCGAGCACATCTTCGACCAACATTCAAACACCAACGGTAGTGACATCAAATGCGTAAGTGTATATATGTATATACATATATATACATGTTTGCATCGCTTATTTTTCAAAGTTTAGGAATGAACATATTAACGGCATGAAACAACGAAACGATAGGTTGGTTCTTGTTCCTGGTACGAGCGAAGATACACAAAAATCGGAGGAAGTAAACAATATACCGAACAATGAACAAGTTCAATGGGCAGTTTTGTTGTCAGATGGTTCTGCAAGTAATAATCAGTCAGCGAGTATCACTGACGAACAGCAACAGCAGCAGCAGCAGCAACAACAACAACAACAACAACAACAACAGCGCCAGCAACAGCATTCTATGCATGAAAATAGTCGGCTGTTGCGAGCGCTTACAAACTATATAGTGAAAGAAAAGAGGTAAAGTCAGATTCCATTGTCGTATTCAAATCTGGTTCTTTCAATTCGTAATGATTTTTTTGTTGTGGTCTTGATTGTTTATATTTTTGTCCTGGATGATACAGCGGCGTAGACGAAGGCGTACCACTTACAATTCTACAAGCTCTCATACCACTGGCTTATCAAATTCTATCTTCCGCGATCGAAGGAAATGGTTTTTCGGAATTGATGAGTGTCATGTCCATGTTGGCTGATGCGGGTTCCGAAAAAGGACATTCTTTGTTATTTGAAGCTGCGATTGAATGCATGGAAGTGTGGTAATGAATAATATATATATATATATATATATATTATCTTGCTCGTCCGCGCATAGAAATAGTTTAAGGGATAAGTAAAATTCGTTTTATTTTGATTTTTCTGTATAGCAAGGAACAACTAATGAACAAAGATCGTCAGACATTGTTGGATAAACCTTTGGCGTTCGTTGAAGCTGGATGCTGTATATTGAATTACATAGCGGATGTAGTAAACGCTGTTTGTCCTCGGTCCATATATTCCCAAGATCGGGCGAGTAGTCCTCCTTGGGAAGGAAATACACCAATCAACGACCTTAACGATAGCGACTGGATGGACGACATTCCGCACGAGGATGAAGATAGCGCTGCTGAAGATTCCGACGAGGACAGTCTTTGCAATAAACTTTGCACCTTCACTATCACTCAAAAGGAATTTATGAATCAACATTGGTATCATTGTCACACTTGCAACATGGTAGACGGAGTCGGTGTTTGCACCGTGTGCGCTCGTGTTTGTCACCGTGGGCACGATGTCACGTACGCCAAGTTTGGAAACTTTTTCTGCGACTGCGGTGCGAAGGATGATGGAACCTGTCAAGCTTTGACTAAACGAAGCCCTCAGGCATCGGAACACCAGAGCAACGGTGCCGTTGGTGTTGGCAACAACACAGCCTCATCCTCGGTCGGTTGTTCGAGCGGTGTCGTTGCTGCTACAAGTTACAATAACACGCTCGGAACTACTCTTGAGAACCGAGATCTTTTTCCGAGCAACTTACGTAGACGTACATCTAGCCCCCCGTTGTACTTGTACGACAAACAGGAACGTCAAAGTCGTGAAAAACAAAGAAACTCCTATTTGTCGAAGCAGCTAGGTAAACCATTTGAGATTAAATCTAAAGCATCCTTTTTCGTTTTTCGGCACTGTCCCCGCTATACCGTTGAGACGGTTCGAGCGTAGACCGGGTTCCCTACATTCCGGTTGTTCCGGTCCCTCGTTGATTTTTTAATATTTTCAGAAGCATCGAAGGATTGGATACACGGACATGTATGGAAAAGCGGGCTCGTGTCGTCGTTGGTAGATTTAACGCGAGCGCTTGTACCAACTGTGGATGCATTTTGTCAGAAAAATTCAGCGGTCGGTTGTTACGCACGAGCTCAAATGGCGCTCAAGCAGTTGCATACTGTCGATAAGAAATTTGAATACATCGATCAGTTGATGGTACGTGATTTAACGTGACACATGTTTGCATGACCTTTTACGTTTCTTGGTCTTTTATATACTGGTTCTGTAAAATTTCTATTAATCGACGATTCAGCTTCCCACTTTGGGTTCGCAAGAGGGCGCGTTCGAAAACGTTCGAATGAATTATTCCGGTGACCAAGGACAAACTATTAGACAGCTGCTATCCGCGCATATAATACGTCGCGTTGCCATGTGCTGTTTGTCGTCTCCACACGGCAAAAGGCAACATCTTGGTGAGTAATTTTATGGATCTTGATGTCCGTGGTGTCCCGTTTTAGTTGCTTGTTTGTCCGACGACAGTAATAACGCGCGCGTCACGTTCGTTTTTATTTTTTTTTTTTTTCTTCTCAGCTGTTTCGCACGAGAAAGGCAAGATAACGGTACTGCAACTGAGCGCATTATTGAAACAAGCCGATTCGTCGAAGAGGAAGCTGACTTTAACGAGACTCGCATCTGCACCTGTACCCTTTACCGTTCTATCGGTGACTGGAAATCAGTGGAACGAGGATTTCTTGGCGGTCTGTGGATTCAGGGATTGTCACGTGTTAACCTTCAACACTTCTGGAACAGTGTCGGATCATTTAGTTTTGCATCCTCAGCTGGAGACCAGTAATTTCATTATAAAAGCAATCTGGTTGCCCGGATCTCAAACTCAGTTGGCATTGGTCACGGCGGACTTTGTGAAGATCTATGATCTTGGAAGGGACGCGCTTTGTCCTCAGTATTATTTCCTTGTACCAACCGGAAAGATCAGAGACTGTACGTTCATGCACGCGGAAGATGGCGTCTTTTACCTGTTGATAATGTCTTCGGCTGGTTACATTTACGGTCAAGCAATGGATGAGGAAAGTTCTGCGAAACACGGCCCTTTCTATGTTACCAATACTCTGGACGTATACCATCCGGACATAAAGGATAACGGGCAGGTTGGCGGTGGCGGTGTATCGATATATTATTCGCATGCTCTGCAGTTGCTGTTTTTCAGTTACGCCTGCGGAAAAAGTTTCATAGCACCTCTGAAATATATGAACACTGACTTGACGATTGTATTTCAAATTAACCTTGCTGGCAACAAGAGTACAAATGGAAACAAATCGAATAATAATCAACCGCAACCGTTGTGTCAGTGGAGCGAAGTACCGAATCATCCTGGATTGATTTGTTCGGTTCTACAAACTAGCAATAATCCGGTGATATTGATGATCAAACCAGACACGATAATGATACAAGAGATCAAAGTTATTCCCGCCAAGGCTAAGATAATGGATATGGTTGCAATAAGGCATCCCACATCGAACGCTGAACAGCGAACAACATTGATTCTATTATGCGAGGACGGTAGTCTGAGGATTTATATGGCTGGAATGGAACAAACCGGATATTGGATGTCCCCGACCGTACAACCAACAAGCACAATCAGCACCGTTAAATCGACAAGAAAGAAGAAAACTACGAAAACGGTCAAACCTTCGGGTTCCGTTACCTTCCCCATTGATTTCTTCGAACATTGTCAAGTGATAAACGACGTTGAATTTGGTGGCAATGATTTGCTACAAATTTATAACGTAGCACAAATAAAGCATAGACTGAATACCACCGGAATGTATGTTGTATCGATGAAAACGGTGGGATTTATCGTTGAAGTTACCAATAATGACTCGGTTCTTGTTATGACGGGAATCAGGGTGCTTCTTGGAACTCAGGACGTTCAAAGAGCGCCGCTTTATATCGAGGTAATACTTTGGTTGAACAAATTGTAATCTGTTACTGTCTGCTGCGTTACGATGAACCAGATAATGAAACGCTCCTAATTTTTAGGTATTTGGTAGAATTATTTATACAACTGTAACGAAAAGTCGTTGGTTCGATATTCCTTTTACACGAGAGGAAAGTCTTCAAGCTGACAAAAAATTGACCATCGCTTTTGGATCGTCACAAGATCCCGAAGGTGTCACCATGGTAGATTCCATCAAGATGTACGTGTCGTATTGTTGCGTGATATTGATCTTTAGAATCGATCGCATTACCGACCGATCAACGTAAATAACGTTCCTTTTTCTCTCTCTCGCTCTCTCTCTCTAACTCTCTGCCTACACATTTAGATACGGTAAAACGAAAGACGCTTTCGGGTGGCCCGAAGAAATTGAGGATACGCCGACTGGTGGTCAGTCAACGGCTGCTCCGGTGGCCACGATAAACAGTGACACGGATAATTCTGTTGCTGTACCAACTCCACTGTCCTCTGTCGATAGGTACTTATGAAAGAAATAACAATTCTGACGAGTTCAAGTTCCTACTTTAAATCAATTAAATTTCATTCACTTTTTCTTTTCTTTTGTGTATGCGTGCGCGCGCGCGTGTGTGTGTGTGTGTGTACGCGAGAAACAAAATTTTTTATCGTTACGTGTAATGCTTTAGCTCCACGAAGGACAATTCCTTTAATATCGAAAGGTAAGGAGAACTTGAGCTACAATTAAGTTTTACGAGTCGGAGCAGTAGAGAATGAAATCGAATAATTTATCTTGCGAATCTTAACTTGTTCTATGCCAAGAATTATTTTCTTGTAGGTTGGTCGCGGGAATTCTGGAAGTTCTAGAACTGTCGTTCAATATATCATCGAACGATGAAAACAGACTACCTTTAAAAACTACAGCCATCGAAGTTGCCTCTCGATTATTGATACTGCCTACTCCACCACCTGTGCAGATGCATACGACAGCGCTCTTGGCGTCTCTGCATGCATCGAAGCAAGCGTATCATTTGCACAAGGTAAATCTATACACGATAAATCATTTTGCTGAGAGTGACTAAAATAATGGCCGAAATTACAAAAATTTTTCTTAACAGGATCACGTACTATTATCGCATGTACTGGATTCATTGAAATCTATGAGAAAGCTCAGCGATGCACGTGACATAGATGCGAAAAACTTTTACAGACTTGTACTTATTGTTCGAAGCATTTCCGTTTCCAGACCACAAAACCTTGCTAAATTTACCGACCAATACACAAACAAACCAATCGATGAAATGGATGGTAAGGCAAATGTACTTTAGTGTTACAAGTTTCTCCCGGTTTTTTGTTTCTTTGTTGTGTTAGAATCGTTAACCCTCGTCTCCATGATTTCTCTTTTATGCGCTTAGTACCAATTTTCGAAAAAGATCGAGCAAGTATCAATCAGTCGAATAGAAACGTGGATGGAAGTCAGCAGCATCTGGTTGTTCAACTTATGGACATATTATGGTCCTTACATATGGCTTATCCAAAAAACATGGCTTTAGCGCCCGTAGTTGTCCCAGGACTGACTCACGCCGAAGGAACGGTACATGCGATTGTTGAAATAATCCACGCATTTGCAACATGCGATGTTGAGAAAAATGTTCCCTTGGCCGCGAAATTGTATCTTCAACTGTTACTTTCGTCGGATACGGCCATCAGTTTTAGCGCCAAACAGGCGATAATTCGTGTTCTCAGACCGAGATACAAGAGACGAAAAGTTTATATACCAAGTCCTCCCAATTGTAGCACACCAGGTAAAGAACAACAAAACAAACACCGTTTCCATTGAACAAGACGTCGATCAATTTTCTATTTTCTTTTTACTGAAATGCGCATAGGAGCGATTATGGACTCGGAGGAAAAGCCAGTATCGTCAACCGCGCAATCGCATCGGGAATCTACAACAGGAACGTCAAGTTCATCGGCAGCTGACCGGGAGACGGAACAACAATTGGGCGGTGATGTTGAACCGATTGTATCGGCAGTTGATTCGTTAGCTGTAATGCTCGCGACGAATAGTAATCAAGGTTCCAGCGTCCCAACAAGCGTTGCTATGTCGTCCGTCGCTACGACCAGCAGTTCTATCGGTGGTGGAAGCTCCGCTACTGGCAGCCGAGGACCAACTGCTAGGGGAGCGGTAAACTCTTTGGAGATGTTGCTCGGCGCAGGAAATTTCCCACAAGTTCTGGACGTACCACCGGATACCGACGACGAGGCTATGATGGAACTTGCGATTGCGCTTAGTTTACAAGATCAAGAAGGAAGTGGTACAGATTTGCAAGCGTTTCGACAGGGATTCCAACAAAGTTTGTCGAGCTTACAGGGTTTGGAAAGCCTTCAAACCATAAGCGGACCTGCATTGCAGAGTCTACAAGCTTTAGCGGCTCAAGGATTGGTTCAAGTTCAAAGTACAAGTCAGGTGTGTAAGCGAACAAATTTTCATTAAGCGTACGTTACACCACCGTGTATTGCTGTCTTAAACGGGAAATACAAGGACACGCGTTGCTGCGAATCATTGGCGCATGATTTATATCGCGTTCACATGGACAGGGTCAGGAAGGCGGAGGGCATTATTCGGATACGACTGCCTCTGCTGGAGGATCGGACGACGAGGGATCAACAGCTGCTACCGACGGTAGTACCCTGCGAACGTCTCCAGCGGAACAAGTGAGTTATTCTACAGTTTTTCAAACTGACACTCTTGTCTGTTTATCGTTTACTTTCACTACTCTCTGCTCTTGTTGCTATATACACGATACGTGTTATATGTATAACGTGAAAGAAACAGCGACATAAGGGGGAGGGAGAGACAGATTGTCGATAGTTATATGTCTGTTCGTAGTAGTAACGTTTGGGGAACATTTTATGTTAGGGTGGTAGTGGTGGTAGCAAGGGCAGCGAGAGCGGTGGAAGCGAGAGCGGAGGAAGTGCCGTAGACAGCATGACGGGGGAGCATAATGTATCGGGAAGGAGCTCCGCGTATGGAGACAATGTTGCCGATTCCGTACCTCTGATCGGACGAATTGGAGTCAATCAAGCGCCACGTTCCGAAACTAATACCGTGGGTCTTCACGCGACTTTCACCGTAAGTGCTGCCGTCATTGCGGTCGTCGTCGTCGTCGTCGCCGTCGCCGTCCGCTGTTACAGCTACCCCGTCGTTATGTTTTTTGAACCCCCATTATTCTTCGATCATCTTTCCCGTATCATTTTTTTATTCGTTAGTTCGATCTCGGTCTCTCCCTCTCCCCCCTCCCTTTTTTGTTTAGCTTTTTCATCTATTCATTTTCATTATAGCTAGTGTGTTGTACGCTTAACTCTAATGTTTTATATCTTAAAAAATACCCTTTGCGAATTATCGAGCTTCTCAACTATTACCTATACGTGTGATTCACATTGACCCGATGGAATTTCTCGAAAAGGTAAGTCGAATTGCAGAAATTACAGGATTGAAATTATTTTGTTAGGTGGCCGAACAGGAAGAAGGCACGGAACAAGAACACACTACCGAGCAAGAAAATGATACGAGTTGCGAGATGACAACAAAATTGTATACCGTTCGATTGATGCTGCTCGACAAGCTTGTACAATTCGTACCGCATTTGACGAACGTACCCGGTGTCTTGGCCATTCCATTTATGCAGGTTTACTACTCGACGTGTTATATTTTGTCTATGATTTTCCCCCTCCCGTTCGTAAATCTTTTTCCCATGAAATTCCCGTTTCATTTAAATGCCATACATGCTTTCTTAGGTTCTGCTATTATTAACACCCCACCTGGATGGTCAGGAAGAGAAAGATAAAGCTTGCGTCGAACGGTTACTTCGAATATTGGTAAAAGAGCTAGAACTAGATAAACCAGATACGCAAAACATATGTCAGCGTACCAACAAACGAGAAGTTCATTTGGTTATTATGCGTTTTCTAAGTGAGTGCCGCCGTGTTTAATGTAGTCATTTATTTGAACATTATTTCACGACTGTTTAATACGTGTTTTAATAATATCATTGCATTTGTCTCGATGATTTTAAGGCATTGTAATGTCCCGTTGGAAATATACTGCAAAGACACAAGCAGAAAATTCGAATTCCGTTCCTCAAATGGCTGCGGCAATACTCAGTACAGGAGGAATAATTGACTACTGTTTGACACTGTTAAAAGCGTTGTTGGAATATTGGAAAACGTAAGTTCTCTCGTGCACGTACATACACGACATACGTACATACATATATATGTAGATATGCGGTTCTTTATCTTCTTTTCTAGTACATCGACCGAAGAAACTGGCACTATTCTCGGTGGTCAGTTACTCAAAGAGCATTTGACAACTTCGCCGCCAAACATGTCGCCGTTCTTTTTTCGGCATTACGTCAAAGGCCATGCCGGTGACGTGTTCGAACCATATCCACAGTTATTGACTGAAATGGTACTACGATTGCCTTATCAAGTTCACAAACATGCTGAAAATACAGCGGCACAGCCAGCCTTCGAACAACCCTGGTACTTTTATCTTTGCGAGTACATGATGTCGTATCAGACACCGTGCGTCAGACGACAAGTACGCAAGTTGCTTCTTTTCATTTGCGGCAATAAAGAGAAATACAGACAGTTGCGCGATTTGCACGCTTTGATCTCGCATGCTCAGGTAAGTTACTAGCAGGATTTCATATGTTGTCTTGTTCGAGTGATTTCATACGGAATTTCTTGATTCTGTTCGTTTGATCGCCGTAGTCGGTACAACAGTGCTGCGCCGCTGGTGGATTCGAGCCCCTCCAAACGCGTCCACATTCGATCAATTTACCCTACGATTCTTTGGTGGAGTTGATCGAACACCTGAAATGCTGTGTCGAAATTGTTTGGACGAAGGTGTTAGTCCTACGGTGTTGCAACTTCTACAATGCGCTATATGTTCAAGCAATAAGTCTAAGGAGCCCAAGGAAACCAAGGCGAAAGTAAACGTAAATTTAGTTTTCATTTTTTCTTTCTCGTTCGTTGTGTTCTGTTCTATCGATAATATCCATAAATACCAAAGTAATTTCGCTGTATTTTATGTACTTATTATGTACGTTTAGGACTCGAAACCAGGAACTACTACGGGGAACTCTACGAAGGAAAGACGAGAACGCGAGAAATCCGAAGACTCGGACACGGAAGCTAAATTCGAAGAAGCTCAGTGTCTAGCTCTGGTTGAACAAATTCAAAAACAAGTGCCGCCAAGTTTGTTGACGAAATTCATTCAAGCATTTTTACTCGAGACCAACAATACCAATGTCCGCTGGCAGGCGCATTCTTTGATATTGGCTATATACAAGTGAGCGATTATTTCTAATTTCAATGAAATTCTATAACCATAGGTTGGTTGTTTTTCAGGAATTGCGGTCCGGCCGATCAAGAGATTCTGTTGGACCTCCTGTGGCGATTATGGCCCCTTTTGCCTGCTTACGGTCGAAAAGCGGCACAGTTTGTCGATTTACTTGGTTACTTTTCCTTGAAAACCCCTCACGCGAGCAAAAAGATGCACTTTTACATGGAACAGGCGGTCGCGGTATTACGCGCGCAAAATCAATTGCTCGCTCGACATCCGAACGCTAACCTGTACGCGAATCTTGCCCAATTTGTCGAATTGGACGGCTACTACTTGGAGAGTGAGCCCTGTCTGGTCTGCAACAATCCCGAAGTTTCCATGTCGACGATCAAGCTTTCGTCGATCAAAGTCGATTCAAAGTTCACCACGACCACGCAAATCGTAAAATTGGTCGGAAGTCAAACAATCAGTCGAATCACGCTTCGCATAGGTGATCTAAAGAGAACAAAAATGGTGCGCACAATCAATATATATTACAACAACCGATCGGTTCAAGCGGTAGTGGAATTGAAGAATAAGCCCGCCATGTGGCACAAGGCGAAAAAAATTACGCTGACGCAAGGACAAACGGAGATAAAAATGGAGTTCCCGCTACCGATTGTAGCTTGCAATCTAATGATCGAGTACGCGGATTTTTACGAGAATATTCAGGCTTCGTCCGAGACTCTACAATGTCCACGGTGTTCGGCAAACGTCCCCGCAAATCCTGGCGTTTGCGCGAATTGCGGCGAAAACGTATTTCAGTGTCACAAGTGTCGGGCGATCAATTACGACGAGAAGGATCCTTTTCTCTGTCACGCGTGCGGCTTCTGTAAATACGCAAAGTTCGATTACACGCTCACCGCGAGACCTTGTTGCGCTGTCGATCCTATTGAAAACGACGACGATCGGAAAAAAACAGTGGTAACGATCAACGCGTTGCTCGAGAAGGCCGACAGAGTGTATAAAAGTTTGATTTCCAACAAACCAACGTTAGAGATGTTATTAATTAAAATATCCGAACACCGTACGGATCGCGGCTTGGACGAGGGTACCGCCGCCGGTAGTACAATTCAAACGGCCAGCAGCGGAAGTACGCAAGTGAACAGAGCCATACAATTGCTCGCCCAAAAGTACTGCGGCGAGTGTAAAACTTCGTTCGAGGAACTTAGCAAAATTATACAAAGAGTTTTGGCGTGCCGCCGGGAACTCGTGGCTTACGATCGTCAACAACGAGGTCAACAAACTGTTCCCTCCGGTTCTGCGAACACCATTGCCGCCGATGTATCGTCCGTATCATCTGCATCATCTGCCAACAACAGAGAAGAATCCTCGATGGCGGGTACCGCGCCTCAGTCAACAACTCAAGTTGCATCTTGTACGGTTGTCGCCTCGCAAACGGTAGGTCGATGTTACGGATGCGCAACCGCGGCCACGGAACACTGCTTGACTCTGCTGCGTGCTCTCGCCACCAATCAAGCCGCCAAAGATGTTCTTTGCAAACAAGGATTAATCCAAGAACTCGTCGAGCACAATTTACGGAAAGGTACGGTACAAATGCAGGAGGAGGTCCGTCAGTTGCTTTGTCTGGTCACCAGAGACAATCCGCAGTCCACCAAAGAGCTTTGCTCTCTGCTAACTGGACGGATCACCTTGACCCTTCGTGGTCGAGTTCCTACTTCGGATCTGTCGGTGGCGGTCCGACACGAAATGGCGCTGTTGGCCGCTCTAGTTCAGAAAGAGGATACCTGTTGGGAACAGAAACTACGGTGCGTCATGCAATTGTTCTTGATGGCTTGCAAGGAATCGAAAAGTCCTGTCGTGATGGAGAGTGTTATACTGCCATGCTTAAAAATACTTCAAGGCCTGGTAAAACCGGAAGAACCGATTTCGAAGAAGAATAAAGATAAGGCTATCGAGTCATTGGCGACCGTGCAACCGCCGGAAGGTATTAGCATCGATGTCAACAAATGGTTGAACGGTGATCCGAAGCATTCGTATTCCGAATGGATTCATCGTATGCCGAGCAGGAAGTCCGGTCCACCTGCTGCGAAACCATTGAACAAAGACGAGACTCGTGTACTTTATCTGATGGAGAAGTATGGGCACAGATGGCGTAATCGGTGTGCGAGGCAACAAGGCGTTCAACCGTTGAAACTGGCCGATGGTGCTTGGTTGAAGGAGGTTCTGTTCAATCCGAGTTCGCGACTCGCGCGTCAAGTCGCATGCAACATGATTGAGAGTCTTTGCCAAGGAACGGAACGAAAGAAAGAAGTGCTTGTCTTGCTCACGTGTTATTTGGAGGAGTTGCGAACGGCCGGTGAAAGTAGCACCGAGTTTCTCACGTTGTATCAAAGCTTGATCAGACAACCGCCGTGGAAGCAATTTCTCGCTGTTCGTGGTGTTATGACCTTGCTCGCGGATCTTCTGACGAGAGAGATCGAAGAACTTCATCGGCTAGAAGAGACAACCTTGACTAGCGATTTGGCGCAAGGTTACTCCCTGAAGATGCTGACAGAACTTATGGCAACGTTCCTCGAGCAGGAAAACATTAAACAACATTACAAAGGTCGGCTGGTAGGGGCGGTTCTTAACGGTTATCTCTCACTGCGGAGACTAGTCGTTCAACGAACACGGCTCATCGACGATACGGAGGAGAAATTGCTGGAGCTTTTGGAAGAAATGACCACCGGCACCGAAGAGGAAACTAAAGCGTTCATGGCGATCTGCGTCGAAACCGTGCAGAAATACAGCATCGAGGATGTCCGGACGCCAGTTTTTATTTTCGAACGGCTTTGCTCGATCATCTATCCAGAGGAGAACGACGTCGGCGAATTTTTCCTGACTCTCGAAAAGGATTCGCAGCAAGAAGATTTTCTTCAGGGCCGAATGCTGGGAAATCCGTACAGTAGTTTAGAGCCCGGATTGGGACCGCTAATGAGGGACGTGAAAAATAAAATTTGTCAAGATTGTGAATTGGTTGCTCTGTTGGAGGATGACAACGGTATGGAACTTTTGGTTAATAACAAAATTATCAGTCTTGATCTGCCTGTAAAGGAGGTGTACAAGAAGATCTGGGTATTGGAGGGCGGCGAGTGCGACGCGATGCGCGTTGTCTATCGCGTGCGAGGGCTACTCGGGGACGCCACCGAGGAATTTGTCGAAAGTTTCAATGCAAGCACCGAACAAGAAGTGAACAACGAAGAAGTCTATAAAATGGCGAACGTTCTGGCCGATTGCGGTGGACTGAAAGTCATGTTAAACAGATTGGCCGCCATACAAGACGTGAACCGAGCTCGACCACTCCTTCAAGTTCTTCTCAAGCTGTTTCGACTGTCGGTGAAGGTGAAAAAGAACCAGGAGGTACTTAGTAAGCCTGAATTGGGAGCGGTGACGGTGTTTCTTGACGTTTTGCAACGGTGTCTTCAAACCGAATTGGAAAATTCACAAGCGAAAGTGACGGAGCAATTGCTGGATATCATGGAGACGATTCTGACGCACGCGGCCTCGCAGACACTCTCGAGTTTCGAAGCTTTTTCCCGTACTTTGGGCGGCCCTGAACATGTAAAGGCACTCCTCTCCTGCACTCAGTCCGCAGCGGTTAGACAAAGTAATAACGTGCTGGCCCATCTGGCGCGAGTCCTCGGTGCGCTCACTTATGGTAATCGAGAAAAGATGGCTTTACTTTGTGATTACTTTATACCTGTGTTAAATTTTTATAAATTCGATTTCGAACATACGCCGGAGGACGAGCAAAAGCTCGAAATGTTCTGTATTCTCACTCAGGCTATTGAACGTAACGCGATTGGAAATACTCTGAAAGATTATATAATAAGTATGGGAATTGTGAAGGATGCCTTTGAATATATAACCGTGCATGCGCCTTGCGTCAAGCCTACGCTTTTACGTACCGATAGTGACGAATTGAAAGATTTTATATCGAAACCGGCCCTCAAATACATTCTACGGTTCCTAACTGGTCTGGCAACGGATCACGAGCCGACGCAGCTCGCAGTCTCGCAAATTACAATCAGTATAATACACAGACTCGAACAAGTATCCTCGGATGAGCATGTTGGTTCGTTGGCAGAGATTCTCTTGGAGGCGTTGTGTACGAACAAACGTGTGGCAGAATTGATCGAAGAAGCTCGACAGCACACCCGTAGCGAGAAGAAACGCTTAGCAATGGCGATGCGCGAAAGACAATTGGGCGCGTTAGGTATGCAAACGAACGATAAGGGCCAAGTGATGGCCAGTGGAACGATTCTTCAGCAGATGGAAGATCTGGGCGATGAAACGGGATTGGTCTGTGTTATTTGTCGCGAGGGATACAAATTTAAGCCAAACATGGTAAAATACACCATTCACATATTATATACCCACCAGCCCCCTCGGTGTTTTCAAACATTCCAATTTTTGACAGAACAACAATTGTTTATTCGTTTTCAGGTTTTGGGCATTTACACGTTCACCAAACGTTGTAACGTGGAAGAATTCGAAACGAAGCAAAGGAAAACGGTAGGCTACACAACCGTCACGCATTTCAACGTTGTCCACGTGGACTGTCATATGTCAGCCGTGAGGCTAGCACGTGCTCGAGACGAATGGGAAAGCGCAGCCCTACAAAACGCAAATACCAAGTGTAACGGACTTCTACCGTTATGGGGACCCCAAGTTCTGGAATCTGCTTTCGCTAGTTGCTTAGCGAGACATAATACTTACTTGCAAGAATGTACTAGTCATCGCGACATCTCATACTCGTCGACTGTTCACGATTTGAAATTGTTATTGCTGCGATTCGCTCAGGAGAAAAGTTTTCACGAGGATACGGGAGGAGGGGGACCTCAGTCAAACATGCACGTGATCCCTTATTTGATTCATATGGCTCTCTACGTAATCAATACGTAAGTTGAATGAAAACGAAATTCTGATACACATATACATACTATCTCTCTCTCTCTCTCTCTCTCTGTCATCGTGATATAAAATCAATTCTATTTCTCCCATCATTAATTTCCACTTTTCTATAGCACACGGTCTGCAGCGCGAGAGGATAAAACGTTAACCGGATATCTTGAAACACCTCCTGGTACTAGCTGGCTTGAGAGCTGTTACGAAGCCGAAGGTCCGTTTTACCAATGCACCATATCTCTTCTGCTTCTGACACCAGCCCGTTGGAAAACATATAGAATCGCTCACTTGAACAGATTAATCGTTCTCGCTCACCAGCGATACGTTTCACCTTCGGCTGCTACCAAAAACATTGTCGACGTTACCATCAAAGATTACGCAGCGTATAAAAGTACCTTAATATTCTTTGGTCTAGTCGATTCTATTTATGGCAAGTTCTTCAAGGTATGTTACTCCGTTGATATACAAATATACATATACATATGTACGTGTGTTGTTGCTACTGCCTTGGATCAATAGTATGCCTATCCGCCGCGTACAAGAAATGTATATCGTCGTATATTCATTTCTTTTTTCTTTTCTGTCAGAATGTCAGTGTGGTTTCCGATGACCACTGGCCTTTGGTTTTGGCAGACTATATTAGGCTCAATGACGAAGCCATGTTGAAAGCTTCCGAACGTGTGCTCGCTATTTATCGCGACGAATTACTACCCAGTACATCGTTCGAAGAGTTTTGCGACGTTGTCGGTAAGTGAAGCGAAGAAAGAGAAGTATTATAAAGTATACAAGTTTTTGGTTCTTTTTTTCTTTATCAATAATTACAATTTTATTTTTGTTACAGGTTTGTTGGAAGAGATAACAAACCCTTCCACCTACATAAATGACATTATACGAAGTCTCGGTTAGAAAATAATCCGTTAGGGAATGCGAATGCGAATTCCATTACATTACATAACATAGACAACAAATCGATCTTTTACGTAAATACATATAACAATACTTTTTGTCTTTTTCTTTTCCGTTTTTCTTTTAGATCACTCGATCAAATTCTATCTTTTCATTTTCATTTCTCTTTGCTTCGTTGACATATTACCATCGCGTGTGTTTATTCTCTTAGCTTTATCGACTTTCTCTTGATGAGACTCGTGCGATTTGATAAAGCCACGCAAGATAACTCGACGATTAAAGAGAGGAAAAAATAGCGAATTGCAATTAATATGCAATAACTCGCTTTGTAAATTGCGAGTTAACTTGCTTTCTGTAGAGGAAAAATACTTTTATTGTACTACGCGTGTCGTGTGTTATTCAACTCTGTAATTGTACGTTCAAAAAGAGTCTGTGCTTTAATAAAATACGAAATATCTATTTTCAGTTTTTAATTTTGATCAAACAGGGTTCCCGGTTCCTTCTCATTGAATTGAATCGATTGTATCGTATCCTCTTTTGGAAACAAAAGAGTATGAATTGCACGATATAGAACACACCAGCAGTTTCAGGTACGAAAATATATACATACATACATACATACATACGCGCGCGCGCGCGCGCGTGTGTGTGTGTGTGTGTGTGTGTGTGTGTGTATTACTCTCCCCCACAGTTCATGCACGTGTATGTGTGTGTGTATTACTTTCGACCATGCGCTACAAAATATAACCGAAAGTTTTATAAATGACGTACTTGTAAAAATCGAGCGTCGACGATTATTTATATAATAAATATCGAAACGGTAAATACCAATCGTCCTTTTGCATATAAATAGTTCTATCAACGACACTTTATGCTCGCGTCTTGTTTTCCTTTCTTAACGCTTTTCGTTGTTAACCGTTCATTCAAGCTCAACTATTGTTTAATAACTTAAATCTATTCGACGTAATGGTGTTCAATTACATTGACGCGTGTGTATGTGAGAGATACCTATACGTTTTCCGTGTTCATCATCGATATAACAAACAAATGATGGACCATTTGTCACTATCGTACACGGAAGACGAATCGACCGACGCATTTGCAAATATTGCTGCCGCGATCGAAAACTCTCTTTAACGTGCATGATCGCAATTTACACAACAGTATTCTGGGTATTGGCAAAAACAAAACGTGTCTTTTCGTTTATGTGTCACTTTTCCACAATTTAATTGTTTTGTCATTTTCAAGAGCAGCTGATGCTATAATGTTATCCGTGGGATGACATGTTGTACAAAGCACGACGTCTACGAATCGGTAAAAAAATTGTAATTAGTACATCGTATTTTCGTATCAGTTGGGCCGCTTGCATTATAAATTAAATTAAATTATTGCTGTGTACCTGTGTGACCTTGTAATTTTTGAACTATCTCTTTGGTCTGCAAATTCCAAATGTACACCATATTGTCTTCCGAACCCGAGACAATCCACTGTGGACAGTAAACAAAAGTTGAATGAACCAACGAAAAGCGTGCAAGTGTTGAAGTATAAAAGATGCTTGATACATAAGGACGCGCGCACCTTTCCTCCTGTGACAGAAAAGTTTGCAAATATACAATATTTCTCGTTTTTATGGCCAGTGTACGTTTTCAAACATTTCCCCTTACTATAATCCCAAAGTTTTAACGTGTTGTCTAGGGTAGCCGCTAAAATATATTTTCCATTTGGCGAAAACTTCACAAAAGAAACGGGAGGGTTATCATCGTCTATTAATGTTTTTAAACACTGCCCCGACGCTGTATCCCAGATTCGACTGTACAATCATATGTGGATTAGTACAGTTTCCATTTATTCATTTATCTGTAGTTCGATATTACTCTGTTCAATCTAGTAAAAAAGAAGAAAAGATACGTGCTCACCATAAGCCATCGTAGCTACTGGAAACAATCAATGATCCATCTCTATTGAAGTGTACTGCACTTACGGGATCCGAGTGAGCAGGTAACGTTTTTAAACATTTTCCAGTTCTAACATCCCATATTCGAACACTTTCGTCAAACTAACAGTATTCTTTATAATAGCAATTTTCGAAGCGAGCATAGATAAATGAACGATTTATGCCGGCAAACTCCATTTTCCATAAACATGTAACATATCCCCTTTAACATTTGATCGACAGTGTGAGATGCGGTTAAGGAAAACCAAATTTTATCTCGGTTATAAATTCAATTCCATTGCACGATTATCCTATCATTTGTTTCGTTAAAGCACACACATAGTTTTCAATTGCTTGTACAGATACATTTACATGTATAGAAATCCAAAAGTTTGCGTGCATAAGGATATATGTACATAGAAATACTTACGGAACCGGAAACTATAAGATTTGATTGTGGGTTAAAATTGCAACAAAATACATAATTACTATGGCCTTTCAATGTCTTTAAACACTTGCCCTGTAAGCAAAACGAAGAAAACAAAGAAGATGACAATTATCAATAATAAAGCTCATCAGAGAAAGGATAGAGAAAAGCATTAGTTTCCCAATACATTGAGACTTTACTTGTAAAGAAATCTCTAATCTGTATGTTCTTGATTGCAAACTTACAGAACTTAACTCCCAAATCTTCAATGTTTTATCATCGGATGCAGACACTAATAACCTACTATCGCTGGACCAAGCTACATCTGAGATACCCAGTTTATGACCAGATATAGTTTTTTCAAACTTTCCATCATAGGATCCCCATATTTTTATCAATTTATCAGCAGCTGAAAAGAACAAATTCTATTTAGCTTAACTATTGTATAGCCTGTGTAAATGTATATACCAAGAAATCTCTATTTACAAGAACTCGCAAGCCATTCTCCATTGGGACTAAATTTTACAGAAGAAACTGCTTTAGTATGACCTGCCAAAGTATATTTCAGAGTATAATTTGGTTTCTGAAAACAAACAAAAAATGAAGAATGAAATAATCCGAATGATCATGGAATATTGAAGTATAGGTAGTTAAAAAAAAAAAAACTAATAAAAACCATATAAATCACAACGAAATGGAAAACTAAATGCTCGCTTGTGCTCACCAGCGTTGAGCTGCTCTTGGTTCCACTGGCAGGAGTGCTTGTCGTATTATTGACGGATGTTTGATGACCTGGCGATGGTCCGAGTGGTACCATTTTCGTACGAAATAATATACTTATCTACGATATAAATGAAGATTATAACGATAAATTACACGGGGAAACAATAGCGATTCCTAGTGTCATTTGCCATTCGAACCTCGTATGAAAGTCCAGAAGAAATGTACTATGTATATACGCTTCTCCACCACGTTGTTGAAACGACCAAAAGTTTATTCGTTTAAAATTACTTTATGTGACTGCATCCTAAAGTTTTAATGTATATAATACTTCTTTACTAAATGTATCTTTTCATTTTCTTCGAATCACTAACGCACGTGTGATCAAAGAAGATCTTGTTTACTATTTATTGCTACCTACCAAGCGTTGAATCGCGAAATTATCGCTTGTGAAATTTCCAAATTTTTATTCGTTCGTTCTGCTTTGTATCGATCCTTTCTTCTAATTTTCGCTTTTGTTTCCTACCATGTGCATTTACATTAGAGAAACAGTATTTTATTCTGCGGAACCTCCGGATTATTTACAGCTACCTTGGCATTACTTATGTTTTATACGCATTGGATCAGCATTGATACGCATACAAAACGGAAAACAATAAAAATGCTACCTTCATGACATTCGAGAATCAACTACAGCTAGCGCCACCTAAAATGCATGCGCTAGCTCTAGTAAAATCAGAGACATCAGAGTCAGAGGTAAAGTAAAAGCGGTAAAAGCAAAGGACCACTGATTAACATATATGTATATATATGTACATATGTATAACAATATACATATATGTATGTACATAACACTACAGATCAGTACCGAGGACGGAATCTATTCCTTTTTACAATGATTTTGTTTTTGCTAAATCTTTGTTTTCTTTTATTTGCTCGTTTTGTAGACTAGCGGTCAAAATAGATACTCAAATATATCGTTATGCACCACGCTGCGATAACTCGAAACTGCTCGAAATCTTCGAGACACCTCGAGACTCGAGACCAGTAAAACATTTCTTGTATGACATTCAATGGTATGTAACGAAATGAACGAAACGTACGGAATTTTCCAACGATCGCGATGATCACAATATCAAATATGTAGTTCATAGAAATTTCTTGGATCAACGTTGTGCATAACGAGTGTCCCCATATCCCGAGCAAACTCGGCTTGCGTTAGGAAAAAAATTGGCGTAGGAAAAATGCCATCTACCATTTGAATTCGGAAGTTTCTGAAATTTATGCCAAATTACCATGCATTTTAACATTTACTTCAGTACTTGAAATAAATTTACAAAGTGCTAGGAGGCCCTTATCCTACGTCACTTTTTCTCCTAGTGGAAGCCGAGTTTACTCGTATGTGTACATCTCACACACACGGGGTCTCTTATGCATGCTCCGGGGGTTCAAAGACCCCCTTTAACAAACTACTACACCGTACATATTACACACACGGGGTCTCTTATACAAGCTCCGGGGGTTCTATGACCCCACTTACCAAGCTACTACACAGTTCATCGGGATCATTAATACATTTAAAGGATTACCCCTATCACGAGAGTTTCCGGACCTGTATAGACGACCGTGGTCGATACTCACTCCATTCGATACGAGTATTTTTGTTCGATACCTACTTGGTATCGATATCAAAAGTACTCGGTATTGAAACAAACGTATCGAGTAATGTACTTGTATTTACTTGTATCGATTCATCCCTAGTTACACGTCAGTGCAGATCACGGTCGTAGGGATTTCGGAAGTGTCGAAAGTGGGAACGATTCGAGGGTGGGGACCTGGAGACTGTGTTATCTCTGTTGATTTGGCGGATTTGGCCCGCTACACTTGGACAGGCTTGCTCATTGTCAGTGCTGTTTAGGGCCTTTAGGAACTTCAACAAACTTCAGGCTGCTTCAGGTCGCTTCAGGTCTGTTCAGCCCAGTTCAGCCTGTTTTTTTGTGGGTTTTATGGTATTGTACAGTATTGTATATGTAGTATGTCATAGTATGTTGATAATTTGTAAGATTTTTCTGCATGTGCGCCGTCACATACCGTAGGCTCATAGGCAACAGAACATTCTGGAACAAAGGCAAGAGCTTTCATTTTGGCTGGTGATTTTTGTATTATCGGAGTGAAGTAGACAATTATTTTAACTGTCAGTATAACCACGTATAACTACAGACTGCTTGGTGTTTATACATACATTGTACATTGTTAAATTGTACCATGCTTACTTTTACACGCTTCATCAAGTCTTATCAAATGCCTTTACACAATAAATACAGTGCTAACCCAAAAATTAGGTAGCTCTTGTAAGTACATACGTACATACATACATACACATTATGCATACAGTGAGTTACAGAAATATTCGTACCCTCGCAATTCTTGAATTCAAAACGACTAATGATTGTTTAACAATATATATGTTCTGAAATGTTTATCACTAGAGATGTGTAGTGCAATAACTACACTTTCGAATGATATGTTGCTTATTGGAAAATAACAATTCATAGAAATATATATAATAAGTGAAAACTCCTGTGACTCACTGTACATATTATCAAAATTAGCATGTACAATGTATATTTAGTTATAATGTTTCGGTTTTTCAAGTAAAACCTATGATAACTATTTGTACACACAAGTGTTCGAAATTGAAGGATATAATCTGGAAAAAGTAAAGCAGAGTCTATGAGGTCGCAAGTGGAATCTGGTGCAGAATTATTCGCGAGACTAAATGGTAAACCGAGTCTCAGAGGGCTAGATGACACGTTGTTTCTCGAAGGGCCTGGAAATACAGACACCATAGAGATAAATGGCGAACATTCGACTGGAAAAACTCTTCTCCTCTCTCGTCTAGTTGCAAAGTGCATCTTGCCAGATTATAATGGAACTGTCCGAATTAAAGGTTGCAGTGCTTCAGTCGTATTAATAAATACAGATCATCATTTTCAAGTCTCACAATTAATCGAAATAATGACCAATATTGTGAACGTTGCTTATGCTACACCGTTTACGTTCGATACGATCAACTCGGATATTGATAAAATAAACGCTGTCCGAAATTCGTTGCGTAATCTACGTATCATCGATTGTTACAGTAGTGAGCAATTTCGTCTAACGTTACGTACACTAGACGATCTATTTCTTAGCAATGCTGGAATTGCCCTTTTAGCAATTGACAGTATAACAGCGTATTATTGGCAGGATCGTGAAAACTGCGTAATCAGTATTGATTCCTATGTAAGCAAATTGTTGAGACTTGTCAAAATGCATACAAATAGATTCAATGTAACAACAATATATACGAAACTTCCCGCATCTGTCGACAATTGTAAAGGGAAACAACTTATGGCAAACCATTCAGCGAATACTATTGAGTATAAGATACATTTGCGCAAAATACACGGTTCGCAAAATTTTACTTGCATATTAGAGACAGGTCAAAGTAGCAAAAGAATGCGTTATTCCATTTTATCGAGTGGTATTAAGTGGTTAGCTGATCAAGGAGAAGGATAAATTCTAGATTATATTTACAAATTTTATTAAGGCAGTGTATCATTTGAAGAATATTTTCTCCACTACATCCAGTGGATTTAACAGTCTGGATCCTGCTAATATTATACAGGGTGTTTTATTCTTATTATGTATCGCAGTAGTATCTTGTACTAATTTTGCTTCCTCAGCGGTAAATCCTCCGATAATGTATATTAAAATATACGGATTGTCACGGGCATGACGCTTTACTTTACCTCTTAAGAGTAAACTATAATATACAAGACGAGTTTCGATGGATTGTGTTTTAGTTGAATAAATATCATATCTGGGGTTGTTGAAATGCTTACTTGAAACCAGCTGAAATTAACGACGATGATCGTTGACGAAGATCTCTTAGTTCTCGAACTGTACCCGGTGAAATTATATCTCTTGTTATTTGTTCTAAAATACTGATAGGGCGATTCGTTTCTTGGGAATATGCCTTTATCATCAAAAATCTTAAAATAATTGAAATATTATAAGAAGAAATTTAACGAATCATAGAAAATTTCTAGTTTCCAGTTTGAAGTCTTACTTGTAGTCTTGTAGCGTCGAACGTTGGTTCGCGACTGATCGAAGTGTATGAATAATACTCGCGGCTATTTTATATGATGTTTCCCGCGCTGCGACCACGTCGTTCACTTCTAGTATAAAATAACACGATGATAAAATGATTTGCAAATTATGGTGTTCAAGCCCAACATATGGCATAAATACATACCCAACAATTGCAAAGTTCGTCGATAGGTGGATATCGTGTTAGTTGACGGACTCCTTTTAAGAACTTCATAGTCTTCGAAAATTGCATCCGCAATTGATTCCTCTAGTTGCTGTTCTTGCTGTGAGGAAAATTGAATTTGTGTTCCCGCGAGGGCGTAAACATGTATTAGCAACGCAAACAAGTTTTCAATGTCGAGTCCTCTGTGAATTCGTGTTCTTATAATGTTACTCAACTAAAACAATGTTTGACTGATTTTTATTCGGCGATATACACATGTTGCGTAAACACGACTGAAATGGAACAACTGGTTATACTTGCGTAAGTATACTCGAGGATTCTCGGCTGACGGAAAGATTTTGCAATACTAATTTCTCTAAGCTAGTTAGTAATTCGAATTGACTGGTTTTTTGGGACGTCGATGCTTCGACTATTGCCAGGATGCTCTGCGTCATGGATAAATTACAATTGAAAGCAATCGAAGCGTATGTCCGATACATGGGAAAAAGTAAAAGGAAACTCAGAAAATTACCTGCACCTTCTCTGTATGAACCATCACAGAATCGATTTTGTTGGTAACCTGAATTTTACCAAGGGCTTTTTCTAAACTGTGACCGGAAATTCTCATTGGATTTCTCAATTTTGGACTATCCTTTGTAGAAGCCATATTGTTTAGCGACTGATTGGCCACAGCTAATAACTTTTTTTCATTTTCTAAGATAAACAAATCAATCGTAGTTTTCTCTAGATTCGCCAAGCAACCGGGTACTTCGTGTGCCCGTAAAATTCCCTTAAGGATCGTAAAAGGAAAAACATGTATAATCGAAACGATTAAACCGAATCTGTTTCATAATAAGATATCTTGCATCATGTGTTACCCTTATCGTTCCAAATACGGGAGACGTTTTGATTGCTATATCATTATTGTGTTGCGGCAAACGCGGAAATGCTCGCAATATTTTCGTGAGAAACGATTCCACATTATTGCTAGAGGGTGTGCAGAGGTCTAGCGTTCTGTCTATTAAAATAAGGGATACTCCTAATTCTTCGACTTCTGATAGACGCTATAACAATAATGAGTAATCAACTTTACATCTATTTATTATTTTGTTATTTTACTACTTACATTTTGACGAATACCATTAGCCATGTGGTTCTCTAAATTCTCTGCAAGGAGACTGCTGAATTTTCCAACAGAATAAGTGTCTAATTTGGCGTTTATACTGTCAAATAGTTTGTAGAATGAATTTGCCAGAAGACTTATTTCGGGAAGCATATCTTCTGTAACATTAGTGTCTAAAGGTGGCATAAAATCTCCGAAAGCAGGTGTCACGAATAGGTAGTCATTTAAAGGGGCAATAAGAAGCGGTATGTGGATAATGTTAACAGAAAGATCCTGCAAATTAATTTATTGTACTTAAAGTAAGAAGTTAAAAATAACAATGACTTGTGGATAAAAATAGTATGAAATGGTTACAATGACTAAACTGTAAAATTTTACGTCTTCTTAGCGTGTGTGTTAAGAAAGTTCGTTACTGGCCTTAATTTACTTTAGCATAACAGAACCTTACGTAGAGAAAATATGCTCCTACTTAACACATTCGGGACCAACGAAATATTATTAACAAGACCGTCCCCAGCAGATGAAAAAGTTTATGTATATTTCATGTATTCCGAGTCATCGACCAAAAGATAGATGTGTATCACACGACTCATATGCTGGGTTGTTGGTCTCGAGTGTGCTTCAAAAGTGCCTTGTCTGTAAAATGGTCTATATAAACATGCATATTTGCATAAAATTCCATAGTCTAATGATGACATAAATAACAAATAAATAATAAACAAACTTGTGACGGATTCCTTGAAGCCATCCAAATTTTAATGTCCCTTTTTAATTTAATATAATTCAACTTCTCCTCTGTTAAATGGACTCCGGGATAATCGGTAGTGCAACAAGGAACACTACAATATATTGTGCAGCTGTCAAATGTATTTTTTGCTAAAATCATCTTGATTGTTCGTTGGTAAAATGCTGGATCGCCAGCGGTTGATACAATAACAGCTTTTTTGCTGTTCTTTACCTCTGAATACTGAAAACCATAAGAGTTGTATCTGTTCAAATGTTTGTCGGATACAAGGACATTGAGAATGAACATTTGTTTCTGTTATTTTTTTGATTTCGTGCGACGGTTAAATATAATTGATGTACTCACTAGAAAATGATACATTCCAAGTTCATGAACTGCGATTGCACCAACATTTCTCAAAGCCGTGTAACCTTTGCCAGCTGTATACCAATGTAAGCATTCGGTTGCATATTGATCTATGTAAACTACAGCACCGTGTACTTCCGTGAATATATTTGCCCAACATTCGGAATTGAACTTTTTCATTTCCAAAATAAGATTCGTCATTTTGGTTCTCTTTCTTTTTTTGTTTGTTTCTTTTTATGTATATACGTTGTAGCTACATTAGGAACAACTTTCTTGATTTTTTATTATGTTCGCGGCAACCCGCTTCTTCTTATTCTATTATACAATCTGTAATACTTTATTTAAAACTTTAATTAATATGCAAAGCTTCCGTAGAAATAACAAAACATAAGTTACTATTTTTACCACTGGCGATAAGTCTCTCTTAACGAAACGTGACAAACATGTCCATTACTTAAACTTAAAGAATAAAATTAATATGTATTTATATAGATATATAAGATCGTATATATAATTGTCGCCGAGTCGTACGGTGAGTAATTAAAACTGTCGACTTCTAATCACTTTGAAACACTTCTAATTGGACACCTCGCTTGACCTCGCTTCTATTCACTTCTATTTGCTTCTATTCTTGCTTGAAGTCACTTGAAGTCACTTGAAGTCTTGCTTGAAGTACATAAAATATATCGAATTGCCTGAACGGCTACGACTCGAACCGCTCGAACGACCGGGGAGAACGAATTTCGTATATCGATATTGATCGATATTTCGTTTTCGATTTAAAGTACAAGTCTAGCAATTTATCGAAGAAAATTTTAACCTAAAACAGAAAATGATTGTGCGTCGGTGGGAGTTTTATTTCGAGATAAAAAGGACAACACTAAAATACCGCGAATCTATGAGAAATGTTTAATCGAGCATCATTGAAATACGTTTGTTAAGTGGAGGAGACGGTTATACATTTTTGAAAGACATAGAATTTTTGCAAAATCTACTTGTTACAATACCTCTTTTGTAATTCACCAACATTTTAGTTCTTCTAATTTTAATTGATTCCGTCTGTGCAGAATTTCGTGAAAATTTCTATTACGTACGGAGACAGAAAGAAATATCCTGTTTCGATCAGTTCAGGTATGCCAATTGTATTGCTTTGACTGTAACACATATATAATTTCCTTGTTGCTCAATTAGTATCGTATAATTAGCTTATGAACAGTAAGTAAGTGAATCAGTGGTAAGAAGGTTGAAATAAAAGAACTTACATTATTACGTATTCTTCTTACACAGTGATCCAGGTATGCTCAGAAATGTCGTCTCCAAACAGCATAGAATCGTTAGGAACACTACAGTGGGATATGATTGAATTAGCCAGTCACCTACGTCAGGAGCGTTTGTTTGTCAGTTCAGAGCAACAAAATTTGCAACTACTCAACGAGAAGGTACAAGTTAATTGATAATTAAAACACATTCGAGACTGATGGCCCAGTATACGAGTTATGCGGTATTTCATCTGTCTGGCCGATGACTCAGCACATGGGTCGTGTACAACAGTGTATATATATATATATACGTAAACATTTCTGGCCGCCGAGGCCAGTCTCGTAATAATACGTCTATCTTGAATGTGTCGATGGAAATTGAAAAGCTTGGGAGCACAGAGATATTATACAACGAGCTAAGCTACAAGTATTACATTTGATTTCAGGTGCTGTATGCATCGTCGAATTTGGCTCAACAGGCATGGATTACAGCGCAACAAAGAGTGAATCTGAATCGGCTGATAATGTCTAGACCGGATTGTACACCGGCGTCTTGCTGTCAGAAAGCAAATACATTAGAAAATTCACATTTTTTAGATGCGTATAAATATTTACGTTACCAAGCTTGTTTATCCTATGGTGAATTCTTAGGCGCGCTTAGAAAGTCTCCTAAACTTCTTGCGTTGTGCTTAGTGGAAGGAGAAAAATTACTACCAGACTTTATGCAAAATATTGTTCAATCATTGGCAGCGGGTTTATACGGTAGTTGCTTGTTACCAGAGGATAAAATTCTAGTCTTAAAACTGCTGAGACACCTGATGCTGCTACAAATTGTACCATCAGATAATCCGCGCAGGTTACTCAGACATGGCACTTGTGCTTTTTCTAGGTTTTACTCTGTCTTTCATGAAAGCGTTTTTTCAGCCAAGTTTTTCTTGACTGCTGCTTTACATAATCCTATTGTACAGTTACTAATGGAAGATGAAATGTTTCTTGACATTGACCCGGATAAGGCACCCATAAGGTTTCCTCCATCTGAAAGATTGAAAAAATTTGGAAAGGAAGGTACTCCTGAATACGAAGCCAAGTTGCAACGTCACAGACTATGGATGGTCAATTCTTTATTTCGCATAACGCAAAGATTCATAGTCAGTATAAGAGAGAATATGCATTGTTTCCCGAGCAGTGTGTGTTGGTTGGTCAGACAGATGGCTGGTCTTTTGGGGAAAAACGGAAGCATTGATATAAAGGAGGTGCATGCAATGTGTACCGACTTGGTTTTCACTTATTTTATATGTCCAGCGATAGTAAATCCAGAGCCGTACGGTATTACAGACGCTCCTATTAGCTATGTTGCGAGATTCAACCTTATGCAAGTCGGACAGATTCTACAGATGCTCTCTCTAATGAAGTACCAAACAGTGGACAGCAAAACATTCGATCTTTACAAAAAGTTCGACAAGGATTCTGTCTCTTCAATAATAGATGCAATGATGGATAGCGTGACGGAGGAACTCGAGGATGAGCCAAGCATCATTGACAATAACAAACTACGAGGACTGTCTCGCTCTGCTGCCTTATTTACAGAAACGGAATTGAACACGCTAATTATATTTCTGCAAACAATAGCCGCGGAAACTCCGATAAAGGGTGACACGCCATCCACCGCGTTTGACGTGAAGCAATTGATCGACATGCTCTCTCAGTTACCTCCCGGTTCGTTGAATAGTAACAAAGCGACTAACAACGTTTGCATCGAAACGACCAACAGACGTGGAGGTTTCTTAGGAAAAGGTAATTGTGTTGTGGAATTATTGTGTGATGCTTTTTCACGTGTTAATCGTTCGTTTGGACATTGTTGAAGTTTAGGGAAAATCGGTTACCCGCTGGTTAGTGTTAGTGTAGGAAAATTCTGAATACGTACAGTAGCCAATTCTTATGTTTCACTGAACCGTTAACAACGATAAAGACGAAATTGAAATAAACAGAAAACGTATAAACACGGTACCTAATAACGAAGAATTTTATTATCTCGTTGTAGGAAAAGTACCAGGAGTAAAAGTGTCATCATCGTACTCATCCAATGCGACTAACGATATAGGAGACGAAGTGAACGGTGTGTCGACCCCCGAGGATGAATCTATCGATAAAAATTCTCAGGATGTTCTTGTCATTCCGTTCGGCCCGAATACAGGAGAATTTGTGGGACTTCTCAGCGAACAGAAAGTACATAATACGGTCTCGTTTTTTTTTATTTCTTCAAATTTGTCGATCTCTGATATTTTTGGGAATTTGATAGTTTCTCTTATTGAACAGATCGCGAGAAGATATTACCTGACGACTTTCTCCTCAATGTTGCAGGTCTTTTAATGCTGAACGTATCGAAACACAAGAAAAGAAAACACGATTTTCGTTGTCCCATGACGAAGGTACAGATTTTCATAACAATCTTTGAAGCTCGATCTAGTAATAGATTAATATGATAGACCATGAAGAGCTTACTGTAAATAATTAAGCACTAATGTACTCGTCGATTTCACCGGTATGTGTAAGGGAATTAAGAAGTTAACGTTAAATACTCTGTTAGTTCTATTCGAAGGCTTCATTGGAAATACCTCGGACAACTTGGAGGCTGTGTCGGAAGCGGCTTCGAATCACAGTGTTGCTTCTTCTCTGGAACTAGAAACAGAAGATCAAAATGATAATTTGTCGGATATGGTGTCTGCCAGTGTTTCGGGACGAGGAACGCCGAATATATCAGGTTCGTTGGTACATAGATAAATATAGATATGTACATAACGTATAAGAGAGAATAGTTTTCGAGCGAGAGAATGATATGTATTTGCGTTCGTGTTTATAGGTCGTGATACTCCGTCGTCTCAAATCACTGAAGGAGACGAAGGTCGCGTGACTGGCGAGGCTCGACAATTGGATTTACCCACACCGAATATACCAACGAAACAAAGTCGGTCCGAGATTGACGATAAGTTTTGCAAATTTGAAATAAAAAAGCTGATCGAAGGTATTTTAAAAGCAGACTAATAAAGTAGAAGAAAATAAATAAAAGGTATAGGTTAGGTCGAACTCCATCGTTTCTGGATCTTTTCAGGGGACGAAACCGTCTCGATGGTGTCTGATACGTGGTCGACAGATGTATTAGCTTCGGATAGTGAGACAGTTGAGCAACAAGAAAAGATAACGTACCCTCCTTCTGGTGAGCAAAATACTCCGGTTTTATCAGCAACATCAGAATCAATACCGCAAGCCGTGTTAGATGTTAGTGAAACAGCGTCTGAAGCATGGAGTACCGATGTGTTAGCCAGCGATTCGGAGAGGCTAACCGAAGTTGATACCGACGATACGGCTAGCGTCGCGAGGTATCTATCTATGTCAATCTGACATCAAAAAAGTTAAAACGATCGAAGACGTAGAAGAAAACAAAGAACGATCAATGATAATAGCAGCATCAGCTTTGATTTACATATTTGACAATGTTGGTTTTATTTACAGATCTGATGATACCGCGAGGTCCGAAATTGAGGTCGAAGCACGTAGCGAAGCAGAGGCCACCGAAGAAACATTGTCGCAGGCAGTTCCTCGTAAGAACACACGTTAGAATTTGATCTTATGCGTCGTATTCTCTTTTAGGATAATGCATGCCACTCTGTGTTCTTAGTGTGTACTTCTCCCTCGGCATTCGTCACAAATGTAACCGAACAAAACGAAAACAGGTCTGATTATCGGAGGAGTACGATAGAGTATGTCGACAAAAACGCCAACAACATCGGTAACGTTACGGATTATGATAAATCATTGCATGAGGACAGATTGGTTCGTCTCATAGACAAACTTCACATCGATGAAGGAAAAAGTCAGACGGAACGGCGAGCAAACTCAACTCACAATCATATCGGGATCGCAGCTGTCACGCCAGCTTTACTACTAGCTAATCATATATCACCACCGGTTTTGGCGAATGCAGAAAAACCGCGAAACTCTGACGGGAAATCAGAAGTATGTTTATTGTTCGCAACTATGCCATTTCATACATGCATATACATATAGTAGTATTAGTACTAGTAGTAATAGTAGTAGTAGTTGTTGTTATTGTGGTTGTGGTTGTGGTTGTGGTTGTGGTTGTGATTGTAGTTTATAGAAATTTAACACGTATATAATTTTCTGTAAGCGTTGTTTAATTACCTGTTTAGGAACTAGGGATCTGCGTCGGATCGGTCGGCAGAATTATTAACGAAGGACGCGGCCCGGAAGGTATAGTTGGATTGAGTACCGGCAGTTTAACATCCAACAGCAGCAGTTCTAGCTCCGAATCCCGTGCAAAGACTACTACTTCGACGTTACCGTTGTTGGAAGGAACATTGGTTAATGGAAACTGCGAAGTGATCGATACCGGTGGTATTGGTATTTCTCCAAAACCTATCGTGTCCAGCGGTGCTATTCCAAAAAGTATCAGCTTCGATATGACCGCAGAGCGTGGGGATAAAGAATTATTGGACGACGATCAAAAGAACAAAAGAAGTTTCTTTGGGAAATTGAAAATGTCGTTAAGAAATCGGCGAGGTAAAGTGGTTCGTGGTACCGACGACAATATCAGCAGATGTTACGACCGTGAATCCGGCGGGGGGGACGGTACCGACGTAGGTCGACATAGATTGCGGAGAATAATGTCGGAAGATGTGACGTCGACTGGTAACCTGACTATCGGTAAGCATATAGAGAAAAGAATATACAAAAAGGGGAAAATGATGAGCGAGACAAGGAAGGAAATACCGGTTGTTAAAACGACGTTAAAACTTTCTAGATAACACGGACGACATTTTGGCGAAATATAGAAGAAAACCAAGCGCAGCGAGCGATACGGCATCGATCGAGAGCAATCAGTCTCGTACGAAAGAAACAACAGAGGACGAAAGGCTACTTATAGATCCAAATAACATCGAACTCTCATACGCGTTTGCCGATGCAAAACGAAAGTTACGCATGGTGCTCAGTACAGCTGATCTTCAACACATTCCTTGGACCGCTACATCCGAGGTAATCTTTGTGTAATTGCAATTAAACGGAAAATCGCTTTCCTAAAACGAACTTTGTGTCTTGTTTTTTCTCATAGTTGATGATCCATTAAACGATATGCGACGACACTTTTGTTCCAGCGAAACCCGTGGTCGCAGAAAGAAAACGAATTGGTCGCATTCCTACAGTTGCAGCTGGCAGAAGCTATAAACTTACAAGATCGGGCGTTAATAGCTCATCTGCATGAAACACTGCGCTGTGTACGATTGTTTAATGATGATGGATGTAGGAAATTGTTCAAATCTTTACGCGAAGACTATCAAAAACGGTCACCTTACATCGCGTATTTAATTAGATGTCGACAAGGTTTACTTTCCACGTTGGCCCACTTGGACAGGTATTATTCTTTTCATCGTTTTAAACAAAATCCGATAGCATCGTGAAATTATGGATAATGCTAATGTTATATCATTGTTAATGTTGTGGGATCGTGCGAAGACTGTGCATTAGGGTAAAATGTGATCGTGATGCCGTTAACAATCATCTTGTTTCCGTTTGCGTACGGGTCTTTTTGGAGAAAAAAGAGTCGCTACTCTTGCGTTTTTGCGATGAATTTAAAAAACTTACGCTGACAGACGAGAAACAAGATTTGGTCGATAACTTTTTGGGAGAGGTTCACGCAAAAATGGACAACGACCCAATATGGCAATGTAAGTAAGAATCGATCCGACAATAGCTTGTAATTCTAACGATCGATTAATATTCGTAGGCGCGAGTGAAAATCAGTTGGGGTTAGCCAGAGTTGTGGTGGAAAGGACCGTGATGGCACGCGTTTACCACAATGCTCTTTATCCGAACGGAGACGGAGATGTTTACAGAGATCAATTGATTCATGACCATATTAAAAAATTGGCGAAAATTGTTACTCCCAACCACAAAGATTTACGTATTCCGAAAATATATCATTACGAGTGTCCCTGGCCTTGGGCACAAGCAGAATTGGCCGTTATATCTGCGTATAAAACACCCAGGGATAAACTGCAATGCGTCTTCCGTTGTGCGACCACCATTATGAATTTACTTTCGATGGCAACCGAGAGAGGAGTACCCGCTGCCGATGATCTTATTCCTGTTTTGGTCTACGTAATCATAAAGGCAAGCCATTTTATTTCTTGCATCGTCCACTATTCGATGATCCCTTTTTTAAACTCTGTGTTTCCCTTCGACTATGTTTCCAGACTAATCCGCCATCTTTACTTTCAACTATACAATACGTGGATAGCTTTTATGGAAATCGTCTGGAAGGTGAAGAACAATACTGGTGGACGCAATTTTGTTCTGCGATTGAATTTATAAAAACAATGGATTAACTTGTGTTTTTTTAGTAACACAATACTGTTGAAAGTGTAGAAATAGTGTATCATAATTAACAACGACTTTGTTGTCGTTATCATCATAATAATCACTGCTCTTGTAGTCATCGTAATGACCATTCTCCTTCATTTTCTTTTCATCGTCTCAATTACTATTACTGCGACTGCTTCTAACATTTCCATGCAGATTGATATCGCTTTTACTGTCATACAATATTATTATTATTATTATTATCAGTTTTACATTTATCAGTTCTTTTGAAGTTGCGATCATTTCTATATCGATACTTCAGCCATCATCTTTATTGTCGTTATTATACATATTGTGCTAGCACCGTAACTGTTGCTAGGTATTTCTACCGTTGCAAGTACATCGATTTATTCTTCTTGTAGTATATATGTTGAAAAATTATTGATTTCTCTTAAATCTCAACGATCTATCGCGTCACTAAACAAATCGAATGATTCGCATGTCTTAAAAGCAATAATGAAATTATATAACGTGTTAATAATGCAAGAGAAACCATTATTCGTTGTCCTTTCGAGAGATGCGTCCATTTTATATATTACGCGTGAATTTTACTTCTTGCGAATATCATGTGGTGTACCACGAAACGCAGTTTTTGTGTAAAGTTTTTATTTTTATTTTATTAAGGAATATCCGTGTCGTACAAGTACGTGTATTTTTTCGAACTTTCCGTGATGTACTTTAAAATTGAAACAAATTAATATTGCTTTATATGTACCAGCGGCCTATGATATAATTTTCTGTTGCGTCTAAATCTTACATTACAAGTTGATATATTAATTATAATGGCAATTCGTTACTGTTACTCTGTTACATTACGTGACTAAATACTTTTACATAAGTAATCCTGTCTAAACATTCTTTAGAAATTAGAATAACTATGTACAATGTAATATAAGGTAAATCACTATATTAATATATACATAGAAAATACTAGCGAATACATAACACATTTCAGAAAATAGTGTTGAGAAAATTTTTTAATAGGAAAGCAATTATTCTTCATCAATAATTAAGAGATTGTTATAAACTTAAAATATTGGTGAAGAATGAAATATTTTAAACTGTCCGCGAAAACTTGAATCGGGTGTATGTGATCTAAACTGCAACTGTAGTGACGCGTAGTGAGTAGATTCCACACTAAAGAATACAAAGTTAATACCACCATCACCACACCACTATGATTGACTATGACCCACTATGGACACTATGATGTATCGTATATAAGTGTTTCATAATAAAGAAAATAGAGTGACCAGAGAAAAGGCAAAAAGTGGGAAAAATGTCGAGACGTCCGGAACATTTAGCTCCACCCGAAGTGGTAAGCATTAATTTATTAATAATTATTAATCAATTTCTCACTTTCTTTTTCGTTTGTAGTTTTACAATCAGTCTGAAGCTCGAAAGTACACACAAAGGTATATCTTTTATTTATGCGTATCTGTACATATTTCCTTGTGTCTTGTAGATATATAATTGGCCTACATCTGTAATCTTGCAGCTCCCGAATAATAGATATACAGGAAGAAATGTGCAGACGTGCTATAGAGCTTCTTTTGTTGCCAGAAGACAAAACTTTTTTACTTCTAGACATTGGTTGTGGTTCCGGTTTGAGTGGCAGTGTTATTGAAGAATATGGCCATGTATGGGTTGGGATTGATATATCGCCCGCAATGTTAGGTAAATTTCTTTATTGAATATGTTTTCAGTAATGTATCCTTTTCTAAGTTGTATTACCTTACTTATATTCTTTCCTTTTACATTTGTAGGTGTAGCTTTAGAAAGGGAAGTCGATGGTGATTTAATTTTGGGAGATATGGGTCAGGGAATGCCATTCAAAGCAGGAGGTTTTGATGGGGCAATTAGCATTTCTGCTTTACAATGGTTATGCAATGCTGATAAACGTTCGCACGAACCGTCAAAACGTGTATATAAATTTTTTTCTACGCTGTACTCATGCTTATCAAGATCCGCTAGAGCTGTGTTTCAGTTTTACCCTGAAAATAATGAACAAATCGAATTAGTTACAACACAAGCTACGAAAGCAGGTTTTTATGGTGGTGTGGTTGTAGATTTTCCCAATAGTACAAAGGCAAAAAAATTCTTTTTAGTTCTAATGACTGGTGGACCTGCAGTTCTTCCACAAGCTTTAGGTGTAAATGACACTGATACAGTCATTTCTTATGCATCTAGAAGGTTGATTTTCCTATTAATCTCCCAAAATTTTACTGCATTCACATTACTTCTGCGCAGAGTATGAACTTTTTATTCCGATTACTTTCTAGGGAACAAATTAAAAAAGCTAGAGGTAAACCATTGAAGAACAGTAGAGACTGGATTGCAGAAAAGAAAGAAAGACGACGGAAACAGGGGAGAAAGGTCCGAGAAGATTCAAAATACACTGGAAGGAGAAGATCTGGTAGATTTTAGTAGACATATTTTATATGTGTAACTTTTATACAATACAACAGTCACGTTTCTATCTTTAAATATAAACACGGAGCGTTCAAATACATACGTATGTATCTATGACGTGTACGTACATGCATTCATATGTCAAGAACATTTGCCATTATATTACAATTGCAACTGAAAGTTATTTTAATTTGTTCTCCATTCTATGAAGCTAAAAATACAAAATACAAAAAATTGTGTGTAAAAGTACTATGTCCGAATCATGATTGGTTGCACATCGTAGAATTTAATGAATACATAGATGTCTTGTGTATGAATTTCTTGTACGTCTTACTTATAGACTACACACAGAAATTGCCTAGAACTTCCAAACCAGCCATACAAATCGTGAAAATGACAGCCCTTTGTGGTGGTTTTTGTAGTCTTTTTTTGCGTATCACAACTTACTCGGGTAACAAAAACTGGGACAAACTTCCATAAAGATTAGGGTGCACAGTTTTTTTCAGTTCTTCTCTATCTAACCAACAGTGCTTTATATCTGAAGAAATATCTCCACTTATATATTTTGCTAGAAAATAGAATATTTTTGCTCCGTCTTGTCCCTTAAGTCTGACATCTTTTGGATATTTATATTGATAGAAGCCAATTGGTGCACTACTATAAAATTTTACTTTTATATTATTCCCACAAAGCTCTTGTACAGTTCTTTGCGCAGTCTGAAACAATAGAGGTAAATAAGATGAAACAAACTTTAGCATTAGGACCTTACACTATATAATAATGCTTACCTGTATCATAGTTTCTCTATGTTTTCGTATGTTTTGAGGAGGAATCCAAAAGTTATCGCATCCTACTTGTTGTGTTACCAATAATACTAAAGTTTTATCTAATTTACGCTTTAACATTGGTGTTCCATCATCTGTGTCTTCTGCAAGTTAAGCGGTATGATATAATCTGTTTTAATGCATTCAAACCGATATATATATTACTACGAGACTATCCTCAGAAGCTGACAATGTTTACGTATAGTCTGTATATACGTGACCCACATGTTGTGTCATTGACTAAACAAGGGTACATTGTATAATTCATATTTTGGGTCCTCGGTCTCGATTGTATTAAAATATACAGCGCAATATTAATTAAAGTGTAAAATAATACAAAGTACATACCACCTGTTCGTGGTGCAAATTTAAATTTCATTAGTTCTTGCTTGCTACTGTCTTCAAAATCTTGTAATGTCTGAGTAACAATTTCGTCTACATTTTCATCTGTAGATATTGTTTTCTCTTTTCTGCTTAATTCCTGTTTCAGTTGTATTTCAAAATCTGATATCAAACTGTTTTCAAATTCTCTTTGTTGTAACATTTCATGATATCTTGCTTCTATATCTTCCATTGGTTTTGTAATTACCGGGTGACGTTCTAAACAAACAGCGCTGAACAAATCCCATTTTTTCACAACTTCAAAGTCGGCTTGTGATAATGCTCGGAATATAACCTTATACAGTGACGGAGTACCTGTATACAAATTTTTCGTTGATTTAAACTATTATTAGTGAGATTTTATTTTTAATCTAGACATTCCGTGAGATTCGCGATAGTCACAATACTCTCTGATCAATTCGTGAAAAAGATGATAATCGTTCAAAGATACAACTTACTCGTAGTTAAAAAAGACGTATTGTTTAGCGCACGAAATGATAAAATTCTCTTCAACATTATTATGCAACTTTATTTATGTTTTAATGAAAGCAAAACAAAATTAATAGTCTTCTTTTTAAATTAATACGGATAACACCAAATGCATAACGAATAAACAATACATTCCAATCGTCGAAATACGAGCAAATACGAGACAAGCAGGGACAAGCAACAGAGCGAAGAGCAGGCTGCTCTGAGTAGCTGAGAATAGCTGGAATAACGGAGCGGAGAAAAGCCCAGCCGGTCCGGACTCCGGGTACCAACTTTTGTCATTTATTGTTGGCAATTTGCTCGAAACTCGTACGCAACTGGTAATCAGATCGCTTAGATGTACCGTTATTCTAAGTATTGAATAACGGTACATATAATAATATACGTTTCCGTAATATGTATGTAGCAATATTAAACGTGATTATTTTTCGTTACACAAAAAAAGTGTAATAAGTCCGGCGGGACTAGAACCTGAGTTCTTTCTATGTATGTATGTACATAACAGTACATAACATGTACGTTTATTTTACAAGCGAAGATTTTTGGGTAGCTTCGAGTTGAATGAATTAATACGTACGTACACGTATGTACACCCAAGAGCAAACTCGGCTTCCACTAGGGGAAAAAGCGTGCTAGAAGGAAAGTCTTCTACCACTTGGGAAATTTATTCCAGATAGTGAAATAAATGTTAAATCGAATGTTAATTTGGCATAAATTTCAGTAACTCCCAAAACTAAATGGTAGGAGGCCTTTCGTCAACCTCACATTTTCCCCTAGAGGAAGTCGAGTTTGCTCGTGAAGGTACATCATATGTATCTAGTTCTCGAATGCACTGTTCTCATAACGTAGAGGGCAGCAGAAAATTTCTGATTTTATGCACGATCGGTATTTCAAAACATGTGATGTGACACAAAGTCCCATAAGATGGTAGGTCTACTCTGGTCTACTCTATACGTAACTCGTCTGTGGTGGCAGTTTGTTCATCGTTCAAAAATTCGTACAGATGTTAGAAATGAAAAGAAAATATATGTTTTGTCGATTTTTGTGGTAAATGGGTCAATGATAATTGTGTAACAAAAAATTTTAATCTAATAGAAGAATTTATTTTTGTAACAATTTTGTCTATATACAGAAAAAACAGAAGTATGCGGCTCGCGAAGCAGTGATAAAGTTCAATTGCTGCTTTTTATTTATACAATGCTTCGAAAATGGAAAAAGTTGACTAATGCATCCTTATAAATAATAGCGTTGTTTATTCGTAAATATCTTCTCTGTCTGCGACGTAACGGACTATGTCCGTAGGACGTAATAGTCTCTCCGCATCTATGTCTGGTATTTCGAAACCGAATTCGTCTTCTACAGCCATTATAATTTCTACATGATCCAAGGAATCCAAGCCCAAATCATTTATGAAATGAGAATCCACTTGCAACTACAAAAAATTTTAAAAATATTAGTTATAAAATATATACAGAAGCTTTTGTATAACTGATATGCAACAAGAATAAGAATACAATTCTTTTTCAGGATACTTCTAACAAATACATTTTGTTCTAGAAAAGTTAAGAATTATGTTTACATATCGGTGTAACTTAAAGACACCACGATTCAAGCGAGGTGATAATCGATCACTGTCTCTTTGAAAAGTAATCTATCAAGACGTTTTGGCAAATGTAAAATACCGATGATAACTTTAGCATAAATTACTTGTCCTGAATGATTGTAACTTAATATAACTTGATCTACATATGTACACCATTCGATATAAAAACCACTGCAATGTTCTAACATTTGCTAAAACATCTTCACAAGTATCTTTGGTATTGTATCATCTTGTGGTAAATAGATACCTTCTTAGGATCAATTTTATCATAGAGATTTAGTACTAAAAGTACTCGTTGGCGAATATAGTCAATTGTTAGTGGTGGCTTATGGCTGTAGTGGCGCACCTGCTTGACTCGTGTGTCCCTTATGCCCTGTAAAACAATATTTTATAGAAAATATGCATTTATTAACCTTGTCAGCAGATATTTTATCATAGGCTGCAATCACTTTTAATACACGCTCTTCAACCTTCTTAACTTTGGCTTCAGTGGTATATGCACGAATACTCTCAGTTTTTACCTGTATGCATTAAATAATTTTCATATTAACAAAAAAAAACGAAAAAATAAATACGAGATTAAAATGCACATCAAAGAACCAAAATCCAAATATCGAGGTCGTAAGAATCAGATTTGCAGCAGTTTGCAGTATTGAAATCAATTAAAACGGCGACGTATTAAATCGATTAGACCGATTGAATCGGTCTCATAGATTCAAGGGAATTTCTGTAGCATTCCGTATACTATGCATCCTATCGTTCTGCCAAAACATCAAGTATTTCAGTTATATAATACGTGATTTAAAACATGATATATAAACTACGTAAAGAGGTTTGCCAAAGCTCTGCTAGTAAGGGTAACCAATGTTTACCTGTGGCAGAACTGTGATGGTACTTTGCCTTTTACAGTGAAAAGACCTCTCAAGTAATTGAAGTTGTGTGGCGGCAGATCGTAAACAAAATCGACCGATAGGATTTCTTAAAGTACCGGTATTCTTCATGAAAAGACGGACACCCACGAGAGACGCCATTTTCTCAGCTATAGACGAAAAATGTAGGGACAAGAGTCAAACCGTAGTCACGACAGTCGCGTGCGCGAACCTAACCGTGTCGCAACCGTCGCAACTACCTTCTGTAAGTTATCACAGTTATGGCTTCTGAAACTTGTTAGTAGAGGGCTAAAAAGACACCAATCTATTCTCACAAGTATTCCAATCATCTTTATTAGGAAAAACTTTTACTTTTAACTTATATATTTATAGCGGAATAGATACAGTGTAGTCGTAAAATTATGGTGAAATTGACCGGAAGAATTTAGTCAATTAATGTAGGTACTTGTTGTGCATAGGATATTTATGATTCGAATATAGAAACAAAAGAAGTGTACATATATGTATGTATATTGGCAGAGACACTGGTATACTTTAGAAGATTTAGGCAGAGACCATAGGCATTTGTGATGGGTGAGCACTAGTGAGTAGTGAACTGTTAGTAACATTTTCATTTAAACGCGTGGCTAAATTGTCGGGACGAAGCAGCTGACGACGAACGATTTCGCAGTGGAGTTCGTGTTGGTGCATGTTGGTGTTCACTTATCTTTGGCAAGTATTTTTTTCTACTTCTGGACAGCTAGCGAATTTTGCCGAATCTCTTGAATAAAACGTACACGTTTGAATTTGTATCGTTCGTGCCATATGTGCTGGAACAACAGTGATCAATATGTGGGTGAAGCCACAAGAGGTTCTACTGGCGAATGCTTTCTGGTAAATTGATATGTGGTTATAATACCCGATCTTCTATATGTTATAATTACTGTTTACAACGCGTGTCAAACACAGCTGACACGAAATACTTGGTTTGGGATATAAACGGATTTTCTGATTTGTTGTCCGTCAAAGCTTCACTAATTCCTGTTGTACTTGTAGGCACGATTCTCGCGGAAATGTGGTTCCTTTTAAATAGCTTTACAGTTATTGTCGGTCTGTATGTTATTTGTTTACATATTGTCTGAATAAGTATCGAAACAGGTTCTATGTTTTTGGAAAACGGTCTTGCTAAATAGAATTTCGTACGTGTTTGGAGCATTAAATCGGCTTTGTACTTTTTTTGCAATAACATGTAATATATTTAGAAACGGAAAGTGTGATATGCTGCGTATATGAAACGCACGGTTTATTCCTGATAAGAGACGTTCGCACTATTGAAATCACTTTGACAAATTATCGGCGACGTTGATTCATTCCCCTTCGATAATGTGCAGTTATGTAAATGGTGAACAAGATATAAAAAATCTCATAAATATCTTTTAAATCGAACATTTCTGTCAATTAGGCTTGAACAGTAATACTCACGCATTCTAATGCCTTTTATTTCTTTTCCATTCAAAGAAAATAGTAAGATATTTTTCATTTTAATTATATAGGGTGACAGAACAAGTAACCGTATATTTTGTTTTACAACGTCGTAAAGGACATGGAAAAACAAAAGGTCTCAGTTCCATATTGGTGGGAACATTGGATAGTGTATTTGACACTAAACCTCCACCTTTTAGAATACTTCATCAAACTCCATCATCAGAAGTATATTGGGGTAAGGTACTCGGAAAAAAAAAAACAAAGATCAATTTAGGAAAGGGTATACATGTACATGTAAGTCTTGTATTTTGGATTAAACATTTACTAAGTTTTATGTATTTCTAATACATACAGAAGTTGCATGTTCCTTAACACATGAAGAAATCTTGCAAGACTGGGAATGGCTTCACACAAACTTGATTGACACTTTGACTTCGTTTGATACAGAAGAAGAAATAACTGAATTTGTTTGTTGTAAGATACAGTCTATTATTGCAAACAATGTTCCAGATTGCCAATTTGCAGATGGTAAAACATTACTGATACAATTAAATAAAAGAGTGAAACTTTTCGATGCATAAAGATGTTCTAAAAAATTAAATTGTTTGCAGAGGAAGATCCAGAATCATTTAAAACTATGTCTTTTAAATTCCATCAACTGTTTAATGTACCAAAAGAGGATAAATTGGTCAATTATTACTCTTGCAGGTACTTATGATTAAAATTATGCTTGAAACATTCTATAAGATTGTATTTCTTTTTCAGTTACTGGAAATCTCGTTTACCTAGACAAGGATGGATATATCTGTCAGTAAACCATATGTGTTTTTATGCCTATATTTTGGCAAGAGAAACAAAACTAATCGTAAGATGGGCAGACATTACCGAATTGAGTAAAACCAATTCTATTCTATTTCCTGACAGTATATGTGTTGTGACTAGGGACAATAAAGAGGCGAGTAGAATATTTATCGTATAGGTCTTAATTTTGTTTAATTATCTTGCTTATAATTTCGTTTACTTACAGCATTATTTTTCAATGTTTCTGCATAAGTCAGAGACGTATTCCTTAATGGAACAACTTACAAATATTGCTATGAAAAGACTTATAGATGAAAAGAGTGGTTTTAACGAAGACAGAGAACTCTTAAATAAGTTAAGGTATTTATATACATAGGCAATCTTGTTATGTCTAATTACAATATGTTTACGTCGATTACAATAGCAATTACATTTTCAGTAAGAATGTACCTAAGAAACCATCATTCTTGAAAAGAGATCTGGATGCACGAGCACATTCTGAAGCTTATAGGTTGCAGTTCAGATTACCTGGAAATGAAAAGTTGGATGGTAGCATTGATGCAACACTATGGACACCGTACAACAAGAGATATGTTTGGGGAAAAATATTTCTATCTCAAAATTACCTCTGCTTTGAAAGCAGAGTACGTATCTTTCCACGTACAAATCTAAATATTTATATGTAAAATTGTAATAACATAATTGAATGATTTTTATTATAATTTAGGTAAGGGGATTAGTAAGTTTAGTTGTACCTATGAGGGAGGTGAGGCTGATAGAACCTGCTGAGAATCAATCGCCTAGTACGGGAATAGACAAATCGATTTTAGTGACAACTGCACGATCGTCTTTCTTATTTGCTCAAATTCATGACAGAGATTTCGTTGTACAGAAAATATCCGAGTTATTAGCAAAATCTAAATTGTCAACTTTGTAAGTTGTTGTGGTCTGCATTTAATCTATATTATTATTAATAACATGATTGTTTAATATTCTAATGTTTTAATAGAAGTACTACAGACAGTTTGCAGATCGAAAACAGTTTGCCTCACGATGACGGTAACTCTGATGAAATTAAACCTACTCAACAGTGGAAACCTCGGCCACCATTAATGACATTATTTAAAGCTCCGTTAAGTGCTGAGGCAGCGCTAAAGCAGGAAGCGAAGGAAAAACAATGGGAGCTTCATTTTGCAGAATATGGAAGGGGTATTACAATGTATAGAACCACAGAGACAGCAAAATTAATAATCCAAGGTGTACCACAGACTCTCAGAGGAGAAGTTTGGCTAACATTTTCTGGTAATAAAATCTATATGTTTATAAAATGATCATCCGTACAATAAATGTAGCTTTTGTTCGTTCTTAGGTGCTTTGAATGAAATGGTAATGAATCCTGGTCTTTATAAATCATTAGTTGACCAATCATTGGGTAAATCGTGCCAAGCAAACGAAGAAATAGAAAGAGATTTGCACAGATCTTTGCCAGAACATCCAGCATTTCAATCTGATACCGGTATCAGTGCATTAAGAAGAGTTCTTTCTGCGTATGCTTGGAAAAATCCACAAATTGGTAAATGCTGCATTTTAAGAGTTATGCCGGTGAAAAAATAATAAATTCTAAGTCTAGCTCTCTTTTGGCACAGGTTATTGCCAGGCAATGAATATAGTAGCTTCGGTTTTATTAATCTATTGCTCGGAGGAATCTGCGTTCTGGCAGTTATGTAACGTATGCGAATCGTTGTTACCCGATTATTATGACAGAAGAGTGGTTGGTGCTCTCGTTGACCAAGGTCTTTTAGAAGAGTTAGCTGCTGAATATTTACCAACCTTGCACGCTAGGTTACAGGAACTTGGTCTGATCAAAGTTATATCACTATCATGGTTCTTAACGATATTCTTAAGCGTCATGCCAACCAGTAGCGCAGTAAATATAATGGATTGCTTTTTTTATGACGGAGCGAAAGTAATATTCCAGGTATCATATTTTCACAGACATAAGTACAATATATGTATATATTCACCTTTTTAGTTAATATTTGCTAGAGGAAATGTTGAACTTTATCCATATCCTTTCTAATGAACACAGAATAAAGTACATACAGAAGAAATTTGAAGTAAACAGGTATTTCTTCCTGTGTCAGATAGCATTGACAGTACTGGAATGGAATCAAGATAAATTGCTTAATTGTCGCGACGATGGCGAAGCAATGCAGTTGTTAACAGATTATCTTGGAGGTGTGTACAACGATGAGGGACCTATACTGCCTAGACCAGTCGACAGTACTACTCCTCACAGAGTAAGAAAACTAGCATAGAGATCTTTAGTTCTATGGATATGTGTGCAGTCATAGTCCGAGTATATATTTATTTTAGAGTATATCTGTTCAAACTTTAATATATGAAGCATATTCAAGACACGGATCATTGACAATTGGAGGAATAGAGAGGCTTCGTTTGAAACATAGACTTAGGGTGGTTCAGAGTCTAGAGGATGGTATTGAAAAGAATGTAATTAGAAGTGTTATTGTTGATAAATACATGTCAATGGAAGAATTACAGGTAGACTTAATATACATAATTGTAAGAGTGTGTACCTGAAACGAGGAGGAATCCTTGAAATGTTGTTGTATGATTATTTATATTATGTATCCAGGATCTGCTAAGTTTAGTAAGAGAAGAATTAATGAGTCAACGAAAATCTGAACCTGATCGCTACGATCCAACACAACCTCCGTATGAAGCGTACAAAACAGACTTCGAGTTATTCAGGATATTATTTGGTGGTCTATCTCCGTGGGGAAAATGTAGCCAGGCCGAATCTTTATCTGCTCGGTTATTCCGTGTAAGTCAGTCAGACTTTACAATGCAATTACTTCCTGTTATTTTATTTCAACATTTCATTTCAAACGAATAAAAGAACATCATATAGAGTATTAGGGAACTAACATCCACGTGTATCTCAATGTTATTGAATAAGATCAAGCAAATACAGCAAATGTTTATAAGTACTATTGTACTGTCAGTTGATGGACCGTAATCGTGATGGTTTGCTAAACTTTCGGGAATTGATACAAGCCATTGGAATGACAGCGACCGCCGATTTGACACAGAGATTAAAGCTTTTGTATACTCTTCACTTGCCACCGTTACTCACACCTGTTGATTTCGAATCTCCAATGCATTCTGGTAAGTAATATACGGTATACACTATGCACTATACACGATACTCCCAGACACAACAATGATTAATGCGACAAAAGAATATATTATAGATGGAGCAGAAGTTGCCGCGGAGGCTACAGATTTCTTTGATAGCATGGAACAAAGTGTCGCTTCTTTGGAAATTCCAATTAGCGTAGCAGAAGAGCCATCTGCAGGTACTCTGTCTCGTTCGACAAGTTTGAATAGTCAACAAGCGGATCAGTCATGGGAAATCCAAAGCATGGGCAGCTTGCGGTCTATGATAGCATCCAAAGATAGTCCTTTGGATCTAAAAACTGTGCCAAAAATGTCCCAGGGACACTTTATAGCATTATGGAAAACCCTTTACGACATGTTCCCTGCACAACCGGAAGAACAAGAGACTTACCACTGTATAGCTTCAATTGGTAAGTTAAATACAATTACAACATTGTCGATGTATCACGTCTGTAAATGAAACGTATTCTTTTCTAAATGTAGGCACTCTTTTGCTTCAATTAGGCGACGTTGGTAAAAAGTTTTATGTCGAGCGGGATGAATCCGAGGACAGTTTACTTCTAGCCGCTACGGCTGGTCAGCAATCGCCTTCAACCACAGAACGGGTACGTTTACATTGAACGAATTCTGTTTTAATATACAACACGTGTGATGATTTTTTTTTTTAGTCTCACGATCGGAATGGAAACCCATCGAACGCCACAACTTCGTCTGCCGATCCCGAATGGTCAATAAGCGTCGAACAGTTCCTGGCATCTGCCTTAACAGGTCAAGCGATAGTGGACTTTTTTAGTAAAAGGGCAGATCTTACCGAAGCAATTGCAACCCTAAAGAATCGTAGATTTAATCGCGTTCATTCCTTGTCAGACACTCCCGTGTTAAATATATGATACACAGAGAGTTAATTGTGTATGAAAGATAGTGTAAGATATATGTATATGTAAAATTTATAAAGTGATAGATTGCCTTGGATAATTGACCAGCGACTTCATTTCCTAAGGAAATTTTTACATTCATTGTGAATCGGATAAATAAGTATTAGATTAGTTCGGATGAACAAACTGGTAACGTAAAAACATCTTTGTAAATAGAAAAATAAGAGTAAAATGAATTCGATGATTTTTCGTTTGTTCGAAAGTACCATTGTGCATTGAAAACGTCCAATTCTTTATGCTTACAATATTACCTTTTCGTAGTGGTAAATATTAATAATATTATACATATTATACATACTACGTGTATATGTGCAACTGTTTAGTATGTAGGAAAGATCCGGGGTGCTTAAAAGATGCTTGTTCTTCGCTTCGATCACTTGACGTATGTTTAAGGACATGAATTCATTGGCCTACATCTGTCGCCACGTATGCATTACAGTCGTAATAATGAATGAATCAATAATAGTGAGTGTACACTCCTCAGGGTAAATACTTTAAATGCAGTTCCATTACTTTTTAAGATCATTGCATGATAGGCACAAGTTCCCACCAGTTGACACTGACACATGATAAAAATATTTTTTAAAACGAAATTATCAATTATTTATAATATACATACAATGATTTCTCAACTATGGTATGCACGACATCTTGTATACTTGAGTAATATGAAATTAATTAATGAGTAATATGTAATAAATCGGAAATAATAGAATGTTCGTAAGTGATTAATACGGTAATGAAATTTGTGTATAACAAACGATATTATGACAAATTAACAATACCTTTGTACTATATGCTATCTTGAACAATACTAAACAATTTCTTAAAGTATTTAACAAATTTTTCTAATTCACACTATTCAAGGTGTTATAAAATACATGTACGATGCTAAGATCTACAATAAACATACATATATGTATGTATTATTTTAATATGTTCATGAACACTTTAGTTGAACGCAGTTAACTATGAATATTTGAGATTAGTTTCTTGATATATGCAACTATATATTTTTTTAAACATAACTTTTATTTTTATATAATCGATACTTGAATAATTTCTGAAACAAAATTATCAGAGTTGCTCCACTGGAAAAGAAAAGAAAAATAGCATCAAATATTTAAAGGATTCTCTTCTGGTATGATACACATATGTATATAAAAAGTAATTGTTTCATATGTGCAACAATATGTACAAAACATATTATAATAAATGGCATGTACAATGATATTTCTATTTAATTGAATGGTGAGAATGACAATGAAGTTTCCTGCACATTAGTCAATTTTTTTACAATTTTATTGATAGAGTAAAATAATTATCTTACATTAGAAGTTTTTAGGTAAAATCCCATCATTTTTTGCAAGGCGTACCAAACAATCATCAGACTCACCCTGAAAGGAATTAAAAATTAAAACATTATTAACAGAAAGTACAGACAATGTCTATACACCGAGGAGTATGAATTTACATACCATACGTCGGATAGCTCCACAAATAGCATACATTTTTTGTGAATCGGTCATACGTCCTGTTTCAGGATCAACATCGGCAATGCTCAACTGAATAGAAGCATGATCCTTAGCATGGATGATACGATTACTTGACGAGCTGTGAAAAAAGATGTATAATTTATAAGTTTATGGTAACTTAGACTCTAACCTCTGTACTATTAACGATTTTTATACAACTCTCATAGACCTCCTTTCGTCAGAATTATTCGAAACAAACATGCCGTAGATATTTTAGAAAGAGTTTATTACACGTTTACAGATGTTTCCACTTAAAAAAAGCCGGTTGTTATTCCATTTCATGACAACGCATGTAACCCACGTGTATCGCTTACCATTTTCTTGGGATGTACAAGTCAACAACATCTCCGTTGTCGTTCTCCATTGTTCTAACTGCAACAGAAATTGAGAAAGAAAGTTCGTATCATAATATGTTGAAATAACACGTTAAAATCTATGAAATTGATATTTTCTTCCTCACTTTTATTTCCTAGGTGTACACCGTAAAATGGCTACGGAAGGCAAGGAACTTTTGTCACCAACACTGCGGATATGTGTCGTTGAATAAACACGATTGCCAACATTATTAACAGTTTGAAATATGTTCCTAAAAAGTACGTGCAGAATACAGCAGATATGTATCAATATGTATACAGTTATTCATCCCACTCTGAAAACTCGAGAATGAACTTTAACAATTCAAATATAAACCTACATATCTATACAGGTACGTAAGACATAGTATTTTCATAATTTAGATTAGATGCAAAGTAATTTTCATATGAAGCATAATTTCTTAAAACGATTTCTTCAGAAGTTTCTAAGTGTTTAATATTTAGTATGAACTGACTTGATCAGGTTACTTCAATGAATTGAGGAAGCGACATGTAATTATTTGTTGTAAAAAAATTATACCAATTGGTTAGTAGCTTGTGACGTTTGCCGTAGATGGCGCCATAGGCTTATTCGACCTTTTTTTCCCATTATGTTAAACAAAATTTTAATTTTAATGGATGATTACACATCAAATAATTGTTAATGTATAGTATCATCGATTTAAAGTGTTTCGAAGAATAATCCAACAACATTGCAAATAAAACTGTAAAGACGTCGTTTACCATTGAATAATATGACACAAGAAAGAGCTCTCATTTCGGGTGATAATTCTCGGTTAGCGATGCTGGTCTAGTTCAGTCTAGTCCATGTTTAGCCGACAGCTATTTTAACCGTCAGTTTCCTTCAGTTTGGATAATTGTTACCAATCAAGAAACGCCCGATAAGATTCAAGTTCAGAAAGAACCGTATCCGGTGCCATACACCGGCAACAGCGAATAAGAAGTCCGATTAAAGGAATTAGGGTGGATCACGTGACAGTAGGGTCCAATTGGTGAGATCGGTTCGATAAGCCGCACGACCGAGAGACCAATCACACACATTAGACTTTGTACTTCGTTCGAAACACACGTGCAGTAGAGAAAAGCGGCTCGGCGCTCGGCTCAGTGTGCTCCGAACTGTTAGTGTGCTGCCTCGTAAAAAAGGGACGAACGTCGTTTAGGGGCGACTTTCTAAGAAGTGTGCGCGTGTGTTACTGCGGGATTAGGACGTGCCGGGTGATCCGGTAGCTGTACGAACATTCTTATAGAATTGTCAGAGGGAAATGACACTGGGCGCACAAATCGAGGCTTCTGCAGAGAACGGGAGTCTGAAAATCTCGCTGCTGAACGGCGACGAGGATCGAACGGGTACTGGTTAGTACACGGTGATTTTCTAATCTACGGTTCTTCGATTACCCTGTTCTCTTCGATATCGAACGGTACCGTTGGTAACGTTATGTAATGGTTCGGGTGTCGTCAGGTTACCGAGTTCCCCGTAGCACTTTAACGTGTGCTTTAATGATGCCGCCTCGGCCAAAAGCCGGGCCGTCGGTGTTATGTAACGCGCGAATTGCGCGAATCTCTATGTACCGCGGGGTCATGTGAGCCACGAGTCTCGGAAGTGGGAAGCTAGCAGAAGACGCGATTCTTTTCCCAGCAGACGAATTCTCATCATCCGGTGCAATTATTGCAGACGACTCGCTTATTTCGCGACAATGTGGCCGTTCGTTTTTGATGTAGTTACACAAGAACGCGTGAACCTGTCGTTGTCGTCGTTGTCGTCGTTGTCGTCGTCGTCGTCGTCGTCGTCGTCGTCGTCGTCGTCGTCGTCGTCGTCGTCGTCGTTTGAGGCATGCCTTGTTCTATCAAGACGCATCAAATCAATGCGCGATTCCCGTCCACGTTTCTTTAACCGCTATTTTACGCATATATTTTACTCACTCTCGTGACACTCGTATGGGATTCACTTACGAGGAAATTAATTTTGTCGAAGCACGTGATTAGTTTCTCCGTGGATGATGAAACCATGCTTACCTGTCCTGTTTTACTTGTTTCCATACACGATTCGATTTCAACTGGCCGTGAGTTTCAAAATCTTATCGGAGTATAAATATTCAGTCAGTAAGTATATGTATGTACTATTACTTACTATTGCAGCGTGTGTTCCCTTTTCTTGTATTGTTTTGTTTAAAGATGTATCGTTTTGATAAGTCGAATTCTTTGTTGGGGGATAATGATCGTAACGGTGTTTAAATAGTAGGTACTTGTCCGCTTGTGTTATCGGTGTGTTGTAATTCGACGTGATATTTATGTATTTTTACATTTTTGTGCAGACCAATAATTTATGCAGACAAGAGTTGGATATAAACATATTGTCTCTGTAAATAATTGTGCTAGTAAGAGAAGGTCGCAAATAATCGAGTGCTGTATAGACACAGATCGGTGCAAAATATTGGGACCGATTTGCCAAACACAATACCTAGAATATTAGGTTACTGTATCATAATTTTTTTTTTGTTAATCATTGAAGACTAAATATTCATTTACATGTGTAGTGGCTTTAAACATTAAAACTTCGTTGGTAAAGAAGAAAATGAGGTCTAATAGCTTTTATACTTTAATCAATCAAATCCGCAGTTTGATTACGTTATGGAGCATCAAATATATCTGAATATGTCAGATCACGAAGAACATTCTGTTTGTAATAAGAATCGTGACAATTATAGATTGCACAACAGCGTCTTTGTATTTTTTTCTTTTCTTTGTGTGTATAAAAGATCACAGTTTGTGACCGGGGGTCCACACGTTTAGCTCGTTTTTCAATGCCAACGGTCGACGAAAGGCAAACGTCTCAATTTGAAAAGGAATTACATAGTGATTTCCAAGGGATACTGGTGTTATTCATGAATGTCATTTGACACTAGGCCCATGTAGTTTCGTTGATCTGTTTGTTTTTTCGAGCTCCTTTTTCCAGCAAAAAAGAGGCTGGGAAAAGCACGTGCATGTTAATGACCTCGCGCGCATAGGCGTAGAGTTACGAAGAAATTAACAACGAACAGTTAATAATATTTAATACCAGTTAAGCAGTAGGTACGGAAAGTATTTATTTTCATAACGGAATTTCCTGTTGCGCAGTGAAAATCTGTCCAATGATAATACAGTAATTGCCTAATTTGTATTGTTCTTAGTAATTCGTTTTGTTCTTCTAGTGATTCTTAAAATATACTTTTTGGGTAATTGGAAGTATTCAAGTATTTACAATAACCGTACAGACAAAGATGACGAAAGGTATAGAGTATAGAGTATACAGTATAGGGAGTTACGTTTAAATGCTCGTGGAACAGTGGTGTTTTACATTACAAATGGTCACGTGTTTCGAAAGAACAATAGTGAATTGCTAAGATTATCGGATAGCAGGGGTTATCGGTCTTCTTTCTGCCGTTGTTGTCCGTTCCCTTGCGTCTTAGTTCGACATCGATACAATAAGACGATATGTAGGTACTTACATAGTCCGTTATAGAGTATCGCACGGTTTTCAAGATAGACTGTTTAAATTACATACTCCATCTCTCTCCTTAGCTAAATTTTTGCAATTTTAATTTCTTTACTGTGGCATACATATATGTATACACAGAGCGACGAATCCAGGCGAAGGACGCGAAACAGATACATACATTTTCTCCTTGCGATTTCTTGTAACATTACAAAACTATTTATTGCATCTCCCATTTCGATGTCGAATAATATTCGATTTACTAAACAGTAATCGATTTATTAAACAGTATTGTCTGTGTTCGTCGTCGCGTTTCGAAGATTACTTGCGTTTGATTCGTCTGTCGAGTGCATTCATCGTTCCAAGTGGTTCACTTATCAACTTATTCGCACGTGGCCGTATTATGAATGATGCCGAAAGCTGGCAAGCACTCGGGGATCGAAGCCCCCGACTACGCGACACCGGCAACGAAAGCAAATAATTATTATCGTTTGTATATCGTCACCATACCCGCGAATGAATTGGAATGAATGAATCACCAGTGTCGAATTCAAGATTGGTTAGGTCGGTTAGGCGATTCAAACGTTTTCCGTGATACTAGTACTTCGCGCGTCACCTGCAAGATCGCGCTCTTGTCATTACACAACATTATTCAACCGATAAAAGAGCGAACACGTCTCTCTGTGTATGTCCCCTAGTGGTCAGAATCCAAACACCTCAACTCAACTGTTGACCAATCTAAAGAACACCATCCACAATTTTTTCACCGTTTGATCCTTATTTATTGTAGAGCTTTCCCCTATTAGATATTTCTAATTCTCGTTAACGTTCTGCAGCATGATTCGAATTTCAAATCTAAGGAGAAATCGTGAAGAAAGATAACAGATCCAAAACGATTTTCTGTTTGTCTTTTTTTTGACGTGATCTTATCTTCGGTTTCCTCTCTCGATTTTCCTTTTTATCTTTTCTTCCCTGATAAGTAAAATATCGAGAAAAAAAGTAGAGCAGATTCAAAATGAAATAGTAAAATGTTATACGATAACGCCGCGATAAAGCAATTGGTCCGCAAGATAAATCAGCTCAGACCGCCGTGCATTAATATACATACTTACGTAGTGTATGTACTATATGTATACATACATAATACATATGCTTCCGATGCAACCAAAGAATTATTTGCCACGATAAGGTTTCTCTTTTTACAAAGTGTAACGATAGTATCGAACTGCTTGATAAAATTCAGATTTTCACTGTCAAGGATTCCTCATTACATACAGCGACGAAATGATTTTGTATTTTATCGAACGTCGTTTGGCATACTTATTGCCTATTAGATATTCATCGAAATTGTTTATCGATTGTAACCGGAAACAAGACAATTAAGATTACCCTTGCCAAATTTATTACGTACACGGTTTCCATGAAAATTATAATTTATTATCGAGGAGTTATTTATAATATTGACATATTAAGAATAATAACAATATGTATGTACCTACATATGTGTATTATTAAATATTATAATTTTATATTTCATATTTAAATTCGTATCGAACATATATGAAATTCCTGCAGCCTATTTATAATTCGTATATTTCAACTGTTAAACACATCCAACCTCATATTTATTCACCACATTAGAAGACTACCGATAACATCCAGTTTCGCAATTCCAAAATTTTACGGGTGGCTTCTACAAATACGACGACGTAATTGACATCAATATCCGTAGTTTTCGTTGTTTTGCTGCATAATAGAGATGGAATGCGGATTTTATGCATTTATTATACATAACGAGCTTATAAAGAGATCTTTAAAATACAATAAATAACAAAGCTTTCATCGAATTTTTTATATTATTCTGAAGTCGATACGATACTTGAAAGAAGAAAGAAATTTCTACATTTGCTCTTGCCTTTATGAATTACTTTAGAAAATATAATTTTGCATAAAAATCCGCAATCGAATAACTATAATAAGGAAGTATTATCGTTTCTCTTAACTACTTAGTTACTAATGATAGAGAATAGAGTGATAGAAGAGAATCGATTATAATATACGGGCGGAGAGGTGAAAATTATTCTTAATTTTGTTTTTGAGTAAGGATGACTGGAGATATCAAGGCTTCGGAGGCGCGAATAATTTCATATGTATCAACACTACATAACAGTTTTCTACCTGAACGCCTCTTAATCGTAGGTATGTACATAGGCTCTCGGGGATCGATGCTTGTTGACAGGAAATTTATTAATAATTATTCTTTAAGTATGTATGAAAACAGAAGCTGTTACGTTACGTTACATTACGTTACATTACGTTACGTACAGTACGGGTTGCCTTAATTGGTTCACAATAATTGTAATGTGCCACTGGCGATGAAAAATTTATAAATAGGTTTTCTTGATTGTTAATCGTTCGTTCCAGAAAACTTATTAGATAATAATCATCGCCAAGTAAAATGTTAACCGTTTCACACAACGTAAGAAACAACAAGCACCGTTTGATTCTCGAGGTAACTCAGCACGGCTGATAACGGGCCGGCTGCTTGATCGTAATTAATAAAGTTACCTAGAAGCTGATGTCTACGTTACGCCCGAAATGGATGTATATCGCAAACCGTAGTATCGATAAAAATAGTACGGCATTTCGAGTACGGACTATTTACATTGCAGTTTATTTATAAGTGCATTGGTGAATGCAAGTGGTAAGCCCCCACGGATGCCCACTGCTGCCGTATCTATTCGAAAATGCACCCTCGTTTCCAGGAGCACAACTCGCGGCATCGTTTATTTATACATACATATATACATACCTACATATCTCTGACATGATGGACGAGTTCGAGGAAAAACGTTGGAACAACGTCCACTACAAAAGAAAAATATTTCTACATTTTGCCGTGTTTTTCGGCGATCGAGATGGAGGCCAAATAATTGAAACAGAAACGAATTCTGTGGGTCGTTTTCTTTGTTTAGTAAATTCATTCGAAATTTTGCAAATCGGAAATTCTTTTTGTTTATACATATTATCGTACCTATAAAAGTAGACATTCGGCCTAAAAGTATGTCACTAGTATGTCTCAAACTGTTGGTAGGTGTTCGTATTTTGCTTTTATATGTATACATATTAATCAGAATGAAAGCTGTTCGCGGATTAAAAAATGTTGGTTTATTCGTAAATCCTTTTCAGATTTGAAGCAGAACATGGAAGATACAGGAAGCACTAGCGTGTCCACGAAAAATGTTGTCGAAAAGGGGGAAGTTGAGGCCACAAAGGAGGATGGGAATGAGAAGGAGAAAGAGACAGAGAAAGACAAAGACAAAGACAAAGACAAAGACAAAGACAAGGACAAGGAAAAGGAGAATGATAAGAAGAGTGATAAAAGTGAAAAGGAAGTGGATGGAAACAAAGATAAAGATAAAGATGCTGGAAATGAGCAAGAGGTTGTTTTCATTCAAGACATGGGATTCACTGTTAAAATTGTTAGTCCAGGTGCAGAGCCTTTCGATATTCAGGTCTCCAGTATGGAATTGGTCCAGGTAATTAAAAGTTTCTTGATTGATTTCAAAGAAATCAATCGAATGTGTACAATAAATTACAGACGCAAATATTATTCCTTGTGTGTTCTTTTAGGAAATCCATCAGCTGCTGATGGATCGAGAGGACACCTGCCACCGCACTTGTTTCTCCCTTCAACTCGATGGCAATACGTTAGATAACTTTGCCGAGTTGAAGAACATCGAAGGTTTGAAGGAAGGCTCGATAATTAAGGTGGTGGAGGAGCCGTACACAATGCGAGAAGCCCGTATACACGTTCGACACGTTCGAGATTTATTGAAGTCTGTAGATCCCGCCGATGCTTACAACGGTGTCGAATGTAGCAGCTTGTCGTTCCTCAACGTGGTCACTAATGGTGACATTCTCGAAAAGAAGAAGAGCAGAGCAGATTCAGTCGATTGTACACCGCCTGATTATATTATACCTGGTTGTAAAGACAGGCCTTTATTACCTTTACAACCGCAAGCTAAGGAGCAAAAATGTCCTCCATGCTTAAAAGTATGATTCCAACGAGTTATTGTCGGTAAAAAAAGATATGCATAGTCTAGTCGTAAAATTGATTGGAAACTAGTGGTACACATGCAACGGACACTGAATAAGAAAAGAAACAAAAAATTAAAAAAACATCAGCCGCGAACGAAAGTAATTTGCCTATCAGCCTTGTCGGAACTGTCTACATTGTACTCTGTTTCAATTCGTTCGTTTTATTACAGTTTAAATGCGGTGTCAATCAGTCGGCTGTTTCAATACATAATGAAACTTGAACGTGTCTGGATGTTAATAAATATTTGTAATTTTCCTGCTAGCAAAGGAATTTCACTTAATTATCAGGCGTCTACTTTACGACCACACTATTATCATTATCATTTTCATTTACTATACAGAGAGATCTTCTGGATCGTCAACTCGGTAGTCGGATTTATTGAAATTCCTTATTGCAGGTTTTAACGACATCCGGATGGAATCCTCCACCTGGACACAGGAAGCTTCACGGTGACTTGTTATATTTGCATGTGGTAACGCTGGAGGATAAGCAGTATTATTTGACTGCCTGTGCCAGGGGGTTCTTTGTTAATCAGTCAACAAAAGAGGTGTTCAATCCAAAACCGGCGATCCCAAGCCATCTGTGTCACAGCTTAATCGAGCTACTGAACCAGCTCAGTCCAGCATTTAAACGGGGTTTCGCTGCTATGCAAAGGAGGAGAACGCAGAGGCATCCGTTTGAAAGAGTTGCCACACCTTATCAGCTGTACGCGTGGAGTGCACCGCAAATTGAACATACAATCGATGCAATACGCGCTGAAGATAGTACGTTCCATTCTGAATGTATAAATAGGATTAGTGAACGTTCAGACCTGGAAGGTCGGACGATGCAGAGCCCAATTTACATTTTCGGATAATATTTATCACTGATAAACTCGTAACGTAATTTTCGCGCAAACCTTTGTTCATCGTCTGTTGGAATTATATGTATAGAAGCAAAAAAAAAAAAAAAAAAAAAAAACCGAGATAACGGCACAAGTTTTACCCTACACCTTAAACTATAGGTTTCCACAACAATATCTTGGGTTTACAAGTATTGTATACTAGAATTACATTAAGTATTTTTTTTCTTTTTATATTACGAAACACTCTTCTGTGAAGATATTCGGTAACTACGATTCACACTGCTTTCGGTTCGTAGCTTTCTCTTCCAAGTTGGGGTACGAAGAACATATCCCCGGACAAACTAGAGACTGGAACGAGGAACTACAAACAACGAGAGAGTTACCTCGCAAAAACTTACCCGAAAGACTGCTTAGAGAACGTGCTATTTTTAAAGTATGTTAATCCTTTTTATTGTATACATATACTTGACTCTTTATATTTAACACCAAAACATATTTTTCATTTCCTGATGCAAGAGTTAATTTGACTGTTTGGGTCGATTAACTTTTCGATAATTTTATTCAGGTTCACAGTGATTTCGTCGCTGCCGCGACTCGCGGGGCAGTAGCTGTGATAGATGGTAACGTGATGGCAATAAATCCTGGAGAAGAGGCGAAAATGCAGATGTTTATTTGGAACAATATTTTCTTCTCTCTTGGATTCGACGTGAGGGATCATTATAAAGAACTGGGCGGTGACGCTGCCGCTTTTGTCGCCCCACGCAACGACTTACAAGGTGTCAGAGTGCACGCCGCTGTAGATTTGCCTGGCCTTTACACCCTTGGTACTGTTGTGATTGACTATAGGTTTGTGCAAAAGCCGTTTGTATCCGCATTCTCTCCGCATATTCTTTGTACGCGAGTGGAATATTTTCGAGTGAATTATTTCTGTACACGCATATACTTCCGTTGTTCGATGTTTCGCTTCTCTTATCGCAACTAACACCTCGACCGAACGGATATTCATTTTTCTTATGGTAATTACTCCTGTTCATCCTCTGTATAGAGGATATCGTGTCACCGCTCAGTCAATCATCCCAGGAATCTTGGAGCGTGAGCAGGAGCAATCCGTTGTTTACGGCTCTATTGATTTTGGGAAAACAGTTCTCACGCATCCGAAGTACCTTGAATTGGTAAGTTGCCTGATCAAACAACGGCGCATAGGGAGCACGACGTGAAACAGAACACATGAATCATTCTAGTAGTGAAACAGTTGCACAGTTTCAAAAGAAATACCTCATCAAAGTTATTAATTCAGGTATTTTGTTTCATGTCACTCATCTCGACCTCCGCATAATCTGGCGAATAATTATCGAAATGTTTGATTCTGTACGATGCGTTCTGCTTTACAGTTAAACAAAGCCGGTCAGCAATTGAAAATTCTTCCTCACAAAGTCATCAATGATGCCGGAGAAGAAATCGAACTTTGTAGCAGTGTCGAATGCAAGGGTATCATTGGAAATGACTCTCGACATTACGTACTCGATTTGCTGAGAACCTTCCCGCCCGATGTCAATTTCCTTAAATGTCAGTTGACATACTGTACAAATTTTTTTTTATTTTTTATTTATTTTATGACGTTTCTATCGGGTTTCTTTTAAATCTTTTAGTGGAAGGCGTAGAACTGAGCAAGGAAGCAAGAGCACTAGGTTTTCCAATTGAACATAAGCACAGACTGGCTTGTCTTCGTCAGGAATTGATGGACTCTTTCGTTGAGGCTAGATACGTTCAATTTATTAAACACGCTGCTGTTCATCTTCAACAACTGACGTCTGCTAGGAGGGTACAAAAGGAAAAGGAAACCATTACTAAGGTAAAACATTGATTATTGACGACTGTTTTAGTGGATATTACAGTGTGATTCGGGACGAACAATAAAACCGAGCTATAAGTGATTTCGTTTGGACAAATGAATAAAAATTATCAAATATATTCAGCACAGCTTGTATGTATATTTATTTTCTGTTTGTAACTCTGCAATAGATATGTTTTTATGTATACGCGTGGAAAGAAAATTGAAATTCATGCTTTGAATTTCAGGAAGGTAAGAAGGAAGAATCGAACGCCATTACAGTGGATAGCAACAAAGAAGATTCGACTCAATCGGTTATTGAAGCCGACGAAGCCAAAAAAATTGTAGAAAGTATTACCGACTCCATTACTGGAGGAGAGAAACAAGAATGTAAGTAACATCGTTAGGTACACTACTTATAAGGAGAGGTCACTCGTCTCTTTGATTCTATAGTGGAGGAAAGTACGAAAGAAATAGTACGTCGAGCGGCAGCAGCAGTTGGTAGTTTGCAAGAAGCTGAATTTGATGTCAGGTTTAATCCAGACGTATTTTCTCCGGGTGTACGACATCCGGATCCAAATGGTCCTGCGCTCAAGAAACAAAAGCAGTTGGTGCAGGACGCCGCTGACTTTTTATTGACTGTACAGATCCCAACATTTGTAAGTTTCGTTTTCAAACGATACACGCTTTTCCTGCTGCACGCCTTGTCGAGGGATATTCCAGTAAGTAGATGTTTCTTTTTATTACAGATCCGCGAATGTTTGGATCATACAGCTGCAGCGATGGACGGCAGTACATTGGTAGAGGCTTTACATGGAAGAGGTATCAATGTTCGTTATCTTGGTAAACTGGCCACTATGTTAGCCGCGGTTCCACAATTGCAATATTTTAACCGCATTGCTGTTTCGGAGCTTCTTTTGCGTTCTGCCAAACATGTCTTCACAGTTTACATGCAGGTATGCCAATTATAAATAGAACAGAATTTCATTAAGATTCCTGTGAACAAGCTATTCAATTGTTTTCGTTTCAGGGTACAGAACTAATGAGTCTTTCCGCTGCAATTAGCCATTTTTTGAATTGCTTATTGTCCTCCGCACAAATTATTCATCCGCAACAAAATCTGGAAGAGGTACGGTGAAACTAATCGGTGAATGATGATTCAAAAATAAAAGGAATTTCAGCAAGGAAAATACTTTTCTAGGTAGAAATTTATGTTATTGCTGTGGTTTCAGCTTCAGAGTAAAACTGCAAAGCGGCGCAATAAACGGAAAGGTAGAAATAATGGTCCGCAACAATCCGAGGTGGAATGGGCTTCCTTGACGCCTAAGTCACTCTGGCAACAAATCAGAGCTGATCTAAAGAGTTATTACGACTGGGAAACACCATGTCCGGAGTCGCTGGACGCCACGATAGATCATTTTCATCTACAAAAGATCTCTTTGCTACGTGGTTTCTGTATAAAGACTGGCATACAAATATTATTACGCGAATACAATTTCGAGAATAAAAACAGGGCCACATTCTTTGAGGAAGACATACTAAATATATTCCCCGTTGTGAAGCATATCAACCCTAGGGTAAATAATACAGGTGTCAAATTACACAACACTACATTCCGCGCACGTAATTTACTTCTTCGTTTTTTTTAGGCTAGCGATGCATACAACTTCTACACAACGGGTCAAAGCAAAATCCAACAAGGTTATCTGAAGGATGGTTACGAACTGATCAGCGAAGCACTAAATCTCCTGAATAACGTGTACGGTGCCATGCATCCGGAAATTGCACAGTGTCTTAGAATGCTTGCTCGATTGAATTATATAATGGGTGATCATGGCGAAGCTCTGGCCACTCAACAGAAAGCAGTACTAATGTCAGAAAGAGTTAATGGAATCGACCATCCATACACTATTACTGAATATGTAAGCATTAGATCCTGGGATTTATAATCGCACCCCAACCCAATTAGATATACAGTAATACAGTAATACAACGAGGAATTCAGTCAGTTTTTTTTTTTACGCTGGAGCAACGGTTTAAAACCTTGGTTGTTCTAATAACTATTCATCAATCGTAGAGCAGTAACAATATTCGTAACATTTTTTACTATATTTCATCTACAGATTCATCTTGCACTGTACTCTTTCGCAAATGGTCAAGTTTCTGTCTCACTGAGGTTACTGTACAGAGCACGTTACCTGGCCTTATTAGTTTACGGCGAAGATCATCCGGAAGTGGCGTTACTCGATGTAAGTGTTTCTGTACAAGTTTCTAATACATACGTATTATCATAAATCATGATTTTCCTAATTCTATCGCCATTCATTTTTCATTCAGAGCAATATTTCCTTGATACTCCATGCTGTTGGAGAATACGAACTGTCGCTTCGCTTCTTGGAGCACGCGTTGGCCTTGAATCTCCGGTACCACGGACCCCGATCCTTGAAGGTCGCTGTCTCTTATCACTTGGTCGCAAGAACGCAATCTTGCATGGGTGATTTCCGTGCAGCTCTAAACAACGAAAAAGAAACTTACGCTATATACAAGCAACAGTTGGGCGAGGACCACGAGAAAACCAAAGAGAGCAGCGATTGTTTGAGACACCTCACGCAGCAAGCGGTTGTGTTGCAGAAGAAGATGAACGAAATTTATACAGGAAAGTCAGGTGTCAGTCTGCCACCTATCCAGGTGCAGCCGCCCAGCATGGGCTCGGTACTCGACATGCTGAACGTGATCAACGGTATTTTATTTGTTCAAATCAGTCAGCAGGATATCGAGAACTTCAAAGCGGAAATAGAAAAACGCCAAAAGGAACAGACCCCTGACGGAGAAACGAAAGCTATTCAAAACGAGAACAAAAAGGAAGAAAAGGACAATAATAAGAAAGAAGAGAAGGAGAATAAGAAGAACGAAAAAGAGAGCAAGAAAGAAGAAAAAGAAAATAAGAAGATAGAGACACAGAAGGTTGAGTCGAATAAGCTGGAGGAGAACAAAAATACGTTAGAACCACTAGTTGCAGAGAGCTGAGCTCATTTCGATCCGCGAACAATGATACTTAGTAGTTTTTTTCTTTTTTTTTTCTCGGAATCCTAGTCTTTCCCAGCCCGCATCCAGTCTTCGTAAAGAGTAACGAGAGTAAGGTATACAAAATTGGGATAAAATTGCAGTGTTTACTCGATAAATGTGCCGAATATCGTTCGGTATATTGCACGTGTGCAATCTGCTGTCAGGTTCGAACATTTCGGATAGTGTGGCGATATTAACGGTATTGCGTCAAATCCTCCGGGAAACATTTTTACCTGGCTGTTCGCAATGCTCGATTTTACGCCAAGCCGCAGAATTTCTTTGACTGATTTATGACTGCATACAAGCACTGGTTCTTCACTTGTGTAAATAGTTCTAAACAGGGAAAAAAAGAAATACGTTGCCTTAACGGCGCATGCTTATCGCCGCGACTGTTCACGATTCGATTAGTTCGCGAATTTCAATGTATTACCATGAATTAGTGGCGTTTCGCGTGTTCTCTAAAGGCTCAATTAATCGTACTTCATAACAAAGGCCATTGGTATTACAGACGTTACTATTCTATTAATCGACAAAATAATCAGCGTCTGTTCCAACGTACTACACAAGTGTTGTTAATCTCAAACCAAACGCGCGAAGTACCAGGAGAATCGAACGGTAAAACGATTTCTCAAACACAAATAATGGACGTTTATTATCGTAGAATATAAGTTAATTTTTTTCTTTTTTCCTTTTTTTTTTTTTTTTTTTTTTTTTTTTTTTTTTTTTTTTTTTTTTTTTTCTTTTTTTTTTTTTTTTTTTTTGTACTTTTTCGATAGTCTATTTTATTAGTGCATATTTTGAGATCATTGTTTTGTGTCATCTAGGCATCGCTGTCATTTTCCCATTCTGGTTGCCATCAATGTTCGCTCAACAAGAGTATCGAATACGTGAGGACATGTACCATTTTTGATAATATATATTAATAGACGATTGAACTTGTTGAGTTCAGCACAAATACAAGAATACATATCTTGGATAAATTTTCGGCGACTGTAGCATTCTTAGAAAAGTTATAGTTTAAGCAATATTGAAGAACAATGAGAGAAACAGGTATCTGTATTGATTCAACAAGGACAACTTTGTTGTTCCTGTTTTTATCTGACCACGTACATCACACTAGAAGGCTATTATTCCATTTTATCATCACGAAAAAAGTTAAATCTGAAAAAAATAACAGAATTTTAAAGATTTTTTCTTCGGAGCGGATACTACAAGAAATATTTTGTAAAAAAAAAGAAAGAAAGAAAAACAATGGGTGGTAACCGAAGCGTGGTACAATGACAGATGTATGCGTTGTTACATTCATGGTCGTTGATAACAGTTATCGGAAACAGCTCATTAGTCATGTTATTATAAAAGTAGCGTCAATTTACTATTAACTACTAGAGGTACCGCAGTTAAATAGTACTAGAGTTGTAAGAAGAAAAATCAACTGTTACCCATATGTTACTTTACAGTTTTCTGTTACTCGATCATACCAATGGTGTCCGTTAGGATACCAGGGACGACAAATCGCATTAAAATTTTATCTGACGAACAAAATCACATTCAGTTGGAGAAGAAATGATACCAGTCATTCATTATACATGTTTTAAATGAGATATTACATATTTTCTGTTTTATATATCAGTTACGTTTTTACTGATAATGAAAGGCGAGTGAGTGGACATGCCGTGTAGTAGTTTTTGTTCTATACAAACTATTCGTACACTTTATAACATGGAATATTATATTGCAATTGTTAGTCAAAATGTACGATAAAGAATACTAGTTAATAAGGACTATTGATTATAAATAAAGTTAAATACTTGATTTACATATATTACCTGTTGAATGACTTCGTCGAGTCTGCACGTAAAATAAATCATTTTGCACGAAACACGAATGAACACTTTAAGAATATTCTATGTTCTGTTCGGACAACGAACATCCGCATTGATTTATGTTGCTGTCTCGCGTGTCACTCCCGCTTTTCTTTAATCGTTTTCTTTTCTTTTTCTGCGGCCCTGCGTGTTGCTTTTGAGAGCAATTTCTGATATTCAATTTGTTTATTAAGTATTGTTTGAATGTTTCTAAAGCATTCCTGACACCACTTTCTTTCTCAAAGACCATAGATATCCTTATGCTATCACTTTCAGGTTCTTCTTCGCATTCTATTAGTTCAGCAAAGAAATTACACACTAGGAAAGGATCTGAACTGTCTTGAGTTAATTCTTTTCCAGGACACTTTGTACCATCATTTGCATCTTTTCCCACATTATCAGCTTTAAATTGGTTTATTTGTCTTTGAGCTAACCGACGTTTTCTACGTGCATGCGACCACGTATCGTTCTTGACAACTAACTGACATGACCAGCCATTAAAATCATCAATAGGTAAGTTCAACTCCTTGATATGTATCTGTGTATAAAATAGAATTTACATTAAAATTTTCTAGTTATAATATACGAGAACGTGAGTAAATTATAATAGTACATGTAATTCTTCTATTGACTCTTCTAAGAAATTTATGAAGTTGTCAAAAGAAGAAAATTTATCTGGCATAGGAAATTGTATCTCCGTCGGACGTTTCTCTTTTAATAATTTTGCAACGTAATCTCCACTTTTCCTAATGACGGGTGCATTTGTTAAATTAATTACATCTTTCGGTAAAAAAGTCCAAGCCAATCCCCACCTATCGAATAAACATATTAATAAATAGCATTTTGTAAATGCTATTATTACAATGAAACGAAAAAAAAGGGATTTACCGCTTCGTATGGCCCTGACAAAATTCTGTCCATGTAGCATTCTCTATGTTTCGTTTCTTCAATAATTTTAAAAGAAATAATAAGTTACTTCTTCGACCAAACATTGTAGTGTATATTTTTATGTTTTCTTTCATCTCTATACTCTCATCAATAATTTGTGTTACAAATGCTCTTTCACCACCTTTAACTGTAAGCTCAGCCTTGTTTCCAGTAGGAGCATTTCTAGGTGGTTGTTGTTTCGTTATTCTATCTGAACCTTCTGTTTCAAAAAACGGTGGATTGCACATTGTAAAATGATAGGATCCGTGTTCTTTTACAATGTCCTGAAAGATTGTGTGCCCATTTACTTTGACCACTGAAAGGATGAAATATTAGGCAAACATTCAAATTCTTCTTTATCCCATTCACAAATTAAATGCAATACACAAGTAGAATCTACCTTTTATTAAGTGTTGCAAATTATTATTTTCAACATTTTTAATGGCTGTTTGTATACTCGTTTCATCAACTTCTGTGGCAATCATTCGATTTCCATAAATTTTTGTACACAACAAAGGATATATACAAACTGCACCAGTGCCTGAAAAAAGCCATCGTTTGTATTTAAAAGGCTATTAGATTAAGCATCAAGATTTATTCATTGTTGATACCAATATCTATCCCAGTGAGTTCTTTCATCTCACTCACAGAGGAGTGTTTCATTAAATCTTCAATCCATAAAACATAATTCAAACGTAATGGCAAAGTTGGTACTAGTTTATTTGGAGGTATTCTAACATCTAGATTAAAGTCATGCTTTAGCAAAACTTCTGTCAGCACCCTTAGACACTTTTCATTTTTAAAGTCAATCTTTACCTTCCCAGTCAGATCCTACAGATTGAATTATTTAGCCGAATGCATTCAGCGTTAAATTAGAAATGCATTTATATAATAGAAGCTTCACTTACTACATTTGCAACATTACGGAATGCCGGATACAATACAGCAAGTTTTTTAAAATCCGGTACCTTTTTATATTTATTCCTAGGATGCATAAATTTTCTTAACGACATTTTTAAGAATTGTTATCAATAGGTTCTTGTTTTATCTATCTTGGCTGAATTTGCTCACTGCGATCGTAAGTCCTTGATCTTTAAACAGAAAAACGTATTCAATATGATTTTACGATAATTACATTACTATTCGTGTTTGTAAACATCAGTAGAAAAAACAAGAAATTCTAAAAAAATGATTTGCTAGGTAACATGTAGGTTATAATTTGTAATCATTAATTTATTCATTATTCTTCATTGTTTCTACTTATTCCTTCACTTTATACGATATAACCCTAATTTTCGTTTTGATGTCGTTAATGTGAATTATACAAATTATGTATCGTGTGCAAACAACTGTTAGGTTTCTCCACCAATAAGAAACGATCACGGAAAATCACGAATCACTGTGAAAAATTATCGTGATTGGTAACGAACGTGATCGAATCACGAGTGATTCACAAGTAGCAGTTATATAGCACGCCATCTCTAGTCTTATTGCTGCGTTGAAAACGTACTTCATTGTTTAAGGAGCATTTCTAAATGTGATATTTATCTAAGGTGTGTATAAATGTAATAACTCACTAGAGAAAATTAAAATTAATTTCTTTACAACTAACTACTTCGAATGGATCTAGAAAATCTGTAGTGTTTATTTATGCTGTTATAGCGTGGGTAATATAAATTTCATCGTAGCTACGAGTGAAGCATAATATTACGGCCAGTGTGTTTATTTGATTGATCTCTTTTGAACTTTGCGTCTTCAGTCAAGAATTTTTGAACAAAAACTGGTGCCTATGTTCACACGATATTTAAGGCGGGTATGCAATCCGTAATGGTTGTTATAACGTTGGCAACAATGCATGTGAACGAATTATCGGTGATGACAACTTTAAGTGGTGACAGCCGCGTATGCGTATGTACCTGTTCGTTGCACTACTAGTGGCGTTCTGTCGGATTTTGCTGATGGGAAGCTTAATTTTCTGATATAGTGCGTGATTTACTCGTCGAGAAGCATATGGAATATTAACCACGCCGTAGGTGAGTGTTTCCCAGCGATTTTGTCACATATCGGAAACAGATGGCCGTTGGTAATTCGGTTTCCTGAGAATTCGTTAATATGGACAAGTGCCACTCTGACAGTTTTCCTTTTTCGTCGTCGATTATTGGGCACCTGTTATCGAACGTTTGTCTTCTGTCTCGTCGATTGACGGCACATTGTCGCCAATTAATCTTCCAGTTTCGTGAAAAGCAAAAAGCACCACGCTAATGGCAGAGTGCATACGAAAGAAGGATTAATGATGTGATGTTGAAAATATTTATTTCTTCAGTCATAAATTTCGATTCGAATATCAAATATTTCAATATCTCCTAAAACGAATAAAGTCAACCTAAAAACTGACATAGTATTATTAATCATTTTATGAATATTTCTAAGAAATAAATTGTATGTAATTTTTCTCTATATTATAGATTGAAACTTTAACTTTTAGTAAATTCCGATCATACCACCGTTAAAACGTATCGATTATTATAATACTTGAATGTTGTATTGAATTTTTTTCTTAAAAGTATCAATTTTCATAAAATTTTTTTATAAAATCAAAATCATAGAAAAACTAATTTTACAATATATTTTTATATATATATATATATGTATGTATATTATAATTCGATTAAGCTTTGTTAAATGTTTTATTTCACCATATTTTTCATGCATGTTTATGTCATAAATGCATAAATAGATATGTAGTCTTTGCATGTTTAATGTACTCTGATGCTTAAACGTTTTTGGTACCTTATGATAGTGGAACATATAGATGCGAATTAAAGTAATGATTAAACATGCTTTAGAATAAAACATAATTTTATAATAAACGTAATTTACAATTGTATTACTGCAGTTGATGAATTTTGTTTCAGTTAACTTTATAGTGCAGATGTTGTAAGTACTTAAGATTGTGTGTTATTATACACCAATAAATCTTGTTTTTTATTTTTCTAAAAAATGAAGGTCTATGGAAAAGAAAAAGCAATAGAGTTTGTTCATGTATAATGTATAGTCTGTACTTTAATTTACGATAAAAGTTTCATACAAATCTAAGAGATCGGTTCATGCAAGAAGTTCAACCCCTGATATAAATATTTACTAGATCTTCATATAGAGATACATAGTCTTTCAGAGTATGTATTTGAATGTTTGGGAAGAGTGATTGCAATTCAAAGGGTTAATACATTAAACGAGCATTTTATTATTATTGTAGTTTCATAAATATATTTACACAAATCCCATAGTATTATTGTTATGTACATAGATTCGTGACACAATAAAGTAGTGGGATTCTAAGCGCAAGTAAAAGTCACGTATCAGTGGTATATCCTGGAAACAGAGATGCGTTGGTGTGCGATGTCGAAACAATATGGACAGAAAAAAAGGAGAGGGGAATAGAGTTGCGGAAATCACGGGAACGCTTTAAAACGATCGCGTTCCGCGACACGGTGCGCAACCTGCTCTTTCATTTCGATCGCTTTGTTCGCGCACGCATTTGGACGATTGCTTTCCACGTAGGTATACGTGCGATACGTGGTACCCCGGGTTGTGTAATCGTAACGGTAAAGCGATCCATCATTCATCGCCGCGGAACAATTAGAAAAAACCGTATTATAACGTATACGGAAAAAGCGTCGCGTATCCACGCCTCCTCGTGTTGTTCGAACTGTCGAGAACGTAACGAACTCTCTGTTTCGGTGGAAATGTTACCAACAATTATCTATGTACATACTATACATATGTACATGTATATGGGGTGGCTGCATGATTGGATTGACTGGTTCAAATTGTACAATACCGGGCCAAAAGATGGCACTTTAGATCGATTAATGTTTTACTATATTATATGTATTATGTTTCCTCATCTAATCTGTCGATGGGCGTAAATAAAATCATCGTATCGAAACTCACTAGCTATAAAAAACCACCACGACTACAGGGAATAACAAAAAAAATACATAAATTGATCCAAGCAGATAAATAATTTGCAAGTGGATACCAGACGAAAGAAGTAAGGGTACAGGAAGTGAAAGGCTCGTTGTTTCGCCAGTCCTTGTTTTTTTTTTTATTTTCTCATGCTGAAAATCTATTGCCGACTTTTTGCGAAATTTCGAGTCGGTACGGCTCGACGATATTACGTGCGCGTTTTTAGAAATTTTTCGGATGGCACTTGTTGTTGTTTCTATTCCTGATGTCGATCTAATTATTTTGAGAAGCTCTGTTATCTTCGATCTCATAGTAAATAATTGATAGGTGTACTAAATGAAAATATACGTGTCCGTTTCCAGTTAAGCCCCTTATTAAAGTTTCGCTCATCGGACGGAGGAGACGATCTTCATTTTCCGTGTTTTAATGAATTTCACCCGGGTCCCGATTATCGAGGAAAGAAGACACAAGTTTTCCGTAGGACGAGTCCTCTTTTATTTACTTGTTACGAAAGAAAGGTCGGCGGTGCGCATGTGGAGCGTCCTGGCCTGCGCGGGCTCCATGACTCCATCGACCCTCAAACCATTTCGTACTTTCCAGTACACGTTTGACGATCATACTGTGCCGGTTAATCGGAAAGAGAGCGATAGAATCAACGTCGATTGGCCGATTAACCGGTGCCCGTTGTCGGCCGATCGCATTATCGTTACAGACCCAGTCGTTATCTGTGACATCGTGGATTCCCTGGTTAGACGATCGTCCAACAAATCCGAGACGCTTTATCCCCCGAACTTATTCCGCGCTCGAGACAGACTTTTGTCACCGTGTGAACAACCCTTAGGAAAAAGAAATTGTATCTAATTCGAGTAACGGTTTTTCAGTGGAGCTTTTATTTTCGGAAAAATTATGCCTGACGATTCTGGTCTGCTAGGCATTGAGTTAACGGAGAATGACTGGTTCATCGCCATTCATGTACATGCATACATACATACATAATATGTATGTAGTGGTGCACTTTCATAGATGAATCATGATTCTACGAATCAATTGATAGAATAGATTCATTTTTTTTTTTTTTCCGAATCTAGGGTTATTTCAGGGTTTGTATTATTTGTCAAAGAGTTGCAGAGTTTTCGAAAGACGGAGCTGATAACACGTAATTTCAGGTTCAGTATCTGTTGTTCGTTCGGGGGAGTTCGTTCAATTCCTGACTCGGTTGGTTGCTTTAATTGCGTTAACATGTTAAAATAGCAATCTATTAGTCCGTCCAATCTAATAAATACATCTGCGTGCTACTGAACTTGTTTATCCGTCCATTCTATTACTGATCGATTCTGCGTGTGTTAATGTATACAAACATTAGCGACAATAAGGTATCGTTAATTTTTCATGGTAATTTGAAGGAAATTGTGAATTAAGATCCAATAAGGGCGATAAAATATATATGATACCACCTTATAATATCTACTACCAACGTTTTGTAGTACTAGTGACTAATAGAGGAACTCATTGGCCAAATCACATTTGTAAGCGTGCGTGACGACTTTTTGGAATTCAGTTTTCCTCCGAAACGAAGTTTCACGTGGAAGAATTTTATCCGACATTTTTCGATTTCTTTTCGTAAGTGGAATCATCCTGGAGCCTTCTCCTCGGTTATACCATTCATGAAATCGCGTTATAGAGAAATAATACCGTATTAATATAGACAGAAAGCCATATGGACAAAAAGTGGCAAAAATGTTTTCTACAGGAATTTTCAAATTATTATTCTGTTCTACGGTACGTAACGTTTCGAATACGATACGACATAAACAAAAAAACTCAATGTCTGTTACCGTTGGCCGACACGACGGCGAATATGATCAATTTTTCACCAAACCGTTTTAGATGGTCGAGTTCAGAGGATCATCGGGCTCGCGGTTATCATTATCGCAACAGATGTTTCTACGTACTTTAAATTCCGCGGGCAATTCAGGCTACCGAAAAATATATGTATATAAATTATTCTGTCTCGTGTTGCCGGGGCGTGTGGGGCCTATTTTGCCCCACGAGTGTTTCGCGCTTGCACTCGTTCGCTAATTCGTTCGCACGCGCTAATTGCTTGGCTTTCTTCTCGACCTTTCGTCATTTGTTACGCGTCTCCGTTGCACCGACTCGAACTCGGGGCCCGAAAACTAGATTATCTTTAACTTTAACGGTTCGACGACAATAGTTCTAAATGTCATGGAACCTTGAAGTTGGGTCATTTTTTACCCTCGGCAACATCTTAACCATATTTTCGTCTATGAATATCTTGGACCTAATTTTCTAACATTTTTCTTTAATCAGTAGCATAGATTAACTATTCATGGAAAAAGAGTTTATAAATTCCGGAAAATAGAGATTTGCTCGTTAAACAAACAACTTTAAGTAACTATAAGTAATTGCATTTATTTGTAAAAATCAATAATTGACAAATCCGATAATGGTCTCTACAAATGTTAGTGAATTTTTATACTGTTTTCGAAAATACATTATTTAACAAATAATCGTAAACGGTAATTTTGTAGTTACGTTAAAACGTTAATTCGCGCCGAAAACTGCTCGAAATTCGTTAGGAAAAACAACTAGTAATCTCAAACGTAAAATCGATTTTTGTCTTTCAACATTATAGAACTACAAAAGTGGCTATTTTGAAACAGGATTTTAAATCGATTCGCAGAAAAATCGTTCAGCGATAAGATGTAGGTATCTGCCCGTTGTTTTTGAGATTGTTTTGCGGAAAATTGTTGGAAAACGTGCGGCCCACGTAGAGAGAGAGAGATAGAAAGAGAGAGAGAGAGAGAGAGAGAGAGAGAGAGAGAGAGAGAGAGAGGGGGGGCGTTCGAACGTGTCGGACCAATTTCTCGTTACCGAAAGTAGACAAGTACGTACATAGGTACATAGTATAATATCGCGAGCGGCGAGAGAAAAATATCTCGATGGTTCTTCGTGGTTTGCTGGCACCGACGGCGGTGCGATGGACACGAAATAAAACGTCGAAAAGGTAGAATGAACACGTTAATTGAGGTTTAACGAACTTCGAACGACGTTAAGAGACTAAAAGAGAGGGGTCGAGACGGGGGTGGGTCTTTAACGAACGTACGTTGAGACTTTATGAAATTCGCGGTGGTCGTATTCAAACTTTAATTGGACTTCGATGACCTCTCGTCCTCGTTGAGGCATGTGAACACTGCATAAATAATTATCATGTCGAATGGGTGGTATTCACGCATTTACGATAGAAAGAAAATAATGGAAAAACATTGGTAAAAGTATTAGCTTGGGTGAAATTTCGCCCCAACCCCCTCCCCCTTGTTTTAATTATTAATTCCGAAGCACGCTTATTAGGTGGTGAGAGGTACGTGTAGATCCGTGAACGTTATCGTTGATCTCCCGCGCTGCATGTGAAAAATAATTAAATTGAAATGGAAGAAATTATTGTTTTTCATTATACACTTTCTTTTCCACTGGAATTCTTAGAGAGACACGGTTAGATTTTTTTCTTTCATTTCTGCTTGTGTTCGCGGAAAAGAGACAGAATGATTCGGAATTTTTCTTATTGGAAGAAAACGAAGAAATAATTGAAATTGTATTACGTGTTAATTGGTTTCAGGGGCCAAGAGAGTCAGGCAACTGGACAATTGGGATTGTCGCGTTATGGACCGCAGGTGATGAGCGTGTTGTGTATATGCAGCACGGTACATCAGACCGCTCAGAACAACAGCCAGGTTAGCAAAATACGTCCCTGCTCGTCGACGCCGGTCACATCCGAGGAGGAGAGGATAAACTCGGTGCAGGAAATACCCACCGACGAGCTGGCTCTATTAGCTAAGCTGGAGGAAGCCAATAGGTGAATTATCGTTCCGATCGACGTTTGTGTTCGACGTCACTGCATGCGCCAAGTGATTCAGGCTTTAAATATCCATATGTATACACCTATTACAGTTTCTTTTCGTATTTGTATCATGTATGTTATACCGCTGAAAATCAATTGGAGGGTCGTCTAAAGTCTAATCGAGTAACAGAAATTCTTTCATTAACTAACCATAGTCATAGTACCTGTACCAGTATTTGCTATTGGATAGATTCTACAGGATCTGTTTTTTTGCGATCCTTTAATTATTTTGAGCAGTATGTACACGTATTATGTATATATGTATACCTATGTTCAATTGTCAAAACAGCTTATTTTTCGTTCGCTACTGTAACGTAACTACAGATCAAAGTAGAGCACGTTAGAGCACACATTAGGAGGAGAAGAGAAATACGATATACATATGTAGTGATACCTACGTTTACTAGTAATTGCATCGAGAACATTAGGAGAGCGTTGTTGGGTTGTAGTTTATGATAACGTTATGAAACTTGGAAAATAAATTTATTATAGATATCCTTGTATCGCAGATCTTTATAAACTGAACACCTCATATGTTACAACCCAACCAATTTAGTAACACAGCAATTGTGTATCGAGTTGAAAGCAACTATCACAAATAGTTTAATGTAATTAATAACAGGCTTATCGAATCGGATGCAAAATCGTTGAACTCGCTCCAAAGCAATCACAGTAGGAAAGGTTCCGACACATCTCAGGTGTCCGTGGCGTCGGGGGGCAGCGGAGGGAACGGCGATGCTGCGCCCCGACGCCACACTACAGCTGATGGTGAAGAAAATACATGGACCCTGTGGGGTAATATCGTCGCTGATTGGGATTATCATTGGAAGAAGAGGAAAGAGTTCGTCAAAGAGTTAGTACGTCAAGGAATACCTCACCATTTTAGGTAATGAACATTTTCAAAGAATGCTTGAGTATACTATACTAATAGCTAGGATTTGGATCATTCTTCGATCTTGTTTCGAATGCTTGAATTCGTGTGGAACTTCGAAACGAAGGCACTGATTTTTCACGTTCATGATTGCAGAGGTATTGTTTGGCAGCTACTAAGCGGTGCTCATGACTCTCCTATTAAAAAGCAATTCGCTGAATATATCAAGGCCACATCGGCATGCGAAAGGATAATCAGAAGGGACATAGCCAGAACGTATCCTGAGCATGATTTCTTTAAGGAGAAAGATGGGCTTGGCCAGGAGAGTTTGTTTAACGTTATGAAAGCGTATAGTCTCCATGATCGTGAAGTGGGATATTGTCAAGGTTCGGGATTTATAGTAGGATTGCTCCTCATGCAGGTACACAATTAATATACTTGACACGAGACAGGGGTTTCAAAGAATTACGGCAAAATGAAATGCAAAAAAAAAAAAAACAAAAAAAAAGAAAAGAACAGTTTAAATGAACGGACCTGGTTTACGTTCGCGCACTGTCTCAGAATTAAATAGGTATTCAATCTGTTGTTACAGCAAATGCCAGAAGAGGAAGCTTTCGCTGTACTGGTAGCGCTTATGCAAGAGTATCGTTTGCGCGACATGTTCAAGCCGAGTATGGCTGAGTTAGGGGTGTGCATGTATCAGCTAGAACATTTAGTTGCTGACACGCATCCCGAGTTACACGCTCATTTTACGGCTCAAGGTTTTCATACCTCTATGTACGCATCGTCTTGGTTTCTTACGCTTTTCACCACAGCGCTGAGCCTACCGCTGGCCTGCCGTATTTTTGACGTGTTTCTGTCCGAAGGCATGGAGATTATTTTCAAAGTCGCGCTGGCCATGTTGCACTTAGGCAAGGAAGATCTGTTAAGCTTGGACATGGAGGGCATGCTGAAGGTAACGTCTGTTATCCAAACAAAATTATGGCACAGTTAGATTGCGGATTTTTTAGCATTACCGTACATCCATTACGTGATTCTCTAATGGTTCTTGAATTCTATAAGGTGTTTAGTTTGTGAGATTTTCATTCCTTGTGTTCGGGGAACTTTGGTTCCCGTAATTTAGTTCGCGAAAATCGATGTCTCTATAAAACTAGAAACGACCGCAGTCTGATCATAGTCTCGAAAGTAGATAGTAGAACATGTTGTAGGAGAAAACGTTAGAAACAATGTTGTTCTATCTGTGGGTCTGTGTCTGCATTTCTATGGTATAGTAATAAAATTCAACTTTTTGGCGGACAGTTTTTTCAGAAACAATTGCCTGGAAAAGCCGAGAAAGACCCTGATGGCCTTATAAATCTTGCCTATGGCATGAAAATCAATCCGAAAAGAATGAAGAAATTAGAGAAAGATTATACTGTTTTGAAGATGAAGGAACAAGAAGAAATGGTCGAACTACGTAGGCTAAGAGCAGAAAATAGATTACTCAGGCAAAGAACCGAACTTCTTGAGGCTGAGTCTGCTGAACTAGCGGATAGATTAGTTAGGGGTCAAGTTTCTCGTGCAGAGGAAGAGGAGACCGCCTTTGTTGTGCAAAGGGAACTAGCAGCTCTTCGACACACGCATTTAGAGACCAGTCATCAGCTTGAGCAGGCTCATGAGGAATTGAGATCACTTTCGTTGCTGCTAGAAGAGAACGTAAATTCGAAACAATCGTCTCTGGATGAAATTTTATTAAAGCAAGAAGCGCTGTCGCAAAAAGAAGACATGATACAGTGTTTGCAAGAGGAATTGGTCAGAGTTCGATTGCACGAGGCGGAGAACGATGCAACGATAAGGGAGCTCAGGGCGAGAATACAGGAATTAGAGGATGATAAAAAGACGTTACGCGAGACTACACCAGATAATTCGGTTGCTCATTTGCAAGAGGAACTAATCGCTGTGAAGCTTAGAGAGGCAGAAGCTAATTTATCTCTCAAGGTAATTATACATATGTACCTTTATTCTTGCATTCAATCATCTAATGAACATGTGTTTTCTTTTAACATAAGTCACCGCATAATCACTACTTAATCTAGTTGGAATACTTTCATAAATTTATCATAATCGAAGAATTTTATTAGGACCTTCGTCAGAGAGTAGTGGAATTAAGTTCTGCCTGGCAAAGGCATTTGCAAGAGCATCGTTCGGCTCAGACAGCACCCGCAAGTGATTCGACACCGAAAAAGCTTCTGTTTTGGGAAAATCGAGGACACGAAGTGCAGAAGTTCGAGGAAGATTTAATGACAACTAGGATTCGAGAGATGGAAGCTTTGACTGAAGTGAAGGAGCTTAGATTGAAGGTGATGGAGCTTGAGACTCAAGTGCAGGTTGCCACGAATCAACTTCGTCGACAGGACGAAGGTGGAAAACTAGTTAAAGAAGAACTGGAAGCTGCCTTGGCTAGGGAAAAGGAGCTCACTGCCAAACTGAGGGAGCAACAGCACAAGTATTCTGACCTGGAATCAAAAATGAAAGATGAAGCTATGATGGCCAGGATACGTGACGCGGAGCACGCGCAGCACGTTGCTGAACTCACCCAGAAAATCTCCATTCTTGAGTTAACGGTATTGCCTCGAATAGTGTAATGTCCATCGTTTATTAGAATTGCACTCTGAAAGCACTGATTTCTTCTATTTTTTCTAGAATGAAGAAATGCATGCGGAGGGTGAGCTTAGGAATAATTTAGACGACAGCGAAAGAGTAAGAGAACTGCAGGATAAAGTTGCAGAATTGAAAGCCGAGGTATGTGAGAATTTCAACTATCGTACATATTATTATGTTGCATTAATGAAAGCATCGGTTTAAGACAATTGCAGTAAGGGGTGAAGAGACAAAATTCTATTCAGAAATAACCGAACTTATTTTTCAAACAAAAACCTCGTTTTTTCTTCTACTTGTTCATGCGTGTAGAAAATTTCTAGTAATTCTTCAACATTTCCATTTGGAATAACGGAATAAAAAAACCTATTCTTTACGTATATGTTTGAATAGTTTCATATTTATCTGGAAAAAAAAACTAATGGGATTAATGGTGGACATATTATTTTGGTATTAGAAGTGAACTACATTTAAGAATGCTTTCAATTATGCGCAAGTACAATTATGTATTTTCTTACATATTTATAATTGTTGACGATTCCAACCAAGTTTCTTCTGTTAAAGTTGAAATCTGTTTATTTAATGTTTTTGTATCAGTTTTTATACTTATAGGATGATCGAAATAAATACACAATTACCTTCAAAGTATCAATGCTAGAAGTAATGGCGGTAGATCATGGAAACGTAGATTAATGATTATTTCATAATAGCTTCAAGTCCAATTATTATTAAATATGCTGTTGGGCTGCAACTTAGTAAATTTCGGAGCTTGTAGATTAACGTATTTACGAAGACTTCTATACATTTGGGATTAGATGTAATTCCAGTTGATAGTTCGTTATAGGGTCCTGATTTATTATTTCAATTCCTGCATATTCATATGACTCACAGACATTTATTCACAGAATTTCCACATATATTGTTGTTACAACGTACAACATACACATTTCAAATCTATTAACATCCAGAAAATACTTTATCATTACTAATTTGATTGGTCAGGATGTACGATCATTTGTTTTATTAATTATTGTTCGTATATCTATGATAATGCACTTGATATTTCTGGTACTGTTTTGTAGTGTATCTATGTTTTATAAACACTCGTTTACTTTTATAAACAAATCTTATCAGGAAGATCATGTCTTTGGTGAATGAACAGTTTTTTTTTGCTGTTCCTATCGCACCATTAATTTACGTATGAAAACGATTAAATCCTCGATGTGTTACATAACACAACATGTTATGTATGTTTTTATGATTGTGTTTATTGGATGCACAGAAATGCATTCAATGTTATAACCTGTAAGATAAATAAAAGTATGACTTATGCTTTTGTGTTATTGTGATTCACAAAATTGTTTTGCACAACATGCACCTCTTACTGCAATGTAATGCTGTCACGCTAAAGAACAGTACTTTTTCAATTGATTTATATGTAATAAAAAGTCCAAAAATCAACAAAAGAGAATTGTATTAACAAGTTTCTTGGTGCTGTCACTGATGATAAAATTAAATTGTTAATCTTTCTTCAAGATTGACTTTTGTAAAATTATTCTTTCTGTTGTCCATCGCTCAGAAGAACATTTTACCAACAATCTAACCGCTAACGTTACAGTGCATACTTCTGTTTTTTTTTTTATTTATCGTTACAATGCCAAACACTACACAGCCTTCTCATTTAACATATAAACAACTGATTTGTTCCTGCGGAGGTACCTGTACACATTAAGAATTCATCGCGTTTCATCGTGTACAATAATACTGGTTTTAATCAATTCTTAATTTATTTACGTTCATCGCATATGATTTATACAAATTACGAATCATGCAAAAAACAATCTAAATACATATATTAGAGCTTCGATGATAGAAGATTGCATTCACAGCTTGTTATATCTTTTCTGCAATATAAGTGTATAAACTATAAACGTCCAGTTGCTTTCTACTAAACGTTAATTAGGATTACGATACCGGTTCATTTATACGTTACCGTTGTCTCAAATGAAAAGAAATTTTATATGTATCTTTGAGGGCGCTGAAATAGTACAAGAAAATGTCTCTTTGGATAAAGTACTTATGGTTCCGTTTTAATTTATTATATATTTTTTTTATTATTACACATACTAACAATCATTTACAATGTGTCAGGCTTGCTATTTATTACACTGATTGTGCTTCGAGGAATATCTGTTAGACATTGAGAGTTAGCACAGCACGGAGTAACAATTGATTTGAATCTCATGAGTGAAACTGTATTTTAACAGACCTTCTTTTCACGAAAGGAATGTAAACGTTATGTGTACAAAATACACCTTCAAAGATATGACACATTTAATTCAGTACTATTTACCTGTAAGACACTCAACAAAACTGCATTATAATGCATGCTATTAAATGAGCTGCTACACAAGCTAAGAGTAGTTACTGGAACTTAATTGTAATTATAAATGGAATTCTTATTGTGTGAAGGTACCATACACTAACACAAAGAAACTAATGGTGTTTGTAAAACTAACCCTCTATTGCTGTGTTATCTCTGTCTCCTTAGTTCCCTACGCCAATCACCAGCCCGGAGACTGAGCCTTGGCGCTGGCTCGAGTAAGTCTTTACCCATCTGTAAGCATTATTTTTATCCACTTCATATATGTAGCATGACATCAATGTGAACTTTTATAAAAAAAAAAGAAAAGAAAAACGTTTTCTCGGTGTGTAGTTTTGAATATACTGTGCAATATAACTATTGTTACACTATGACAATAATATTACTAACAATAAGTAGAATTGTTCATAAATCTTCTGATATAATTTTCTTGACTGATTCAATGCCTTTCATTAATTGAATCTCTAGAATAGGAAATAATTATATTTTGCAAATTATTCATTGTACCATCATTGTACATAATATGTAAATATAATGACACATATATGTATGTAAATATAAATATGAATACTGTACACATTGTTCCCTTTGTTGAGTTATCACATGATCATATACAAGGGTGTTTAGAAAAATGTGGAACATTTTCGCAGGGTGGATTCCACGTATACGAACCTTGAAAAAACGTGCCATATTGTTATTAACATCTTGTATATACATATACAATACGCCAGTTAAATCTCCTTGTTACATTTGATGTAAGCACTATTTGCATGCCTTACTTTTTGTCACGCTTTATTCGTCAACATTACTACAGGTAACTGAAATGTTTCATCATACAGAGACTTAATTAAGTGATTAGTTTAAACTAATTGATTAATTAGTCATTAACGCATTAATTACCAATAGAGAAAAGTTGTAAATTTCAATAGGAACCAATGTGTTAATTCATGCATGCTGTTTAATAAAAACTATTAGTATAATATTGTGGTGATTGTGTAAAGTGATTTGTCCAAGCATTCTTATAGCAATTATTGTAGATGCCATATTAATGATTATTTAATTTCACTTTCAACAGGCCATCACAACGACAGCTGCATATATGTATACTGTATCTTGTACTGAAGCTGATAGAAGGCATGGGACATTGTGATATTGATTCTTGCTGCTTCTTTGAATCAGTTGTTAGACAATTAAGCTTGATATGCATGTTATTCATTGAACTCATCTTATCAAACTTATCAAACGTAGTTATATGTGTTTCATGTTTAAAGTGAATAAGTAATACTTTAACCTTTCAAGTGAACAATATAGAAGTCCTTCGGTACCTAAATGATTGAGAATAATTTTTGCAATTGTCCTGGATATCTAATCCAGACCTTGAACAGAGCTCTTTCATACCCGTATATCATTCGCAATCGGAAAACTGAGCAAGTCAATTAGTAGCGTGCAAAATTGTTACACAAAGTAGAAAGTAGTTGAACATTATTATTATGTAGGGTAGTATGAGGGATACTTCTTTGTATAACAAACGTATAAACTTATACTAAGTTCCACAGGTGTATTTGATACAAGATTCGGACAGTTATTATTGTATACTCTTTGTGTGTCGCAGGTCATGAGGCTAGAAAGCTGGAAGCAACGTTGGACAGGTCATGGTGGCCAAAATGTGAGGAGTTTCAGCGTTGAGACTGAAAGCGAATTGGACGAGCGGGATCTCAGAATTTGTTTACAGGATCATATCAACGCGACTACGCCAAACTCACCAGAGGTATAGAATTCTACGTATACCAGACATTAGGCAGCTAATTATTATTGAACGCAAGTATTCCATTGTCTGAGCCAAGTGAATTCTTTTTGTTCGTAAAACCAATGCTTTTGCCGTAGAAAGAACGTGTGTGTGTGTGTGTGTGTGTGAGAGGGGGGGGGGGGCGAGAGAATGGACAAGTACGCACATAATAGTATATAATTTGTAGAAACACATAAGAGTGAACGACTTATTATGTTTTTAGTTACGTGTATTATCACTAGCTCGTGATGTATTAACAGCATATATATCGATTATACTAGGTGTAATCTGGTGGTCATTAATAGCGCATTATATAAAATCATCTGACCAAGTCGATTCTTCGCTGCAATCAGGCTTCGACGTGTATTCAACGGAAATACCTATTAATGATTTTATACGCGAAACAATATCCGAAGCTGTCCCACCACATGAATAAGATCGGGAGATTTAGAATAGAAAATTTTTTCATTTCCTATTCCTACTGAAGGGATGTCATTAGCAGCAGTTGTATCAGTTAATTCCATGAATTTTTCAAGGATGTATCGGTGATCACCGTGATCAACGTTTAATTTCAAAGTCTGATTAAAGTGGACGAATTTCTATATAGATTAATATTACTATGTGACGCATACGACCGTTTTTATACGTATTACGCATTCTGTGTATTTTTTGTAATTTAAAACCAAATGTAATTCCATTTAAGGAATTGTATATTGAATAGAGTGAACGTCCGTCGGACAGGGGATTTACGACCTAGAGTCGTCTTTTACGAGTTATGGAATCGCGCCTTTTTCTCTTCCTCCCCGGAACGACGGAGTCTACGTAGAATCTTGTTAACGAATCGCAGTAGTGTATTGCTCCGGTTAGAATACACGAAATATTGAAAAAATCAGAGAAAAACACGGCGAAAAAAGAGAGAAAGAGAACGACACGTCTGAAATTCAACAGCAGTATTCTTATTCTCATGTACCTAGTTATACCTTTATAACGTACTTTCGAGGGAGATAGATTAAAGAAAAACGAAATGTTGCTTTTAACGGTCCATGTCGATACAACTTGCGCACAAAATCAAGTTAGTATAATCTTTACTATGGTAAATAGTAGAAAAAGAATAAGTGTAATCGGTGAAATAGTTCAATCGTATATAATTCGACTCCTAGTTCTTGTCAAACTATTTGATTATACGAGCCAAAGTTTACCAATGTTTCACAAATGTTTTGATCCGCATCCTTTGTTTACAAGTTTTTACTTCTTTTACTGGATGGAATATCAGTGTGTTGTGATATTATTTGTGTATTAAATATTGTCGAAGTAGCATCATTTGTAAGAACAAGTTTTATTTTTACAAAACATGTTGATAACAAACATATTTTAATGTGTAGATAGAAAAAGATATATCTTTTTGTAAATTTTTGAAAACTTATTCAGGCATCCAAAAATCTGTTTGTCTTTTTTGATTACATCAGAATGTAGATTAATTGCTTCTGAAACATTGTGTACTCCATCTTGACGAATATTTGAAAACCCTCGTTTAACTGCAAATTTTAATAGAGCACCACACATGAATACAAGAGAATATTATATTAGTGTTTCATGAATGATATGTAGTGACCAATATTTTATGTACATTCTTAGTTGCATTTCCTAATGAATAATCTTATAAGCAATATTCAGATGATTTTTGCCATTTGCTCCATATGACTCGCACCCAGAAGAAGCAAGAATCACTATGGTATAAAAGCATATTAAGTGTAATTTAATTTATTAATACATACATCTATTAATGCTTACTATCTTAATTAATAGTTTAATTTACTCTTTAATAGCGTAGTAGAATGCTTTTATTTAAATAATTAATAGAACTAGTAGAATTCTGTATGTGACGTGAACTAGGCGTGTCGAATCATAAAATTATCGTTTCAGTGTTCATCGTTATCTTTTTCTACTATTTACGTGATGTTTCTCGTTGTGAAAAAAAAATGCGATCGTTTCAACGATTTAGTGGGGAGCTTCTAATCGGATGTAGCAGCTCCTGAGCAACGGGGATGAAGCGGTGTTTTTTAAAATAAATTTACTAATTGCAGATTATTGAAACCGAAACCGAACGAGATACTCGGGAGTACTTGTAAAAGTTAATACCCGGATAGCTCGTTCCTTATAGCGACTTCGTAGGATGTGATAATTACTTCCAACGTAAGTAGTTGCGCAGATCAACACACTGCTTTGTTCTCGATCCTTATTTGTCTTTCTTTGAGCCTTCGTCCTTTGTTCTTTCCTTTTTTTTTTCTTTTTTTTATTTACAGCTTACTTGAACCCTTAACGATCCGTACACGATTCCACCATCACCCTCGGGGCCTTCGAGCTCGAACATACGATTCTTCGTTAAGAATTACAATACATGAGTTTGCTTTTCCGATAAGACGAGGACAGCTGCCCGATAAGGGATGACTACATGTCCATCGTCCACGAAGCTAACATTTTTGGGCACCGCTGCTTTCCATTTCTATTCTCCTTGTTGTAGTGCAATCAAAGAGCAGACCTGGGCGTAGTATATAAAGTAATTATAGTATTGGACGATTTTTTAAACACATTGTTACTTAGGTATATTGTAAGAAATGTAACAGGAACAGGAGAATGTTGTGCAAAACTAAAACACATTACTTTAAAATGATCGTTTCAAATGAAATAACGGATGATATGAAATTCTAATAATTTTTACTATTGAATAATTTCAGTGGATACTAAATAAGAAAATAATTTAGAACCAACGATTTTGTCCAATCAAGTAACAACTGTTTTACCAGGTACATGGCCTTTGAAACACTATAAGAATATTGTACGATTAACAATTCAAATATAGTTCTATTCATACATTGCCCAGGTCTGTGTCGAACTTGTAGTGAATGACTTGCCCCTCGAAGAAAAATATTCGAAACGTATTTTCGAGAGTTAGTGCAAATAGGTATAGTTTACCGGAATGATTTTCATTAACGAATTTTTTACCACGTATTTATTTCTTATGATAGAAGCGATATTTTATCATAAGAATTATATTCTACAATTGTACAATTCATAGACAGTAAGATTTCGTCCTATTGTTTTAGAATTTTCGAGAAAGCAATATTTATGTAATATTTTCAATTTGTATATGTGTATTTACTGTCGATTGTAATTATAGATTCTTCCGAGCGTGCAACGTACATTTTGCTTGCAGATGGAAAAGAAGTATAATTGAAACTTGTTTTCTTTTTAATTATTCGGTAAGGAGAACCGAAAAAGTACAATTAAAAATATTTAATTGTTCATTGAAATGCATTTCCATAATTGACACATTTCGTGTCACGTGACATGTAGTGTCTGCTAAACAGAATATGAATTAACTGGAAAAAAATTTAGTCTTAAAAGAAATTTTGAAAATGGAATGTTCTTATAATATATTATTAACAAATTGTGTAGACTTTGTAGAGTTTTAGTTTGTGTGCACTATACGAAACACAATAGAAGGTTTAACGGTCAGTAATATGAATTTACACAAATATCCGCAGTCGAATTGATTAATGATTTAGCAATTTTTTTTTTCGGTTTGTACAGATCAATCGGAATCTCGAAATTTCAAAACGACACGGAAAAACACATTAAGTTGGACTTCTCGGTACAAGTATTAAATGTCGATCAGAATAGGGTGGAACGTTAAGGGTTGAACGTTTGAACGAACGTGTCCACAGTATTCATTTTCACTTTGGCCTTAATTTTGTGTCTGTACACACTTACCGTTTCGTCACGAACGATTGGCAAGAATCCGTGTCACCGTCGAGGAATGCCACCGAAACGAGTCGCACCGATCTCACGAGAGACACTTTTAACACGGGGAAGTGAATTTTTCCAGTTTCCGTGCACGTACGTCAACGAAAAAGCAGCATGAATGTACATACTCTTTCGCGAAACTGTGGACCCCTTTACTAATGGAAATTTCGAAAAAGAACCAACTGTTTCAACGAGGAGTGTAAATCCCGGAAAACCGGAATTTACATCAAGGCAACGCTTACTGGCACCAGCTCAATTATGCGTGACCAAGAGGCGACTCGACAGATTGTTGCACATAAAGCGACTGAATTTCATTGATCGGTACAATTTAATTACATTTATAATTTCTATCGCTTCGGACTGTGTATACCCATGTACACCGTGTACACCGTGTGTACCGTGTGCACCGTGTGCACCGTGTGCACCGTGTGCACCGTGTGCACCGTGTATACCGTGTATACCGTGTACACATAGGAATAGGTTTAATATAAAATTGGTAAAAATCATCGCTTTATCCTTAACTTACAGAAACAATGTAATTCCTTAGTGTTATAAAGTAACCTTTAAAACCGTGGAACTTGCACAAGTGTTCGTAGTCTAATTGTGACATATTATAATAATGACGAATAAAGCTAATCTTTAACTAATATACATACATATATGAGACAATGTCTGTATTGTAATAACAAGATTTAGTTCTAAAAGATTAATAGGTACCCTATCATTCGTAAGTATTGGGACACCTGGTCTGTATATGAGGAAAATGTAATGTCTCATCAAAATTCCATACATTGGGCCACTTTTGTATCTTTATATTAGCATAAGCGTTGTCCATCGATCTTTAATATCCCCTAAACAATATTCACTCTAGATTCTCAACAATTTCATAATACCTTATTCCATTTGCTTCATATTCAGTGTCCTGATGTTTGTGATTTGGACATGGGGTGTCTGTATAATCATGTGAACAAGACTTGTGAACTGGAACGAGCGTATACATAAAGTGTGTCACGAAAAAATTCCGTCGCTTCACGGGCAACTGTCTGACAGTTTCTAATCTTTTCTTATTGTTCCGTCTCTAATTACGAGGAGTGACACGATAATGTCGATACTGCCCGATATCATTCGCAACTGGAATAAGTGCAATAATTACCTTTCTTTCGTCATGTCTGCGTGTAATTATATATGCATTTAACGCGGTCTATTGTATTCGATTGACGGTATTTAATTTAGTTTAACGAACGAACGGTTACATTTAACTCGAAGAACATCGAAGGTGCAGTTTTGCGTGTAGAGAGCTCTTCTCCGCTAAGAGACTCATAATATGCGCGTACACGTCAGAATTTCTTGTTTAAAACAAAAGTAGATGTCGTGGAAAAATGCATTCACGATCCCTTGGTAAATCGTTGATGAAGGCTTTTCTTTAATACGCGTTCCACGTTTCATCGGTTCTCACGAAGAACGATCAAAGCGAATGCGTGGAAAAACGATCTCGCTGGTCCATTGATGCGGATCAACCGATCCGTTGAAATCTCGAGTATTTCCGAGTTTTGTGATAAAAGAGATTTCGTTCGAATGACCATGTCCTCCGGGACACAAGGTTTTCCCTATTTTTTCCAATATTGTACGTCACAAATTGTCCGACTTTGTTGTACTTAATCGTGATCATTCCAAAACTGCAGTGTCAGTCAATATTCATCGGAATGGCAAATAACTTCTGAAGGGACGTTTAAGAAATTCTTATTCAATTGATTGTGGTCATCTTCGTGCTTGATTGCTCTTTAGCAAATTTACCATCATTTGCTGCATGAGTAATCATTAGACTGTGCATATCGTGCAGATTTATAATTTCATGGACGAATTTAAAGAAACTGAAATTGTATAAAATTTCCTTTTCTCTATTCAATTGTTCAGCAGATTAAACGCGTAAATTGTAAAAAGATTTTAAATAATGGACCATAAATACTTTATCTTCCATATATTGGCTATATGTATGTATGTATATACGCTCATACACGCGCACACACATACACACACACACACACACACTCGTGCATATATATATATATATATATATATATGTGTAGAATCCTCAAAATTAATGTATTCGTAGATAGAAAAACACGTTTTCGGCACATTCATCTCTTATAATATGTATATTGAACAGGTCAGTCGAAACGCTGAATTATATCGCGAAGACATACGGAATTTTTTTTTCTGATAGCACGAAAGTGTGGCGAATGATGAGTATATGTCGTGTTACATTGTTTGTCCCTTTCCACGCATTTTTTATTTTAAGAAACAACCGCGAAACTCCTAGCGGCAGTTCGATTCAGAAGGCTTCACGAAGCAACGACGGTATCTGAAATCGGGCATGGGCATAAATTATTTACAATATTATACAAATGCTACGTTGATTACATTTTAAAAACGATCCGGTAAAAGGAATTTCATTTTAAAATGAAAACAGGGTGATATTATCACAGAATGATTTTTCCATGAAGTTTTTGAATTTTCACTGTGTAACGTAAAATTCTCATAAATATGCAGATGAAGGTGGTCACTGTTTGCATCGCAGAATTGCAACCTTACAAGAAAATAATCAATTTCTTCGATACAGTTAATTAATGTCCAAGTCTGATACGATCATTTCGATGCCTTCTTATTCGATGTAAACAATTTTGCGATATTTAGTACATTGTCAGAGCAAGCATACAAAATTTGTTAGTGATTTCTGATCGTTGTATACTTACAAGACTTTTCGTCGAATAGTACGCACACTGTGGACAATGATATGAATTTGTCATGAACATTGTGGGGAATATTATAATATCAGGAGTAAATAAATTCTTATTGACTTTTAAGAAATTTTTCTTCTCCCCTTCGTATGGTAAAAAGAGAGTCATGCACAACTGATACGTGTTAATATTTTTTAAATGATATGTATATGTGTATACATACATATACATATGCATCGAATAATTCGCGATTTTATGGTTACAAAGAACACGTTACTTGAGGCATTTGATACGTTTTATGTGTAGAATTATTTCGAAGATATCATATCGCCATCGCGATGTTTCTTTATCACATTTCTTATGCGTGGTAAGGGGAAGAATTAATAGACGCCTATCATCTCAGGTAATATATATAAATGGATAGAAAGACATGTTAAGATGAATACACTTATTACAAGTAATTTGCAAATATCGATACTCAAGGTCATCCCAAAGTCACAGCACACTGCGTCTTTAAGTTCGTACAAGGAATTAAAGATGCCTTTTAGGTCCTGTTATTATTACTATTTACCTAATTAAACAAACAATAGCAATGTCTAAATCTAAGTTAATCGTAAAATTTTCATTGAACGTTTATCTTATGTATATTATTATTTAAGAGAATGAACTCTAATACTCTGTTTTCGTTTGTTTTGATTCTCGTAAGAACGTGTAACGTGTATCATAAACAATTAAATAAAAAAATGTTCCCATTTAACGGAAAGATTATACTCTCATCTGCTCTTAAGTACACATTAAAATCCCCTCGTAATCTTCGTTCAATTATTTTCTCTACAAATATTATCTTTTACTCGTAACATCTGGTGACTCACACGTTTACATTTTTGTTGGGTGACTACATAGTATAATGTACTTGAAAATACTTGAAAAATACAATTGTTTCGATATATTCGATAATATTTATAATTAGATTGTATATTTTATGCAATAATTTACACTTTTCTAAATCGCATTAAGAAATTACCTCTGTGTAGACTTATTCTTAAAATTTGAATTCGTTTGAATATCTAAAAATACAGAAAAACAATTGTTTTTCACGTCTATACAAAGGTGCGAATCCGTATATGTGAGCATTTTGTGACAGGTAAGAAATACAGCGTAAAACAAAGCATTCGTGATATTTACTTTATTTTTATGGTTCCTTTATGTCCCATTGGAGCCTCGCCGTAGTCCACAAAGAAGTGTAATCCCGCTTATAGACTTAACAATCTCGGAGAATTGAAGAAAGAAGTAAGAAGAACGAAAGAAAGCTGAGCAATGGGGGAAACGAGAGAATCGAAAGCAAAGACAAAAGTAAAGAACGGAAGACTATCGAGTGATTCGGGGGGAGTTTGCGCCCATGGGCGGCGCAAGTCGCGACAGGTAGTTTTCCAAATGGAGTCTATCGGCCAGAGAGTGGAAAAAAGTAATCCGTGAAAAGGGGTTCGTTGTTACGCCGGTCTGGCGACGGTGTTGCCAGTTCTATATGAATGAGAAGCACGCAGATAGCCGGGTTGGTCCAGGACCGAAGCTACAATGCTGTGGTGCCCATATATGATTGACAAAAAAATGTTGGAAATTCGACGATTCAACATAAACTCTGAATACAGAACCCGCGATAGCACGCTAGCAATTAGTTACTTATAATCGTACGATATACAGTACCGAAATACCCAAGATAATGCCACTTCTACCGCACGCAATTCTCTCGTATTAAAATATTGTCTATAATAAAAATGTATTATAAATAACAAGATCGCGCATAATATCAAAGGATTATTTGATAGTTGATCAACAGCTTCTAAATAGACACATAGTTGCGAGTTTGGTCTGCCTTCTTGAAGTGGCAGTGGCGGAGGCGGCGGCGGCGGCGTTGCCAGACGAGACGGCTACGAAGGACCCTGTTTATGGGGGTTCACGGTGGAAAGAGAAGGGTGCGGGGGACCTAGAAGAGAACACGGAGGAGAGAAGGAGAAATGGAACTGAAATGGACAGAGGGAACGAGAGAAAAGGAGCCGCACGCGGACCGGCCAGGGGTGGCGGACCAATTAAATATGGCGGCAGCAGTGGGGTGTGGCGCTCGCGCATGCGCAGCGCAGCTTTCCAGCTGGTGGGACAAGAGCCGCGCGGACAGAACGGGGCAGCGACGAGAAGGAACCGGCCGGCGAGCAGAGGGATCGACGAGTACCCGGCGTACGTTTGTGTGGTGCGCGCTGTCTTTGAGATAAGTCTTGCCTAGTGTTGCTCGAGAAAAGTTATCCCCCTCGACGTTTGTTCGTTCGCTCGTTCACACGCACGCACGAGAAAGCGTTCTTGTTTTTTTTTTGATCGAGAGACCGGTCGAGAGGACTGTACGGAGGAGTAGTAAAGCCAAGATGACGATGGCAACGGAAACAGAGAATACCGGGCCGGAGAGCAAAGAAATTAAGGACGTGAAGGAGATGAAAGAGGCGTTGAAGGACGAAATGCCGCCGGACAATAAGCAGGTGGAGAAGGAAGAAAGTGGAAAAAAGGAGGAGTCCGCTGACGCCGCGGCCACCGCTGCATCGCCGGCACCCACCAAGGCTATTAGCGTGCATAAGACCAACTACGAGAAGGACATTGTTTATCTGTATCAGTTCTCCCGAACGCCGCTTTTGCCCTCTGTTTCACCGTATTGTCTCAAGGTGGAGACGTGGTTGCGACTCAACGGCGTCAAATACGAGGTAAGTGTTCGTATTTTATTCCATCCTCGGGGACATACCGAAGACGCGAGGCGTTCAGAATATTCGAATACGTTTACGTTAAAGGGAACAACGTAAATGATCGATGAGTACAATACTCCCCGAGATTGTACTTTCAGCGTCGCGTTTCTTCCGGGTAACCAAGAACCGCGTACCCTTTGACTTTCTACATTGTAACCGGTCGAATTAAATTTCAGTTCTCGCCCGTTATGCTAAGAATTCGGCATATACAATTACACCGAGACTTTTAATCGGATATTATTCGAAGAAAGATACAGAAGGTGAATCTTTTGCTGATTATTTCAAAATGGCGACTTCTTGTCAACCTTTGTGTTCCGAGCAATGTTTACACGCATTTCTTTCGCAGTTTCGAAATACATTTTCGGTACATTTAACACTATTGCACGCTCGTTTTGATCATAGATTCGATTTATGAAAGTATCGATTGTTCGTTTTCACACGATGAACGATTTTCATCTGTTCAAATATACTATTCGGTTCAATATCGATTTCTGTGTATCTAATAGTCCGTTGTAGCTATTTGTACGGTTTTGAATTCTGACTGTTCGAAATGCATGCGTGTTGTGTCAGTTTTCGTTATTTATTGGGGGGGGGGGGGTATACGGCACGATTCGCGATGCATTATGATATCGCGCATATCACGTTACGATACGTTTGTATCGCCGTTGTACCCAGTAGTAGTCGGTGCCCTGCCTTGAATTTCAGACGCAAATATTTATAGAAACGTAGTGTTTACATCCGGAGTATTAGACGAGTGGCGATATACATACGTATACACATACCTACGCTCTTTCGAGTGTCTTTTAAGTTTCAAACGCATAATCACGCGACGCAAACAGCAAAACATACAAGGAATCTCAATCCGTTATGCGACATGCGTAAATACAATAATGATATAGTAACATCAAACTTGTTACTATTCCTTCCAGTTTATCTGATTTACATAAGCTATTTTACACGTACTCCAATGAATTGAGAAAGAGCATTTTTTTTTTTTACAGTAGGTACCTTGCTTTTAAGAGTAGTGTCTCTGTCAGTATGAATCATGGTCCATATTAAGTCGATTTTATTAATTCTTAACGGTACCAACATGGCCGCTCGAAATCTACACACTTTATAGGTTAACAAAACCATCAAGCAAGATCGTACATATATGACATACATGCTTTATATCGTTTTGTTAACTCCCACCGCTCGCAATGTCAAGTAATAATTAGCTACCAGTCGTGTACGATTTCTCTTAGTTTGCCATCGTAAAATTTTACATCCGGCCGGGGAACGCGAGTGCGTGAAAGAGAGGAGCCGGGATGACGGTACACGCGATCGAAAAGCATGAAAATATATTTTCTCGCGAAAGAGGTGAAAGGCCCGGCGGCGGCGGCGGCGGCATGCATTCCTACGGACTTTTAAAACGGGTTTCCAGTGGTGCGTGTCTCGCGCGTGGGGAGCGAGCAAGGGTAGCCTATTGGAAGGCTTCCAAGTTGAACAGAGCAAAATGCCCTCGTAAGCCTTGATCCTGCGCGTTCTGTTTTTGGGGGGATGTGAAAGGAAGGACACACGCGCGCGCGTGTGTGTGTGTGTATAGACCCCCGTAAGCCTCAGGCATACACCGTTCGCTCGACGGGATTCACGCGCCAGCCGAGAGTTGGCGTTCTCTTAAAGCTGCGGTCACAACACCAGCGGTTTATGTATACGTACGGTTCCCATCAGAATAAATGCTCTGCAAAGTCAGCAGACGCTTGAACGATATTATGAGCTTGGTCACGTAGAGTATAAAGTAACATCCTTCTGCGACACAAATTGAAAGGCCACATACATATAAAATTGTTAATATTTTTGTTTCATTATTTCTTATTTATTAAGTCTTTACTATATTGAACGTAACACAAATAAATTTAGAACTGTAATATAGGTTAGATTACGATTAATTTAACCTAACACTATATAACGTAAGTGTATTGTAAATACTTGTGATGTTACACTGTCTATTTACAGTTGTAAATCTATTTGTGTTACGTTCAATATAATAAAGACGTAATAAACAAGATATAATAAAGAAAATATGAACATATCGATTAGCTACTTTTTTCGTAATAGTAATTTTTCCTGCAAACATTGTACTCTTTATCGTTGCATATTTTTTTATTCGTCCCAATATAACAGAATCGTTATGTGTACATACAATTCTTGACCAATTTTGTCCCCGTATAAACGGTTTAACATTCCGTCCTTGACACTTTCGTGTTTCGTACCGGAAATCAATCTGATATCGAGAAAGTATATGTATATCCGGACATGTATGATTTCTATACATACTAAGAAGTACAATACATACCTCATTTAGTATGAGATAAATATTTAAAGTGTTGGATAAAGTACTTTTATATAAAAATGAACAAGGAAGGACAGAAATGTGGCGTCTTTAGTGATTTTTATTGCCTCAGTGAGTGGATACGTTCTATATACTCACTGGCTAATTTGTAAATGTGTAAATATATAGCGTTTCGTGGGACAAGGGTAAAAAGAGCGTTAGTTTGAAATATAACGGTTGTTTACACCCGCCGGTTCTCGAACACGCCTCATGTGGTCGCGGCTTAAGCCCATGTGCTCGGGCTGTACGCTGTACGCTGTACGTTGCTACGGAGAAACAATGCGCGTCCAATCGATATATCGTGACAGAAACGAACGCGCTCAAACGGATAATTTTTCTCCCATCAAAGAAATCTGTGTTCGTCTCGTCGCACGTCGTATTTTTTACATAGTAGCGCGGCACAACTCAGTAGTGTAATAGTTACTACAGTAGGTGTAAATAGTTTGCACTCTGTTGCTATAGAAAGGGGAACGGCGAATCTTAGATATCGAAACGAATAAAAAATGAAGACATTATGTGGAAACTAAATGGTATAAACTATAAAGTGTTTATTGATGCTAATATCCTTCATTAGATAATAGACATAATTGGGTATCGAGTTTACCATTGACAGACAACCGGACGAATCGTTTCCTGTCCCCCTAATGGCTATAAATACACGTTAGTCGGAACGAATGGAATTCGGGGGCGGTACGGTGGTCGTGTCGCCACTTTTGAAATATTTTCGGGAAGCTCTCGAAGTATACATATAACATATAACTGCGTCCACGAGGTAGTAGTGGCGTTTCTTTTTCATCTGGGACCGCCTTCTCTGGCGTTGGGGGTCCTCCTTCACCGACATCTGTTGAACATAACTGTTCCTGTCCCTCCAGACAGGGGAACCGAGAGATAATATTTGTAGAGAGGGTTCGAAAAGCAGATTTCGGGTGTCTGATACATGTATTTTCTGCGTAATTTTCACCGTCGATTCTTGTTTCCACGTCCACGATAACATCGACAGAGTTATGGCGTCCAGATGTCGCCCGTCAAAATCCGCAGATAGCGATCTAACCTCTAAAAAATGCGTCGTTCGACCTTTGATGATTTTTTTTTAAGCATTTTAGACGAAAACACGATGGATTGTCGAACGAACTTTTCGGAAATTCCGGGCGTGTATGCTCGTTCCTCGGCTATTTTTAGACATGCCACGGGGACAATTGCACTTTATGTAATTTATCTGTCGCGATTGTTGAGTGTTACCGACGCCTCCACTTCCGGTACCCGCTTCTGGATTCCCCCGTTCGTAACTGCGGGAGCCACATGCACCGGGAACGACTGACGAAACAGTGTATGTAATGTATGTACAATACATATACGTGTGATCTGTGTTTCGTTGTATTTTACAGAGTCTTATATAGAGTATAGAATGTATACAATCCGTAGTCTATTTATGATCAATGGAAAATTTGCAAAGTAAAAGGTATAATGGAATCGAATAAATCTTTCTTCGATAAGAGTACACATACTTACGAGTAGGAATGTATTTTTTGTCTAAATCGATTTATACGAATCAATCTATATAAGTACGTACAATATGTATGTACATTAATCGTGTGAAAACGTGTTAGAAACGGCGATGAGAATTGAACTCGATAATATGGCGTCGATAGTTATCGAATCGAGAAATACTTGGAGAGGAACACAGTAAGCAAACTGTACTTACAGAGAAACGTTGTCCCGTTTAGATACCTATTTTCCAGTCGCTCATGGAAGAGTACATCGCGTGTCGTATCCTTTCTCTGTGTATCAGTAGAACATCGTACGTCGGGGCCGGGTCTACAGGATGGAACAGTTGAAAAATCTTACAGCGGAATCGAACCCGAACCGATTATACAGATTGTATTCCCATACGAAGAATCGTGGTAACCGTTTCGTAATGAGCGCTCGGTCGTTCCAATCGCAAACCGGCGGAACCGTAACAAAAGAGGTCACAGGTAATACGGAGGAAGTTCCTATTGAACTAATCATTACCAAGATAGGTATAAATAACGCCGCGGAGTGGCCCGAATCAATTGGCCCAACTTGGCCAATTTCGCCACGGTGTACAAAACGGTGGTGCGTATGTTTTCTAAGAAAGGCTTTCTATCGTTTCGCATCCGAAAACTTTCCGGTACTTCGATCCATTCGTATCTCATACTTGAAAATGATCTTCAGAATATATATATCTGTACACTTGTGCTTTATCTAGATACCAAGAAGTATACTACTGACCGTACATCTCATTTAGATAAAAACGATATCATGGTAGCAATATGGCGTCTTTGGTAAATTTTATTACCTCGAGTGATTAAATAATAATTTGATGGTGTCGACAGTATTTATGGTAATTGAATTATAGATTTTGTGGAAGCAAGATTTCCTCTGTTTCATATAACCAGTCATCGCGCTTGGTAATTTTTTTAATATCGTTTCGTATTATTCGTTAGAATGAGTTTCCAACGTCTGAATATTCTGATGGCGTTGAGAAGCGTTAATTTTTTCTCGGACCTAATTCGGAGTCCTTGAAACGATGCATAGCTCGCATACCATCACGGAACAAACAGGAAGACGA